TCACAGGAAGCTATTTAATACCAGGTCAGACTATGGATGAATGAATCTTTCCAAGTTACCGTAATTACGGTACTCTCTTTCTCTCTCTCTCTGTCTCTGTCTCTCTGTCTCTCTCTCACTCTCATTTTAAATTAAGCTCTTCACATTTCCATGCCAGCGTGCAATTTTCCTTTTAAAAAGAAAAAGGGAAAAAGAAGCAGTCATCATGAAAATTAATCTGCATTTCAGTGCAGATGTTCTCCTAATGATATGCATTTCTGTGCACATTACTTGGCCAGAGAACTGCGTTGCAAAATCCAGAGAAGTGCAAATTTCAAAGGACGATTGTGCTTCAGTCTGCATATTGTTTCAGAAAGTGCAAATTAGGTAGGTTCCTTTTTAAAATGTGAACTGAATTGAATCCCGTTCCTGTCTCCAGGTCAGGCAACCTGTTTAATGAGTATCGATCCTGATTTGCTTTCACAGACCTCGTGGGGTTGTTTATGCAATGCCAGTTCTTTATTGAACATTTGTCCTTATTTGTTTGAGGAGAGTTCAGTTAGAATCCTGAGTTGTTCGTGTGGTGTGTTTAGACATCTTATTAATCGTTTGTCCACCCCACACTTCCCACTCCATTTTGCTGTCACTTTCCAAACCACATAAAAGGCCTGTTTCTGTTTAAAAGCCCATTTGCTGTTGCACTAGGGCAGCAGAGCCCTTTCTCAGACTTTCACTGTGCAAACCTGATGTTCCAGGATGTCCCTGAATCCCTTCTGCAAAATACTGACAGCCTGGGAGGAGGTTTTCGCCTTGCCACTTTTCAGGGTGTCAGGAGGCAGGGAAGTGTCTCTCCTATCACTTGCTACCCAAGCCTCTCCAACTACAGTCATACCTTGGGTTATAGACGCTTCAGGTTGCGTTTTTTTGGGTTATGGACCCGCTGAAACCTGGAAGTACCAGAACGGGTTACTTCCAGGTTTTGGAGGTTGCGCATGCGTAGAAGCACTAAATTGCACTTTGCGCATGCGGAGAAGCACCGAATAGCAACCCATGCTTGCGCAGATGCGGCACTGCGGGTTGCGAACATGCTTCTTGCCCGGATCACGTTCGCAACCTGAGTGTCCACTGTACAGGTAACAGAGACTGGGGACAGGGCCTTTCTCCAGGCAAAAGCTGCACATCCCTTTCTATTCAAGCAAGAAACATGATCAGAGTTCAAGGATACAATCTAGGCAGACCGCCCCCCCAATAAACACTTCAAGAAGGGTGCCCAGAAGGATCAGTGAGGGGGTGCAGTGGCTGCAGAGAATGGGTGTGGTTCAGAAGGGTGTATTGCCTGGGAGAGTCTTGAGGGCGAGGGAAGGAGGCCTGGGGGACGTGCTTCACTCAGCCCCCAGGCCTGACCTCCCCATCCCTGGCCTACAGAATCCCTGGAGTGCCTGCCAGTCAGTGTAGAAAATACTGGGCTGACTGTTGGTGCAAGTACTCTTTGGTGAGAGAACGCCAGCAGAGATTGAAAGTCACAAAATATGCAGAAAAGTAATGTGTGGTGAAATAAAAAAATTAAGGCTATATATATATATATATATATATATATATATAATACTATATATAATGTTCATAACTGCATATATAAACCACATGTCTGAAACCCCACAGAAAAAGTCCTGAAACCATTTTGTCCCTCCCAAATTGACCTCAAATAATTTCTCTGCAAGGTTGAAGGTAAATGGAAAAGTCTCCCCACTGTCTTTTCCTTCACAAATCCTGTCTTAAGGGTATGTCTGTGTATGAATAGGGTGAGCCTGTGACCTGGCTCAGGAACTAAGTATTTGTCATTACAAAAGACTGGCCAGGCTCCCCAGGGTATCCAATCAAGTAACCATTAACAGGTAACCTGCCAGACAGGCCATAAACAACGCACTCAGATTTCTGTTGTAGACCGCCCTTTCTGTGATGTAAGTATGATGTATCTGGGGGGTGGTCTTGAGCTCCACCCCTTTCTGTGATGTATAAATGATGTATGGAGGGGTGGTCTTAGGCTCTAGGGCAGGGAATTTAAAATGTCTATATAAGGGCAGGCACACCTTTGTTTGGGGTCTTCCTCCCTTCCTGCGTGTGAGGGGAGCACCCTGTTGCAACAGTTTCAATAAAGATCAGGCTTAGGAGCTGCTTTGCTTTTCAATATTCTCTGGTAGGCCTCTGTTATTTTCTGCGACCGATGGAGAACCTACAAAGGACTCTATAAAGGCTCTTGTGTCCCCTGTAAGGGAATAAGATTTTTGTTTATTACAGTGGGTATATAGGCTGTTAGACCTTTAAAATATTCCCTTCCAAGTTCCTTCCGAAGTTTCCATCTTCCCCCAGTATAGGAAGAGACCTTGCACGCAAGAGCCCAGCGGAGAAGAGGGGCAGTCTGCCCTTGGGTCACACCGTCTTCCTCCCTCCTTGATGGGCGGTGGCAGCACTCTCCCCCTCCCTCTCTGGGTCAGCCCAGAGGGAGGATGTCCCTTCAGTGTGGTGTAGTGGTTAAGAGCAGTAATCTGGTGAACCAGGTTCGATTCCCCGCTCCTCCACATGCAGCTGCTGAGTGACCTTGGGCTAGTCATACTTCTCTGAAGTCTCTCAGCCCCACTCACCTCACAGAATGTTTGTTGTGGGGGAGGAAGGGAAAGGAGAATGTTAGCCGCTTTGAGACTCCTTCGGGTAGTGATAAAGCGGGATATCAAATCCAAACTCTTCTTCTTCTTCACCAGCGATAAGGAGAATGGGGCTCCGTCCCCCCCCCCCAGCCCCAAAGTCCCGGCTCAGGTGCCCACTTCACTCCCTTTGGCTCTGGCCTCAATGAGGGAGCTTCTTGTGGGCAGGGGCGTAGCTAGCCACTCAGGCACCCGGAGCGGTGGGGGCAGGGCGATCTACCCAGGGGGGCAGCACAGCGAGCTGCCCAAGGAGTCAGTCTGGTGGACGCAAGCCCCACGCTGCTGTTTCGGGCAGCGTGGGACCCAGAGCCACCGCATGACTCCCAGGAGAGACGCATGGCTTGGGCACGCTGCAGGCCAGGCCCCACGGCAAGTGCCACTCTCCACGGTGTTCCATTTTGTCACCCCCTCAGGGATGACACCCAGGGCGGACCGCACCCCCCTTCCTACGCCCCTGCTTGTGGGGGTGCCTGGTTGTGCCCTCTCAAGAAGTAAATAAGGAGGTCAGATACAGGATAAAGGAAGTCTTTTATTTAGTTGTTTGTATTGCTGTATGTTATAAGGGATGTGGGTGGCACTGTGGATTAAACCACTGAGCCTCTTGGGCTTGCCGATCAGAAGGTCAGCGGTTCAAATCCCGGTGATGGGGTGAGCTCCCGTTGCTCGGTCCCTGCTCCTGCCAACCTAGCAGTTCGAAAGCACGTCAAAGTGCAAGTAGATAAATAGGTACCACTCCAGCGGGAAGGTAAACGACGTTTCCGTGCACTGCTCTGGTTCGCCAGAAGCGGCTCAGTCATGCTGGCCACATGACCCGGAAGCTGTACGCCGGCTCCCTCGGCCAATAAAGCGAGATGAGCGCCACAACCCCAGAGTCGGTCACGACTGGACCTAATGGTCAGGGGTCCCTTTACCTTTACTTTTATTGCTGTATGTTATGCTCACTGTATGTTGTGTTTCTGTTTAATGAGGGTGGATTTGTGTATTGGGGGGGGTGGTTGTGTTATGTTGTAAATAAAATTCCAATAAAAATTAGAAGGGGAAAAAAGAAATGTGCCTGGGGCCACGCTCCCCCCCCCCCCACGCTACACCACTGCAGTAAAGGATACTGTCTCATCGCCAGTGTTGAAATAAGATTCAACTTCCGGTCCATTTGGATTCTGTGGCTTGTATCCTCTGTCCGCTAGCACAACGAAGGAATCCGGTGCAACAGTTGGACTAGTGAAAGCTCATTGGACAACAGATGATGTAACCTATTTTGCAACAGTTACCAGCAATTTACTTACGCGTTGTCTTGTGCAACTACTATCAACTGACATGAAAATAGAAGTTTTGCCAGCAGAGCAAGCATGCCACTAAATGACCTTAACTTAACACTACATCGGATGCATCGCTAAATTACAGAGATGTGCGTGGATCTTTTCCTTCACAACGGGCAGCAAAATGACTTGGGCAGCTCTGCTGGTGAGTGAGGAATGTGTAGGCATCTCTCTGCTAATGAAACACAGCTTTATCTCTCTCCCACCTTCTGAAGGGCCCTTTGTCATGACCCAAACGGAAAAAACTTCGTTCTTCTTCTTCTTCCAGGAACTGAGGCCCATGCTAGTACAATTCACTCTTACTCAGCAGATATCCAAGTACTTCCTGATGTCTTTAAATAATTTTTAGAGAGGCAGCAGCAAAAGCAGGAATTGCGGCTCTTGAGCCAGACGACTCTTGTTGAGTTGGGAAGGGTTCCTTTCTTTTTTGGACAGCGATAGCAGGCAGCTGATGCACTGGTTAGGAACATGGGAGAAATATGGTTCTGCTTGCATTTTTATATGAACCTACTTGATTTACACCTCCCTAAATGGTCCACAAAAGCAAAATGCAACTATATCACACTTCTCTGAATTTTGTGATGAAGTTCTCCAACCCAATAATAATGTACAAAAAGATATATTGGGAGAAAGTGTGCACAAACATGCATATATTAGGGAAAATAACATACTGAAATAATTATATTATTGCAAACTGCTTGCAAAATTGTATACATTAGGCAAAATTGCATATAATAATAATAATAATAATAATAATAATAATTTATTTGTACCCCGCCCATCTGGCTGGGTTTCCCCAGCCACTCTGGGCAACTTCCAACAAAGACAAAAAATACACTAAAATGTCACACATTAAAAACTTCCTTGAACAGGGCTGCCTTCAGATGTCTTCTGAATGTCAGGTAGTTGTTTATCTCTTTGACATCTGATGGGAGGGCATTCCACAGGGCGGGCGCCACTACTGAGAAGGCCCTCTGCCTGGTTCCCTGTAGTTTTGCTTCTTGCAATGAGGGAACCGTCAGAAGGCCCTCGGCGCTGGATCTCAGCATCAGGGCAGAACGATGGGGGTGGAGAAGCTCCTTCAGGTATATATATACATATACACACACACACACACACACACACACACACACACACACACACATATATATATATATATATATATATATATATATATATATATATATATATACACACACACACATATATATGTATTATAGGCTTCCCAGAGGGATCTGGTTGTGATAACAGCATGTTGGACTAGATGGGCCTTTGGCCTGATCCAGCAGGGCTTTTCTTGGGTTTTCATGTTCTTTTATTAATAGAAATTCACACAAAAATGCTGGGTGGAGGTCAATTCGCCTATAATTTTAAAAATAAAATGTTTTAATCTTTTTAATAATCTGTGTTTTATTCGGTGTTAAAGTGCTTTTATAAATTTACCCACCAAAATATAGAAAGTCAATTGCAACTCAAGAAACCTTTAATATATTAAATGTATAGTTGAATTAGAGGCTTGGAAATGGCAGCAGCAAAAAGTCAACCAGGAGGCTTTGTATTTTATTTTTTAAAAAGCAAGCGCTACAGTATTCTTTAATTTTGCAATATTTTAATTTAAAAAGAAAAGAAAAGGGCATAGTCCAAACTATTTGAGCACTAATTAATAGACGGATCAAAAAGAAAACAAGATTAATAGTAAGTAGGGAAAGGAAATTTGGGAAATGTCAAAGGAATGAAAAGCTTGTAAAAAAAACCAAAACTCCTGTGTTATATCAGAACAGAATTTCCTGCTGTTGAAAAACTTGAGGCATCAGATTCAGGAGTCGAATTTCTTTGATGTAATCAGCCAGTGAGCAATACACTGCTCTTTTTATGAGGCATCATCTAGTCTTGCGTCTAGCTTGATGCCAGTTAAAGGGGAAAAAAGCAGCAGCATAAACAAACACAATGGTTTGGTGAAGTTTTCTGTTGGGCTCAAGGAAATCAAGCAGGAAATTGAATTCCTAGAGGTGAACTTCAAAGGATCCCTTGTCACCAGATCTATCCCATGCCGTACTGTTATAGGTTTGTGGACTGTTCCAGCTTTACAAAGCTTCAAAAGGTCTAGTTTGGAAGCCTTTGACTCACCAGGACGCTGTCTGACTGCTGCTGAATGTGTCTTTTGTCCAGCCCTTGGGAGCATGCCAAGGCAAAAATAGTTTTGCGAACTCTGCTGCACACGCTCTGCGGCACCCATTAAAACATCATCTGTTGTTCACTTCACTAGACTTATGGCACATATCACATGGTCAAGAGCTGGGGAATCTGGAGATTTGCCCTCGGTGTGATCTCTCTCAGACAAAAAACCCGCTGAGTCATGAAGTCATGACGCTCAAGAGTTGGTAGAATGGGATTAGTAACACGAACGCATACGTGGGAATTCAGTTCATGCTTGGAGACATTACTTAAGGCGGCATTACTTACTTAACAGGGAGACGGCACTTGCTTCATCATTCATTTTGCAAATCTGACACTACTGAATTTGGTCTGAGTCAGGATTCAGGTGGCTTTTCCACCACAGGGGGTACTTGCAGACGGGTGCTTATTATGGGATGGGTCTCCTTATTCACTCCCCAGCATCCATATAGTATTGTTGGCATCAAAATCCCATCCCATATCTCCTCTCCTCTATTTAGTCCCGATTTACTATTTACAGGGGAAATCCTACATTAAAAAAAACAACTGTTGCCAATGATTCATTGAATCAATGAGTCTTTTGAAGATTAACTTCCCATCTGCAAACATCCAGAAACTGATAGTACCTCTTGAAATGCTGTGCTAACTGATCGCCAATGACTGCTCTTGAGGAGTGGGTCATTCTGATTTTATCTTGCATATATTTTAGCTTTACTCAAGAATATGACACACTTTCAGTTGCTCCTTGTAATTCATTCACTTTTTGACTCATGCTTTCCAAATTCTTCATCCTTCATTGTGCTAATCTATAGACAGTGGTACCTTGGGTTACATACACTTCAGGTTACATACGCTTTAGGTTACAGACTCCACTAACCCAGAAATAGTACCTTGGGTTAAGAACTTTGCTTCAGGATGAGAACAGAAATCGTGCTCCGGCGGCACAGTGGCAGCAGGAAGCCCCATTAGCTAAAGTGGTGCTTCAGGTTAAGAACAGTTTCAGGTTAAGTACGGACCTCCGGAACGAATTAAGTACTTAACCCGAGGTACCACTGTATATACATAATCCGATCAATTTAGGCACCCCTCTGTTTAACTAGCTATCTGTTGAGAGATTGATCAAAGTCCATAGAACTTTATGGTCTCTAAGGTGCCATAGAACTCTATTTGTGTCTTTTGTTGTTGTTGTTATTATTATTAATTGAATTTATGTATCACCCTATACCCGGAGGTCTCAGGTCACAGAACAGATGGACAAACACCGTTACTGCTTCAGTATGTAGGTCTGGGCAGAGGTGAAACTAGGCTTCATTTCATTCGGGTCAAAGACCCAGTTTAGTACACACCCCCCACCATGTGCATTTGTGTACACACAAACAGAGGCTGGAACCTCAATGGTGCCCCTCTAGAGGCTTCACCAGGGGCAAAAAAAAAACCTGACTAGCCCCCCGTAGCTACGGCACTGGCTTGGGTCTTCTTATTTTTTTTCTTTCTTTACTTTGAAGATGGCAGAAAATGGAAGATTGTCCCTTGCAGTTGACAATTCCATTGTCTTCCTGGTGAGAATTATGAGATCAGTGGGGCAGGAAAACAAATACCTTCATTTTTTAAAATTTTGCATAGCAATTAGTGACCAATGTGCTGAGTTCTCGTTTCTGCTGTGCTCAAGAATTGTTGTTTTTAAAGCAATTTCCGATCAGTGGGGTAAACCATGCTGAGACCTGCAGTTACAGAAACATCTGAAAAAAAGAGAACATTCTGTGTTGCATGGGTAATATGGGGGTGCGGTTGCTTATGTTGTGTAACTGTAAAGGCTGTTGAAAGATGATCAGTAAGAAACCCAGCTTTTTAACTAGACCATCCTCCTGCGCTTTTAACAGCAGTTTGGTGTGCGGACATTAGATATAATAACACTTGCATCTCCATGCCATGAGAGGTTTTCACTGCTGATTTCTGCATATCGAAGACAGTTAAAGGCAAATGACTGGGTCATGCTATTTTCTGCTCAGCTGGTCAGAAATGGCTCTGTAACTGGACATACTTCTTAAAATGTGAAAAAGCACAGAGGTTTAACTGGCACGCAGGAGGGAATGAGGCCCTTGGGCTTAAAAAGCCTTGCCCCCACCACTGAGGGGCCGTTATAAGCCAATGTAGAAAAAGAAAAGCTTAATCTAATGGGTGGTATTTTAGTGATGTATGGAAGTGAGAGCTAGACCATAAAGGCTGATCGCCGAAGAATTGATGCTTTTGAATTATGGTGCTGGAGGAGACTCTTGTGAGTCCCATGGACTGCAAGAAGATCAAACCTATCCATTCTGAAGGAAATCAGCTCTGAGTACTCACTGGAAGGACAGATCCTGAAGCTGAGGCTCCAATACTTTGGCCACCTCGTGAGAAGAGAAGACTCCCTGGAAAAGACCAGGATGCTGGGAAAGATGGAGGGCACAAGGAGAAGGGGACGACAGAAGACGAGGTGGTTGGATAGTGTTCTCGAAACTACCAGCATGAGTTTGACCAAACTGCGGGAGGCAGTGGAAAACAGGAGTGCCTGGCATGCTCTGGTCCACGGGGTCACGAAAAGTCGGACATGACTAAACAACAACAAAATGGGTGGTATTTAACCAAATTTTACTCAAAAGTTGCTCCACTGAAATAACATGACAAAATTAGACCCATTAATTTCATTAGGTCTAATTTAAATAAAACTTAGCTGGCTATAGAATTATAGAATCCTAGAACTGTAAAGTTGGAAGGGACCCCAAGGGTCATAGGCTGACCCCCTGCAACGCAGGAATCTCAAATAAAGCATCCCTGACAGATGGCCATCCAACCTCTGCTTAAAAACCTTCAAGGAAGGAGAGCCCACCACCGCCTGAGGGAGGTGAACAGCTCTTACAGTCAAAAACTTATTCCTGATGTTTAATCAGAATCTCCTTTCTTGTAACTTGAACACATTGGTTCAGGTCCTAGCCTCCAGAGCAGGAGAAAACAAGCTTGCTCCATCTTCAGTGTGACAGCCCTTTAGATATTTGAAAATGAATATCATATCTCCTCTCAGTCTCTTCTTTTCCAGGCCAAACATACCAACTCCCTCAAATGTTCCTCATAAGGCTCAGCTTCCAGGCCTTTTATCATTTTGGTAGCCCTCCTCTGCACAGCTTGTCAATATATTTCTTAAATTACGGCACCCAAAACTCAACTCCAGGCGTGGTCTGACCAAAGCAGAATAGTGGTATTATTACTTCCCTATACTTCTGTTGATGCAGCCTAGAATAGCATTAGGTTTTTTGCTGCTGCATCTCACTATTCACTCATGTTGACTACCACCCAATATATTTCTTAATGCTGCAGTCCTTGAGACATTTACTAGATGAACTGAAGTCAAGCGGTATTTTTCTCAGTAAAAACTTAGGATTGAATGAATGTGTTAAATTGTTTTGATAAAATAATAAAACTTGTTTTCAAAATTAGTGCCCAAAGCCTTCTTATTAATCAGCTACAACACTGGAATGTAGAAATGTACAGTGGTACCTCGGGTTAAGAACTTAATTTGTTCTGGAGGTCCGTTCTTAACCTGAAACTGTTCTTAACCTGAGGTACCACTTTAGCTAATGGGGCCTCCAGCTGCCGCCGCACCGCCGGAGCATGATTTCTGTTCTCATCCTGAAGCAAAGTTCTTACCCTGAGGTACTATTTCTGGGTTAGCGGAGTCTGTAACCTGAAGCATCTGTAACCCGAGATACCACTGTATCGGCTATTTGGGTAGAATACTGCCTTCCTATTTTCACTTATATCTCCACAAGGAAAATAGTTGTTTGTTTGTTTGTTTGTTTGAAGCAAAAAATAAAAAATTATGGGAAGAGGACTCTTAGCAACCCTGAGGAACCTCACAACACTTACAACTATGGGGTTATTAGGAAAGTTTCCTTAATTTCCCTTTCAAAAAAATTCTTGTGGCCTCTTTTAAGGGTAAAGGTGCACAGTCATAAAGCACACCTATTTTCTGAAGACAATGAGATCATGGAAGACCTAGAAAAAATGAGTTGTCAAGTAGTGAATCACAGGCTTTCCCAAGGATGCCTGTTTTGATTGGGGTGGTGGGAACCAGGTGGGTGAAGTCACGGTAGGCCGGTCACATGCACCACCAAGGGAGTACAAAATAGGGCACAGAGAGAGGGAGCAGAGAGGAGACAAGGAGTCTTAAAAAAACCCTAAAACTTTGTGTGTCCAACATCTAATCTTGCCCCTTTCTCAAATTTACTTCTTTGTAAATCTACCATAAAATAAAATAAGGATGAATGGCTTTTCTCAGGACAGTGGAGGCTGTGTGTGCTGTGTCCTGTTGGTGTGATGGTGTTGGCAATTGCCCTTCTTCTGATAGGAAATGCTATTGTGGGAGGACAAAAAGGTGGGGAAATCAAGGAGGGTCAGTTGTGTGGGGGAGTGAGAAATGTCCCTATTTTCACCAGAGGAATGTTGGAAGGTATGTGAGATCCTGCCAAATTAATACGTGAGCAAAGTAGGGAATTTTGGCAAATGCCACTGATCAAGTATGGGATGAAAGAGTTCTTCCCTTTTTGCTTAAAAACCCTCTTACACAATGTGAAAAGCACGGGGGCCTTGCCTTCCTTACCAGAAGCAATAATAAAGTTTCATTTTTGCTTGTTGGCCCATTTTACATATCAGGAGGAAGCAGCGGTCTAACCAAAAGCAAAAGCTGTTGACCGCAGTGAGCAACATGTAACTCACTCAAAAGACTTCAGGGACAGAAGATAACAGTCATAGTTGCCTCCTGCCGCCCTGCTATCAAAACTTGAAATAGGTTTGAAGTTTAAGGAAGTGGCTTGCAGATGTTTTAACCTCTTTTGGTGTTTTTCCCGGCAAAGCCCCATCAAGGTGCTGCTTCTGCTTGAATCTATGCTACCTGGTTGCTTAGGGAAATTTGAAATATTTGTGAAGGAAGGTGTGAGGTTTCTGTGAAGTATTGCAGGAAAGGCATGTGTTCATAGGGGGAAGGTGACCGCAAAAGAGTTCCCCTTATTCACCAGTTTCCTGAAAAACCCTGCAGAAGTCATTAACTTGCATCACACAGAATCTTTCGAAGAGGTCATGCTTATTGCCCACTGAAATTTTCATGCTGGTGGCAGATCAAAAGGATGTTACGACTTTCTGGATTAGTCACACTTTTACCAACATGTGTGTTATACAGCTTCTTGTATTTTGTCCAAAGGGGAATAAACATGCCTCCCTATAATATGTAAATGTGTTAGTTGGTTGGTTGTTAAGGGGCTTTTAAAAAACAACAACAGGTAAGCAACTTTGACCTCATCTTATCTGAGAATTATTTTATAAGCTTCTGCCAATTTATGTACTGTATGTGTGTTTATAGCTAGGAATGGGTGGCTACTGTAGAGTTGTGGAAGAGCAACCAAAATGATAAAGATAGAACAACTCCCCTCTGAGGAAAGGTTGCAGCATTTGGGATTGAATGTTGGAATATAAAAGGACTTTTCAATGCAGTGCTTAGTTAAACTACAGAACTTGCTCTCCCAGGAAGCAGTGATGGCCACCAACTTGGATGGTTTTAAAATAAGATTAGAGGAATTCATGGAGCATAAGGCTATCAGTGGCTGTTAACCATGATGGCTATGCTCTGCCTCCACAGGCAGAGGCAATATACTTCTGAATACCAGTTGCTGGAAACCATAGGAGGGGAGAGTGCTCTCATGCTCAGGTCCTGCTTGCAGGCTTTCCACAGGCATCATGTGAAGAAATACAGTTAATGCCAATTAACTGACTCCGCATTTGTGTGTAATGAGAGTGAGTGGAACATCACCATTCATCAGTGTATAAGCCTCTATCACGTCCCTCCTTCAGTGTCAAATGACAGAGGGCTTTTGGGGATGTTAAACCTTTTCCCTTCAGTGGTTTTGCCACTTAAAGTACTGACAAGATAAAAGTACTCTGTGCCATGTTTAGTTTGGCCCAACATTTGGAGGGAAACCATAGCTCAGTGGTAGAGTACATGCTTTGCATGCAGAAGATTCCTGGTTCAGTCCCTGGCATCTCCACAGAGGACTAGAAAAAGACTACTGTATTGTGGAATGCCACTTTGCGTCTGCTGCTAGTACTCTACAGAGTTGTATTTCATGAATTCATTAGCTGCTGGGGGTGGATGGATTATATTTTGTGCCCCACAAAGGGGCCTCCTACAGCCTCCTACAAATTCCCCAAACCACCCACACATTCCAGCTTCCATTGTGAGCTTTTCTGGTCTGCCGGATTACACAACCTGAAGTGTGGCCATATGAAAAGCTACATAAAAACACTGCTTGTTTCTGGAACCAACGAGGCAGATGATTTTGGGGAATAACAAATCAGTTGTGACGCCACCCTCAGAACATGTGCATAATTAGCCTCACTCTACACTTCACTTGAGTTATAAAGGAGAGATCTTCTTGCAATATGATTACTTCCAGGAAACATACTTTGTCTGCATCTGGTATGTGTTACAGATTTCATAAGGGCTGGTCCTCATATTTACCTTCTACTGTACCATGTGGCTTGACTCCCTTGCTTCAGTCACCCTGTAGGATCCTCAGTGTGGCATGTCTTCAGGTGCCTCCAGACAGGAAGCTCCTAGTGCTAGTCAATCATTGCTCTTCTGCTGTAAGGAAATGCAACTGAGGTCTCATCCACACTTCTAGGCACAAGTCTGAGAGGATTTTCTTTTGTCCTGCTGCTTTCCGGGGAAAATCTGCTGTTTACCACTGAATTAGAACAAAGTCAATCCACAAAAAACTTGATTGATGTTTGCTCTGATTCAGTGGTATACAGCTGGTTTTCCCAGGGAAAGAAGCAGAACAAAAACAAACAAACAAACAAACCTAGAAGTCATGGACCAAACAAAAGTGTAGATGAACCCTGACTTCCCATATTTCAGGGATATAGTGGCTTTTTTGTGGTTTATTCATCCTGCTGTTTTTCATCCACAGGATGGATAGAGGTGTGTATGTAGGACAGGCACAATTCACGTGAACAGCCATTTCCCCCACTTTTAAAATCTAGCCTTTTCATCAATGATTTAATTTGCATTAAAGCACATGTTTATTCAAGTACAATTGTGCTATTACTTTCAGAGCTAGTAAAAAATGTTTTGAAATGGAAAGTTCTCTCAAACTATGTAAAGGAATGCAAAATGACATGACACCAAACCCAAGTATTGTTTATGATAACACTGGCCAGAATCTTGTAAAGAAAGCTACTTCCGGCCTGCCCAGGAGGTGGGGTTGCGGGCTTCACGCCCACCCCCATGTGAGCGGGGGCTGGTTTCAGCCCCCGCGAGAGCAGGGGAATCCCGGCCGTGTCTGCCCTATTTAGGGCCGGCGCAGAGGGGGCTCACCCTCTTTTCGCCAGCTAGTCCCCACGTTTTCCCACCCTCCCTCCCTTTAGGTAGGCTTTAGGTAGGTCTCTAACTTTGCTATGGACTTCGGTCTGTCGCCGCATGGGGCATGGTAGGAATTTTTCCCAATTGGCAATTTACAGCCATTTGGTTTTTCGCCTACCTCGTAGCAACTCGTCACAACTCTTCGGCATTGGCGGTAGGCATTGGTAAGAAGGGGTTAAGAGGATGTGGGGGGGGGAGGAACGCCATCACCTCCCCCCAGTGAGCGAAGGGTGGTCCGTTAAAGGACTCCGGGGGCGTGGCCCTGTCCGAAGCCTATGGAGGTGTGGGCCAAAGGCACGCCCCCGAGCGGTGACCCGGGGAGCTCCTAGTCGACGTGCCTCGGCGGGAGTCTCCCGATATAGTGTTAACCCTTCCCCGTGTCTCCAGCAAATGGGCTGGAGCCGGATAGTCGTTAGGACCAATGCCTAAGCCAATGCCTCTCATTCCTGAATTCAATAAAGTTGTGGCCTAATTCGCCCATTTAACCTTAAACCATGGTGTCTCGTGTCTTTATTTATCCTGGTGGGGGGCGGGAACTCGCCACGCAGCACATTGGAAGATGTTGAAAACCTAATTAAATGGGCCTTCTAAGGAAACTCTTGGAACAACCAAATACTGTAAAACTAACAGCTGTGCTTAAGGAGAAAAAGAGAGGAAGTTATTAATGGTTGGAGTTTGGCAGCTGAGAAGGAATTGGGGAACTTGGGACAAGAAATAAACAAGTTAGTTACATTTTGAAATTGCCAATTATTTATTTATTTATCTATTTACAATACATATATTCATTTTCTTTGTAATATTAGTATAGAAACCATTTATATTTATATGCATGCACACACACACAGTTTCATGCTGCGTTATATTTAGCATATATAGATTAATATAGTTGGTGTATAAAGAATATTCAAAAAGGAAGGAATTAATATAAATGTTTTTAAATATTATGAAGTGTTTTAGGATGACTGGAAAAAAATAAGAAGTGCTAAAATTAATGGTGAAGAAAAATGATTTTTTTAAAATCAGTTTTATAATCACCCCTATAACTGTATTTCAGTTAAGCACTATTGCATGCATATGTTCATTTTTAAAAGAAATATAGATGGAAGAGTATTCTAGCACTAAATAGAATACAAATTTAAATGGTGTAAAGTGGCAATAGATTCCCCGGCACATATCATAACTAGAACTGTTAAACAGACAGAAGTGCTAAAGTAGTCTATACTTGCAGGGACGGCATTGCTCTTCAATTCTTTTAAAAAGCATCAGATATTCTACGGTCTGATGTAGATTCCCCCTAAAATATGAACCAAGTGTAACAATTCCACACTATGTGCTTTGTGATGAAGCACTTTGGGGCAGTGTCACTTAATGGAGAGGAAATGGGGCTGTTGTCTGAAGAGCCCTGCCCTCTGGGGAAAGGTGTAGTATGTGACAATTTGGCCTGGGGTGAGCCAGGGAATGAGAGATGAGACTTTTTATGTGGACAGAAGGCAGATAAATACCTGAATATTTGTAAATTAACAGACTATGGAGCGTGAGTGCAAATCTCCAGTACTCTCATCTACAAAGAATAAATAGAATCTTATGGTGACTGTCCCCAAAACCTTCAACTGCTTGGGGAAGTGGAAGTAGATAATGAAGCAACTACTGTATATCCTGCTAGTTTGAGTTACAACTTGCATTTTCAGACTGTGGCATCTTAAATGACAATTAATAACCAAGTGACAGATACAAGCTCTATAGAAATGACTGGAAAGGAAAGAATGGGGGATGTTTCTATCAGTGTGGCAAAAACAACAACTTCAAACACCCCCAAACTGTATAGAATCTATGTAGGTTCATTCTAGCTTAGCTATACACATCAAAGTAACTACACCCTATACATTTATATATGCAGGTCTATTCCACACAGGGTTTAAAACAGGAAACTAGATATAGCCTCTTCAAAATATAGATATGTTCTGTGCATGGAGAGTTCACTAAAGCAGGTAAAAGATTAGAAGACACAGTAAACAGGAAGGATGCCTACTAGCACATTATAGTCAAAGCAAAGCAGTCCATGGCAGTCATAGATGCTGAGCTGCAAGAATGGAGTTGACTGGCATGCTGACCTTCCTCTTCTTCCCTGGGCCACTTGCTTCCTCCTGGCTAAAAGCACTGTCCAGTCTCAATTTCTGCAAGAGTAATGGGAAAGAAGATTGGTTCTTCAGTATATCTTGTAATTCTAGGCACATCTGCCTCTCTAGAGTAGTGTATTTCAAACTGTGTATTATTCACTAAACTTTCCATCAACTTAAACTTTTCCCCATCAACTTGTCTGCTAAGGAATACTTGCAGGAAGATTGATGGAACTGTAACATATTGCAGAATATTCCAGAGCATGTTTTAGGGAATGAGTTCCCAAATTGTAATCCACGGACCATCAGCAAGATTCATTCAGTTGGTCTGCAGTGTATCTGCATCAACTATTAATATTGATTTTAAAATGTATTTTCATTCCTCCTGTCATTTCTTATGGTGTTGCGGACTGAATTCTATGCAGCGCAAATTGTAATACAATAAAATACAATATAAGAAATATAAGAAGCAAGAGAAATACAATTAAAAATCATACAGGACATTACAATTGCTGCAACAGGAGAGAGAAAAACCATTAAGCGGTCTGTCTAGCTAGGTCTTGGTTGAGACTGTGACCTAGAAGAACATACTCAGCATCCACCTGCAACTGTACATTGAAGGGGAAGCTATCTAGTGGGAGCGAGAAGCAAGCCTGCTTCTCATGGAATCTTGTCAGACATTATGCATCTTTTCTTTGTGCTTGAGGAGAAATTCGATTCAGTTTGCTTTTAAAAGAAAGCTTACCTAATTTGCACTATCAGAAACAATACAGCAACTGAAACAAACCACCCTTTGAAATTTGTATGTCTTTGAATTTTGCAGTGCAGCTCTCCGGCCAAGCAATGTGTACAAAAATCCATATATTGGGAGAAAGTGTGCATATAAATGAATATTAGTGGAAATAACATACACAAATCTATATGCTGGGAAATTGCTTTGCAAAATTGTGTATATTGGGGAAAATTGTGTATAAAATGTGTTTATTAGGAGCAATTTGCACTAAATTGCTGATTAATGTTCATGAGGATTAAAACAAAAATCACAAACTGATGTAGAAATATGGAGAACCAAATTTAAGAATGGAAAAATGAGGAATTGGGAGAAACCAAAATTGTCATATTTTGGTATGCAGTTTGAGTGCCACATCTTTAGAAGACTGTAGCCTTTTGAATGTGCTGCAATATCAAACAAAGGCAAGTACACAGTCACATCCAACTACCCTAATCAACATTCATGGCCCAAGGCCCACAGTCCATTTTCTGAATCTTCTTTAATTGTATTCATACATCAGATTGTGCCACAAAATATCCTTGTGTCCCAGGCTTAGCTTATTTGTTTTCAGTGAAAAAGCATTTTGTTATAGGTCTTTTAATTGTATCCAGGTAGTAGGAAGGTTCAGAGCAGAGGGACAAGAATAGTACTGACTAGAGCATCCTTCATCAACCTAGTGCCCACCAGATGTTATGGATTACAGCTTTCATCCTTGTTCCATCATGAGGCCATGTTCTATGTTCTACTACCAAGCAAATGCTGTAACCATGGCTTCTAAGTGACACAACAGCATAGGAGCCAAGTCCTAGGGGCTGAGGGTTCTTCGCCCCCCAATAAAATATTTGACACCCCCCCCCAAGTTGATGGGCATTGCCATTCAAATAGTGTGTGTGCACATCATGTCATGTGATCGATTATGCAGGATGGGGCTTACCAGTCCCTGCAACATTTTATTCAACTTGGCACCCCTGCACCACAGCACTATTTCATTGCAATTGGCTGCCCTTCCATTTTTCTGACCCTGAGGAAAGTTCCCTTCTCCACAGAATTATTTAACGATGGTGATGATTAATCATAATCATAAATGTAAAAACAAACATTTACGGTAATCTGTATAAATTATTTTTGGGCACAGAATAGCGATAGAGAAACTGTGACGCTTAAGTTGCTGTTTGTTTTCAACTCTCATCAGCCCCAGACAGCATGGCCAATGTATAGGGGTTGTGGAAGTTGTAATCTAACAACAACTAATGGGCCAGAGGTTCCATGTTCCATGCATGGAAATGCAGAAATTTCATTGACTATTTTTTAGACATCCACAGATTGCACACAGCTCAAGGTATAGTATATAAAACTTTACACAGCCAGATCTCACAGTGCACCTCTTTACCCTGTACATAGTGGCAGAATTGCAACCACAAGGATCGCGTTTCCTTTGCAGAAATGCTGCTTTTGAGGGCTCAAATGCTTTCTTCTAGCTGGTCTATAAATATTATTCTACCTTAAACACAAATAAACTATTTTTATAGAAGGGAGGAAACCTCAAATTGTTAGAAAGCAACCATTTCCAACCTAGGCCTACGAGTAAATGCAGGAGTTGCTAGATAGAGGAACTTTTCCCACAGTTTTCTGTTACTTCTGTTAATGCAGTGATCTCCTCATCCCCACATCATCAAAAAGGAGAAGTCCAGCCTTTGCACAGGGGACTGTCTTTAAAAAGTCTTCACTGAAGACTGGAGAAGTTAAGCACACAGGATTAAGCTGACTTCCCCACCACAGCCACCATCAAATGGCTGGGAAGTTAAAATGCATGAGTAGGGACTTCTGCTGTGCCTCATGCAGGGTTGGCCTGAGACCAAGACATTGTGATGCCTAAGGCAAAAACAGCTACTTTCCCCTACCCCATGCACAGACACTAATTGAAGTAGCTGACACAGCACAAGTAAGTTCAAATGTAGAAGTTCTATTGAAGTGAATGGGAGAGACACTGGTACAAACATGCCTTGTTGCAAAACTGAAGATATGTTTTGGGGCACAGATAAGTCAGTTTTTAAAGAAAAATCATTGTCTTGTGAATTAAGGTTTAATTTTAAGCTCTTCCTATGCAAAGGATTTAGTTCAAATTAGAAATGGTCTGAAGCTGGGATAGCTCAGTCGGAAGAGCATGAGACTATTAATCTCAGAGTCGTGGGTTCAAACCCCACATTGAGCAAAAAGATTCCAGCATTGGAGGCGATTGGACTAGATGACCTTGTTGTACATTCCAACTCTACACTTCTATGATTCTTTGAACATTTCCACTCAAGTTCTGTAATAAATGTAGGGGTTGCTCGTGAGCAAGTTGGTGCCACTCCTGGCTAGGTTGCCTTGTTAAACCTTTTCTGTCTGAACAGCCCTGCACTTCGTGGCTGTTCAGTCCCTAGCAGAATCCGTCAGTGGGCGTTTCTTAAACCTTTTCCAGCATAAAAGTTGTTTGACTCCAAGTCTCCTCCTACTCTCCCTGCGCGGAAGCCTTCTGCGCAGGGAGGGCGTGGGTAGTGGAGGACCCGTGCTCTCCTCGCTGATCTCTGGCGAGGAGTCCTGGAGCCCCCTCGCAGATTCCCCCATCTGCCCCCCTTTATCCCTGGTGTTACGCTGATTTCTTTCCCCAGCTGGTGAGCCGCCTCTCCCCCTGCTGGGCCCTTCTCCAGCTTGAGAGCCTAGCCTCCGCCTCTGGCTCCGATGTCAGTTCCCTGACAAGTTCTTTTGGTGATTTGGGAAGGGGTGGGGAGGAGAACTCCCCTGAAGTTTTGGGGGTGGGAAATGTTTGTAAGAATTTGGAAAGGGACTGGTTTACCTTCATTTATCAGGAAAGGTGGCTAAGTGGAGTAGGGTTTTTTTCTTTTTTTAAAAAAACCCCAAGTCTTATGACAGCTGTAAGTCACATGAGTGCTCTTTGCATCTTCCCTGCTGCATTTCCAGGTCCAACTGGAACAACAATGTGTAGTTCCCAACTCAACCTCACAACTTGAAAATTCTTATTTTCATTACCACAACCTCCTCAAATTATGAAGTCTCTCCCCCCCCCCAAAAAAACCCTAGGCAATATTAACAAGAATCCAGTTCAGCTCTCAGGTGGATGCTCATAAGCAAACGGGGCCCTCAGGCCTATCGCAGCTGCCTCCCCAGTCTCAGCTTCATCAGAATATCACTCTTCTCTTCTTGGCCTATCTCCCATCCCATGATGGTACAGGTGGTTGAAGGATGGAGTAAACCTAAGGTTTTTCCATGCCTTTTAGTTAGGTGGTAAGTAATCCAACTGATTACTAATTTGCTCCCTCTAGTTCTTCTCCCGTTACAGATTGCTTCAAAGGTCACTGCAACTGAGGAGAGGGTGTGGCAAGGAGTGAGGCTAGAGGCTGAACTTCAAGATTAGCTGATGTAAGGGATGAATGTGGTTGGTAGATATTTGGATATATATATAGTTTTATTTATTGTATCCTTCTTTTGTATTAATATGCTGTTCACTGTTGTGGAAGCCTTTGGGCCAAAAAGAAGTACAGTATATAAATAAACCATAGCAAATAAATCATAATGTTGGGAGAATGCCCATTTAATTAGGCCCCATAATTTAATCAGGAGCACCAAATATAAACAAACAGCCAGGTTAATTAATTGACTAGCACAAGAGTCCAAACTATTAATAATTCCTGCCTCTCCTAGAACTTCTCAAATTCATACTCCTCCATCATCTCCCAAGACAGATGGATGCCAACAACAAGATGAGGGAAAAGGAAACAGGGTTATGCCAGGGAAAACTTATGGTAGCCATGAATCTATTCATTCAAATATGTCATTTTTTGTAATGTTTGAGGCCCAAGACCAGGATCTTCCATAGTTTTTTTTTTTTAAGTCTATATATACCTCTAGTTTTTACCAAATATGGTAAGGGAAACTATGAAAAGCAAGTGAATAGTAAAGCCACCCCTTTCTGTGAAATTCTTTCCATACTAGTATCTCCACTGTCATTTGAATGTGTGTGTATATCATTAGAAAAGTGACTTTGCAAGAAAGGCATTTTCATCTTTTTAAAGATCTGTTCCCTAGATAGCCCTTGTCTCAGGCAAACATCCTTTCTGCCCTTCCCTGGAATCACAACAGTGGAAGAGTTTCTGTTCCACCCTGTTGCTTCTTTGGGGCTTTCTTTGTCCTAGGAAAAGCAGTCCTTCTGCCAAGAGCAATGTTAAGGATGGAGGTATGTCTGAGAGTTCCTGCCGAAGGGGAGAGAGATGCTTTTAGGGAAAGTCTGTCTGCCCCAATACTTCTTTAGTCACACTTTTAACATGCTGTTTGGAAAATGGATGGCTAGATGGGGAAGAACCAGTTGGTGGCTGGAGGGGGTGTGGGTTGGAACTGCCACATTTTCCTAGCAACAGCACTTGTTTGAGTGATCAGCAAAAGTGATACCACTACAATGGGTGTGCCAGCTGGATGGCAGACACTATAAGAGCCAGGCTAAATGGAAGAGAGTTAGAAGTAAAATACATTTAGGTCACCCAGAGCAACTTAATAATCCATTCCATTGTAACAATTTTCATAGGGGTAGTCTGTTACTAGATCTACTCATGTATCTGTACACGCATATGTGAAACCGTATCGATCCTGCATGTTCATGGAACTATTATTGTGGGGCTCGTTACTGGAGATGCTTGTATGCCACAGATGTTATTGAAATGGACACTATTATTTTAAAATTACCGGCTGAAATCCTGCTTATTTAAGGGAGTTAGCGAAGACCAACGAATGTAAGAAAAGGTCCTGCTTACAAGCATCTGGCTGGGCACTATGAGAACAGAATTCTAGGTTAGATGGGCCATTAGCCAGCTCCAGCAGACAGTCTCTTTTTATGTTCTTAATCTAAATGAATATGTGTTTATTTACAAAAAAATGGCAGACATAAGTAAAATGGCTTTGCAGCTCAAAGTGACAAAACATAAAGATAAAATAGCAGGGAGGTTAGTGAATACAATCTACTGAGGTTACCCAAATCTATATTGCCTGGATCATTAGCTTAAAAGTTCCTATTAGAAATAGAGAGATACAATGAGATATGCCATTATGAAATATGAGCAGGCACTCAGAAATCCAGACAAGCTATTGGGAAACTGAAATCCACCAGGAAGGGGGAAATTTCACATGCAAATGATGTGGGTTCAGATCTGACATGAACTGATCTGTGTCTGAACTGAGGGAGATCAGTGGAATAAAAGAAGGTAGAGAGAAGTGAGAGGGTACATGCAATAGTTTTAATGGAATTGACAAGCTGCATTACAGCTAATGTGTGCAACAGCATCCCAGCCCCTTTCTGGAATGAGTGTTTAGAGCAGAGAACTGGCAAAGGTGGGTGGGTTGATTAACATTTTCTTTGTTCACCATTTCATAATTCCTCCCTCAAAGCTCCTTTCCTTAGCATAGGGTTCCAAACACACATTATCCTTGCAAATGCACACTTTGAATCTCATAGGAGAGGAAGTTATTTGGGCAGGAAATGGGTGAGATTTAGAGTAAAGAACTTCCGGGTCAGCGCCATTGGTGAATGGCGGAGTTCCTCCGACCGGAGGAACGGGCTCCGTGAAAACTGGGTCTTCCCGCCGCGGCAAAGGTGGGGACCCGCTAGAAATCCCAGGCGGAGGAAGCCTGGGAACGTGGGGTTCGGCAGGGCACCAGAAGCGCCCCCCTACTCGCGGGGAATCCCATCTAGGGGCTCCGGAGCGAAGTGGGGTGAGAAGCGCGGCACTACGAACTGACTGCTACTTTCACGGAGTGAAGCCGCACAGCCATTGCCAGAGAGCGCTGACCTTTTCCTGTGGACAATTGGACTTAAACCAAGTACCCGTGAGTAGAAACGGAAAATTGGATCAAGAAATTGTTTTAATTTGGTATCGAAGCGGGAAGGTGTAAACAGGAAGTCCGCCTTCCGCTTTTTTGTATATAAACTAAAGCAAAAATTTTGCAAGCTAAAGCTGGGAAGCTGTTAAAAAAGCACTCAATTTCCTTCATTTAGAACCACTGAAACCCCCCTTGGAAGCAGGAGAAAAGGGGGGGGGACTCTGTTTAACCCTAGCAGGAGAGGGAGTGAAGAAGGATAAGTTTCCACCGTCTCTAACCTGGGAACGGGGTGTCAGAGACAGAAACTGTTGCTGAGATTCATTGACTGTGAACGTAACACTTTGACAGATAGCCAATGAAGAGAAACAAGTTGATTCTAATGTTGCCTTTTGCATCCTAAAGAAACAAAATATCTGAAAAACATCTGAAATATCTGAAAAATGAAAGTAACTTTCCTTTGTCTTTAAAAAAAAAATGGATACAAGTAGATTGTCTCCTCTAGAGGGAGCTTGCTAAATTGTTGTTGCAGCATATTTGAGACCCAACATCTGTGAGATTAAGACTGTGGGAACAGTCTTTTCCGACCTTGAACAAAGATGAGCTGGGAGAAAGACTGGCTGCTTGCTCTATGCAAGACAAATGCTCTGCTGGAACAGATGCATGAAAAGATGGACTTGATGAATGAGAAAATAGATTTGACTGTTGTGGTTAATAACATTGATGCAGAAATCATCCAAGAACCAACCTATCAATCTGTACCGACTGGGCAAGTGCAGTTGACAATGGAGGAGGATGTGGCTGCACCCCAAATAGTACAAATGGAGAGACCCGAGGCCCTACAGGAGCATAAGCCGCTGTTATTGAAGATTGAAGCTGGAGTGGGCCAAGGGGAGTCTGGAGATGAGGAGATTCCTAGCTTTGGAGAGATCTTGAAATTTGATTTTAAATTCATTTTGGATTATATCGAGGACTGTGGGGAGTGGGACTGTGGGGAATGGGTGAGCTGGATGAAGGGTGATGGAGAGAATTTTGGGTTGGAATCCCCCAGAGACCTACTCCTCAATGAGAAAGGAAAGAAACTAAGACAGAGACCAACAAGAGACAAGGAAAAGGGCAAGCACAAACAAGATGAAGAAGAATTGCAGAAGGGACATGGAAGAGATTTAAGGGCCTCGGACATAAGGCTTCCAGGTTGATGGACTAGACGGAATGGACAATAAGGACTGACATGACCCGAGACCAGGAAGAAGAGACGCTGGATGATGATTGGAAGAGAATTTATAATGGAAACTTTTTTATTTTAGAATCAGCTAATGAATATTAGGGAAAATGTGGGAATGAAACTATACGACTCTAGCAGAAATGATATTAGGAGTTATGTATATTTGAAATTTAAGATTTAAGTCTTAAGGCACTTAGGGGTAAGATAAGGTTAAATAAATTAAGGTAATCTGAATAATAGAATATGGGGAAAGATGGTAAGGATTTGTTGAGTTAATTATTAGGTTAAATTGTTAAGATAAATTTTATAACAAAAATTGAGAAAGATGGAAAGAATTTGCTGAAATAATTACTAAACTAGAATACAAAAACGGAGGTGTGAGAGGCATATAATCTGGACAAGAAAATTGGCTTCCAGGTGGAAAAATCAAAATTAGAAACAGAACTGTTAGAACCCAAAATGAAGATTTTGTCAAAGATGTATAACTTGCTGTTGAAATGGAACACTCAGGATGAAACGGTTAAATCTGCTATGATTAAGTGGGCACAAGATGTTGGACATAACATAATGATGGCTGACTGGGAACAGTTATGGACCACAGGTATGAAGTTTACGGCATGCAATGCCTTAAGAGAGAATATTATGAAAATGATGTACAGGTGGTACATGACACCAGTCAAGCTTGCAAAAATCTATCATTTGCCCGATAATAAATGTTGGAAATGTAAAGAAACTGAAGGTACATTCTTTCACCTTTGGTGGACGTGCCCAAGGATTAAGGCTTTCTGGGAGATGATTTATAATGAAATGAAAAGGGTATTTAAATATACCTTCTTGAAGAAACCAGAGGCCTTTCTCCTGGGCATGGTCGGCCAAACGGTGCTAAAGAAGGACAGAATTTTCTTTATGTATGCCACAACAGCAGCAAGAATACTTATTGCAAAGTATTGGAAGGCACAAGATTTACCCACTCTGGAAGAATGGCAGATGAAGGTGATGGACTATATGGAACTGGCGGAAATGACTGGCAGAATCCGAGACCAGGGAGAAGAGTCGGTGGAAGAAGATTGGAAGAAATTTAAAGACTATTTACAGAAATACTGCAAAATTAATGAATGTTAGAATGATGTCAGAATGAAATTAAGTGGTCTTAGCAACAATGTTATAAAGGTGTATGTACAAATGGATTGTTAACAGATGAGAATCTAAAGTTATAATATGTTAAGTTAAAGGATTAAGATAAAAACAAAGAGGGAAAGGAATTGCTGAATTAACTAATAGAACTGGAATACAAAAAAGGGAGCTGTGAGAAAGTCAGGGAAGTAAGGAAATGAAATGTAAGCTATGGAAAGATCGATGTGTTTTTTCTTTTAAGTGCTTTTTATCTTTTTCTGTATTTTGTATTTTGTATTTTTTTCTTTTCTTTTTTACCTATGTAATTTTTTCTTTGAAACTTTAATAAATATCATTTTAAAAAAACAAAAAAAACGGAGGTGTGAGGAGGTCAATGAAACAAGCAAATGGAAATTATGGATATGCAATTTGGGATTTGGGTTTTTTTCTTTTTTTTTTCTTCTTTTTACTTTTTTATTGCTGTATTGTCATATTGGTTTTCACATTTTGTGCTTTTCTCTTTTTTTAATGTCTTCTTTTTCTTTTTTTCTTTTTTTGTATTGTAGTGTTATTTTTTGTTTTTTATTTTTCTTGTAATTTTGAAATTATCAATAAATATTATTCTAAAAAAAAAAAGTGATTTAGAGTAAGGAAATGGTGGACACAGAAAGGATTAAGCAGCCTTCCCTTCTATTTCTAAATTTCCCCTTTTGAACTGACTTTAACTTTTTAAAAGAAAGCCTTGGAACACACTTACATCCCACAGGGATAGGAAATCTGTGGCTCTCCTGTTGTCTCCCATCTGCTCCAGCCAAAGTTGCCAATATATAGGAATAGTCTGAGATGGTGCGATCAACACATGGAGGACCACAGGTTCCCATCTCGCTATTGGTTAGCTCTTGAGCCAAGTAAAGGTAAAGGTAAAGGGACCCCTGACCATTAGGTCCAGTCGTAGCTGACTCTGGGGTTGCGGCGCTCATCTCACTTTATTGGCCGAAGGAGCCGGCGTACAGAAGAAGAAGAAGAAGAGTTTGGATTTGATATCCCGCCTTTCACTCCCCTTCAGGAGTCTCAAAGTGGCTAACATTCTCCTTTCCCTTCCTCCCCCACAACAAACACTCTGTGAGATGAGTGGGGCTGAGAGACTTTAAAGAAGTGTGACTGGCCCATGGTCACCCAGCAGCTGCATGTGGAGGAGCGGAGACGCAAACCCGGTTCCCCAGATTACGAGACTACCGCTCTTAACCACTACACCACACTGGCTCTCAAGTGCAGCTTCCGGGTCATGTGGCCAGCATGACTAAGCCGCTTCTGGCGAACCAGAGCAGTGCACGGAAACACCGTTTACCTTCCCGCCGGAGCTTACTTGCACTTTGACGTGCTTTCAAACTGCTAGGTTGGCAGGAGCAGGCACCGAGCAATGGGAGCTCACCCTGTCGTGGGAATTCGAACCGCGACCTTCTGATCGGCAAGCCCTAGGCTCTGGTGGTTTGACCCACAGCGCCACCAGCGTCCCTCTTGAGCCAAGTACTTCAGCTTAATTTGGCTGTATTCCGGGGTGTAAGTAAAGAAGAGTCAGCTACAAAATGAGATCACCCTAATACATTCTTTGATCTCTCTTGCCTACGTTTTACTGCACTTTCTTACCCACAATGTTATATTCAAATTTTTGTAGTCTGGTTTTCTTTGTGAGCCCGATTCCACTAAAGTATGTGCTAATCATTTATTTGGCTTGCCTACTTCCTAGTGAGACAATGGGAAGGGAAAGTCCCTGTGGTATGTGGAACAGAATGAATGAATCATTCACAAAGTAATGGCATTTTGAGATCAGTGTACTGCTTTTGTCTAGCAACCTGGTGTTCTTTTCCCCTGAAGTAGTCCACATGATCTTGCCTGTAGTCAAGAGAGTCTCTGAAAAATGGGAGTCCATTTTCCCATTGATAAAATTGCCAATGAAAATGGTTATTTATTTATGCTAGAAATTAATTACTGTGGTGACAAAAAGTAGAGGGAAGAATGTGCCCACATCTATTCCTTGACAGTAGAGTGCCCAGTACTAACGTGTTCTACTTTAATACAAGCCATCAAATTTAAATCTGCAGCATGCATGAATCATGCCATTTTAATGAGGGCCACTATCCACAGTGTGTGTTCAATGAGTCAGCACTTTCAGACTGCTGAGTAAAGGAAGTGCAAAATTGTATCCTTCCTATTTTTTCATACAAGAGACAAGGGCTGACGTGAACAAGCCCTAAACTTACTCAATGATTACTTCAGACAAAATGTCATGTCATCATTTCAAAATATACCACATACACTGAGTCAGTAGCCTCATGGGTCAAAGTTTGGACACCATTACAGGGCACCAAACTTTCAGTTATTTAATATATTACAGTATGTATATTTTTGTCCTGTGCTGCCACTGAGACTTTCTGCCTCAAGCACTGAAAGGGCTGACACAGGGTTAACGAGCATTTTTTACTCTATGAAGCCAAACCCTCTAGCAGTACCCTTGTCCTCCTCAGCTTTCTTTTAAAAAACATTGCAAGATGTTCATAGAAGCACTGAAGTATATTTTCCCTTACATAGGTTTCTATTATCACCTTCATCTGGCTATGCATTACTGTGTGTTGTACATTGCAAACAGTTAAAATAATTTTAAAAGAAACCTTTTAATGGATTGCAAAATCATTGGCATAATAATTTATATAGCACTTTTGTGGTCAAAGTCTGCACCCACTTATTTCAGAAATCCTTTCCTGTAAGACAGGCCAGTCTTACCACTCTAATCTTGCAGGCAGGCGGCTGAGGCTGCAATCCTAAGAGGGGTGTGTGTGTGTGTGCGAAATCCAAAGACAGTTCTACAGTCATTTGATTTCATCAACCATTACCAAGAAGTTCCAAAACCATGGCACATTTGTAATCCAGAGATTACGAATTCCCCCCTCCTCAATGTAACTTGAATACTAAAGGATTTTACATCTTGACAGAACCAACACAACTACTGCTGTTTTAAGGAATGTCAGCATTGATTCCAAGCATCCCCTAAAAGCTGAAAACAAGCATTAAGTTCTCATCTAATGTTGGCACCATCATGTGGCACTAGGGATTGGTTAGAGGTGTGGCCTAATGCTAGAAGATCTAGCTGTTTCAGATAAATCACAATTTGGGGTTTTTGCTTTTTAGGTGGTATTGCGTTGTGCACTATTGCAAAATATTTTCCAGACTTCCGGGACTCCTACTGGAAATGCAGATACATTGGCTTTAGGTGGTGTCAGCAAAGACAGTAAGCCACATTCTCCAGCTTCAGGTGTCACTTCAGGGTGCAGGGATAGTTGAAGGGAAAAATTGATTTCACATGGTGCATGAAGACTTATTGAAGTGTTGGTCCAAGCTAGGAGTAGAGGAACATTTGCATACCACTTCAGGCAGAAAAATGCTTTGAACTGGCACTGGTAGTCAGAGAAGCAGCTATTGTTAATCATGTTTACAATGTAGTGCTCACCTGATGAGATGCTTTTTCTGCCCCTTTTACACCAGTCTTTCTAGATGTTTCTGAAATATAAACATTATGCTGTTTCAGGTAGATATCTTTTAAAAAATACTCTATTATTTAAATATATACCTTTTAAAAAAAAAAGATTTTGATAAACACAAATTTATAATACAGACAAATCACTGAATACAAAGGAGCTAAATCAGAAAAATTAAAATGCATCTCTTTTAATGTAAAATATTAGTTGGACACCAGATCAGTCATAAGAACATAATCCCTACTGCATAAGACCAAAGGCCTATCTCTATCTATGTGTCCTACAGTAGCTAACTAAGTATCTATGGGAAGTCCCCAAGAAGTATTCTCCCACTATTCTTCCTAGTGATTGGTATTTAGATCCATGGTACTTCTGATCCTGTAGTATAGCTATCACAACCAGAAGCCACTGGTAGTCTTAACCTCCAGCAGTATAATCCTAATAGAGGCAAACACTGGGACAGGCATAAAATTGTAATGCAACAGACGCACAACTTATGAGGGGGTTACGTTCCAGGGATACCGCATTAAGTTAAAATCCCATATACAGTGGTACCTTGGGTTACATACGCTTCAGGTTACATACGCTTCAGGTTACAGACTCCACTAACCCAGAAATATTACCTCTGGTTAAGAACTTTGCATTAGGATGAGAACAGAAATCGGGCTCCGGCGGCGCAGCAGCAGCAGGAGGCCCCATTAGCTAAAGAGTTGCTTCAGGTTAAGAACAGTTTCAGGTTAAGAATGGACCTCTGGAACGGTCGGTGGAAGAAGATTGGAAGAAATTTAAAGACTATCTACAGAAATATTGTAAAATTAATGAATGTTAGAATGATGTTGGATAGAAATTAAGTGGTTTTCAGCTGTAATACTATAAGGGAATATGAAAAATGGATTATTCATAGGTAAAAATTTAACGTTACAATATTTTAAGATTAAAGACTAGGATAAACAAAGAGGGTAAGGATTTGCTGAACCAACAAACCGAACTGGAATACAAAAAAGGGAGGCGTGAGGAGGTCCGGGAAACAAGCTAATGAAAAATAAGTAATGGAAAGATTGAGTTGTTTTTAACCATTTTTATTTTGTATTTTCTTCTTTTTTTATTTTTATTTTGTAATATTTTGAAAATCTTAATAAATATCTTACAAAAAAAAATAAAAAATGGACCTCTGGAACAAATTAAGTACTTAACCCGAGGTACCACTGTAGTCAAAACACATTGAGTGCAACTGCGGGTGAGACTGCCAAAGTCGTTTTCCCCAGACGCTCTCCCCCTTTCTTCCAACTTTTTTTTGCTTATGAACTCACTGCCACCAGATAAGGGGGCAGGGAGATTATTTCTACAAGGTTACCCCATTATTATTCAGCCTGGATAACCTCCCTGGTGTCTCCTTGAAGGCTTTCAAGGTACTGTAGGCTATGGCTTCCAGGTATGAGGGTGTTTAACATAAGCTAAGACCACACAGGGAAGCAGGTGGCGCTATGGGTTAAACCACAGAGCCTAGGGCTTGCCGATCAGAAAGTCAGCGGTTCGAATCCCCGCGATGGGGTGAGCTCCCGTTGCTTGGTCCCTGCTCCAGCCAACCTAGCAGTTCGAAAGCACATCAAAGTGCAAGTAGATAAATAGGTACCGCTCTGGCAGCAAGGTAAACAGTGTTTCCGTGCACTGCTCTGGTTCGCCATGCTGGCTACATGACCCGGAAGCTGTACGCCAGCTCCCTTGACCAATAAAGCGAGATGAGCACCACAACCCCCGAGTTGTCCGCGACTGGACCTAATGGGCAGGGGTCCCTTTACCTTTAAGACCACACAAGCTAATGAAACAAGTGAAGAGTTTAAAATAGATAAATAGATAAAAATGCCACCCACTTTCCCTAGACTTAACCAGTTTTCACCTCAGCAGACTCTCAAGAGGAATCTTTATCTTGAGTAGCAGCCCTTTCTTATTTGCTTGCCTTTGTCCCAGACAAGTTTCTCATTGCACTGAGTTCCATCTTGAACTAAACAGCTCCTAGCTAGCTACCTGCAGAGATAGACTCCCGGCTATCACAGGCCCCAGAAAGAACCCTTGGTAAAACCAGAAAGCACTATTTCAAAGGGGGGGGGGGCACTTCACTTGGCAAGCATCAGACTGGGCCTTTCTGCGGTGGCCCCATCCCTATGAAATGCTCTTCTCTGTGACATACGCCTAGTTCATTGCTGACTATAAACAGGCCTTAAGTGCCTGGCTATTTCTGATGTTTATAATTGCTATTAACTGATTGCTGGTTTCATATTTGATAGTTAACATTTTAACCATTACTAGTATTTTTATTTTTGTTTATTTTTTATAGCTTTATATTCTATAAATTACTTTGAGAAGGTTATCACTGTTAAAGGTGGCACAAAAATATTTCAAATGAATAAAGAAATACCTGCTCCCTTTTGATTAAAAAAACCACTGTTTTTGCCTTCTGAATCTGCATTCCCTTCATGCATCCTGTTTTTCTCCATGCCATCAACTTGCAGGTTCTGTAATACAATTTACAAGCACAGGGATTCTTTTTCATTCAGTTCAGTACAGGGAAGAGTTATCTGCATGTTCATGACTAACTCTGCTAATTAGTTAATTATTTCGCAAACAATATGTGATTTTGAGTTATTATTCCACTGATTAAATTTGGAACTTCCTATGTTCCTTTCTATACAACCCTGGTTGTTTGTTGTTTCTGGGGGTTTTTTGGGTTTTTTAAAACCATATCAAACATCTGGATGTGCCCTTAGAAATAACTTCTTGAGCATAAGGACTGTTCAGCAGTCCACCATCCTGCCTGTGAAACAACCTGCCCTGAAGAAAGACTGAACAGATATTGTGCAGTGGATGCTTTAATAATAGGATGTTTTCTTTCAGGAGCATGGTCAAACTCAACCACCATTCAATCCCTTTTAAATCTAGAATTTTAAGTAGTAGTAATAGTAATAATAATTTTATTATTTATACTCCACCCATCTGGCTGGGTTTCCCCAGCAACTCTGGGCAGCTTACAGCACATAAAAAATTGTAAAACATCAGACATTAAAAATTTCCCAATACAGGGCTGCCCCCCTACTACAACACATACAAACAATGGATTCAGGAAAATGATATTGTATATAACCTCTTCCTTTACTTTAGTGCTGCCTTCCTCTTCTTCCTCATCACAGTCTAGCCCCTGATGGGAGATCTCAGTGGAACCATTCTCCTCAACCAGATTGCTCTCCAGCAACCCCATCCGTTTGCTATCTGTTGTTACTCTCACTTTCATAATGTGGAACCCAGTGGAGACTGACCCGACTTTGAGGTTCACTGGTTCACCATCAAAAAGCAGGCAATCAGAGATGTTGCCTTCCTTAAAGCCAGGGGGTTGGTAATCATTGGGTGTGACTGCAAAGGAAAGACATATGAAATCCTGTGCTGCACAGCCTGAAGCAAAAGGCAAATGCAGGCCCCAGAGCAAGAAGCTAGGCTAGGCAGCTGAAGAAAATCGAAAAAACAACAACCATGGTTAGTTCATTAGATATTGTGCTCCATGTTATTTTGTGCATCTCTTGTTTATTTATTATTTATGTCAAAGAATTAAATACCACTTGATTGTTTTTTTAAAAAGCCCTGCAAAGTGGTTTATGAGGAGAATAAAACAATGAAATTATCAAAATGAATTATTTGTTCCAACATTTATTTATTTATTTATTTATTTATTTATAGCATTTTAACACCGCTTTTCAGTCAAAAGAAGTTCCCAGAATGGCTTACATAAGAATCAGAGAATTGTTAACTTGGAATGAACTCAAAGGGTCACCTAGTGAGTCTAACTTCTTACTCTGCTGGAATCTCAATTAAAGCATCCCATCCAACCTCTGCTTTAAAACCTTCAAGGAAGGAGAGCCTACTACCTCCTGAGGGAGGTGAACAGCTCTTACTGTCAGAAAGTTATTCCTGATGTTTAGTTGGAATCTCCTTTCTTGTAACTTGAACCCGTTGGTTCAGGTCCTAGCCTCCAGAGCAGGAGAAAACAAGCTTGCTTCCTCTTCCATGTGACAGCATTTTAGATATTTGAAACCAGCCATTTGAACCCATTTGGTTTTGTCACCTACCTCGTAGCAAATTGTCACAACTTTGTAGGGTTAGGCGGTTAGGCATTGGAGTATTAGGTTGAAGGTGAGGAGAGGTAGTGGCCATCACCTACCCCTCCTAATTCAAGGGTATTCCGTTAAAGAAATCCGAGGGGCGTGGTCGCTGTCCAACGCCCCAGATGGGGGGCTAGAGCCATGGCACGACCCCTAGCGGTGACCCCGGGGGAGTACCTAGTTGATGTGCATCAGCAGGGCTTCCCCCAACTGGTGGTTAACCCTTCCAAGACTTCCTGCAGATGGGCAGGAGTCAGATATAGTCATTTCGTTTCCAATGCCTAAGCAATACCACTCACATTCTGTAACCAATAAAGTTGTGGCCTTTTTTGCCCATTAATCTAAAATACTGGTTTCATGTGTCTTTATTCCAACATCCCGGAAGGTATTGGGACCTTGCCACACAATCTCCTTTTTTTCTCATTTGAACCTGTTGGTTCAGGCCCTAGCCTCCAGAGCAGGAGAAAACAAGCTTGCTTCCTCTTCCATGTGACAGCATTTTTTATATTTGAAGATGGCTATCATATTTCCTCTCAGTCTCCTCTTCTCCAGGCCAAACATAGCGACTCCCTCAACTGTTCCTCATAAGGCTCCGCTTCCAGACCTTTTATCATCTTAGTAGTCCTCCACTGCACATGTTCCATCATGTCAGTATTTTTTCTTAAATTGTGGTTCTCTAGAGGTGCTCTGACCAAGACAGAATAGAGCAGGACTATTACTTCTCTTAACTGGGATACTATACTCTGTTGATGCAGCCTAGAATAGCATTAGGTTTCTTTGCAGCTGCATAACACTGTTCACTCAGGTTTGTTGTCTACGAAGACCCCTAGATCTTTTTCACATGTACTACTGTCAAGCCAGGGACGCGGGTGGCACTGTGGGTTAAACCACAGAACCTTGGGCTTGCCGATCAGAAGGTTGGCGTTTCGAATCCCTGCGATGGGGTGAGCTCCCGTTACTCGGTCCCTGCTCCTACCAACCTAGCAGTTCGAAAGCACGTTCGCCAGAAGCGGCTTAGTCATGCTGGCCACATGACCCAGAAGCTGTATGCTGGCTCCCTCAGCCAATAAAGCGAGATGAGCGCCGCAACCCCAGAGTCGGCCACAACTGGACCCAATGGTCAGGGGTCCCTTTACCTTTACCATCAAGCCAGGTGTCTCCCATCTTATGTCTGTGCAGCTGTTTGTTCAACCTAAAACCTTACATTTGTCATTATTGAAATTCATTTTATTAGTTTTGGCCCACTTCTCCAATCTGTTAAGGTCATCTTGAATCCTGATTCTGTCTTCTGAGGTATTGGCTACCCTTCCCAGTTTGTTTGGATGAGCATAACCACAATACCTTCATCCAAGTCATTTATAAAGATCTTAAACAAGAACAGAACCCTGTGGACAGAACCCTGTGGTCCCCCACTTGTCACATTTTTCTAGGATGACAAGGAACCACTTAGGTATGTAGCTGTTCTCACACGATCCCTCCATTCCTTCCCACTGCCCACCTTGACAACCAATTTGCCTCCAAGCTGCAAACTCTGACATACATTTTGATAGCAGTTCCCCAATTTCCTTGTTTGTGTGCTAGTCCTGGGAATTAAATTAAGGGAAGCAAAGAAAGGTGGAATCTCATCACCTACCATCATTGTAGAAGAACAGTTTCATGGTCAATGTAATGTCATTAGGCAGTGGTCCAAGATTCTGCATTAAGACATACAGTTTGCGGATCAGCAAGATGCTGGCTTGCTTAATTTCCTCACTGTTCCCTCCATTTGTAAAGTTCCCTTGAGTGTCACCACTGAAACAATAAAGAAGTCAAAGTCTGCTCCAAATCATATGGCTCAACATTAAGGCATAAAACAAACTTTAAAAGTAGATACACTCAACAGGTGCAAAGAAACAGTTTACTGAATTGAGGAGCTGAAGTTCAATATAATCCTATAAAATAAGCTACTGCACCAGAAAATAGATGTGCAGGATCAGATGTAAGGGACACTACTTTCTATGCAATACCAGCGCAATGCATAGCTGTGTACTGACAACATGGGAAGCTGACATGTGCTATGTCAAACCACTGATCCCATTGGCAGGCATCTTTCCCAAACCTTTGGGCCTTTTGCATGGAAAGCATGTGCTCTGCTACTGAACTTTGGTCCTTCCCCCAACCTATGAGCCAACCCTAGGAGTTTGAACCCACAGGAGAATGAGTCAGTTGCAAGCTGATGTGCCACTGACAGTCATGGACAGTTCCACTCTCATGAATAACTGCTCGTGTGAACACTAGTTGCATGAGCAGTGTGACATGAAAGCCTTGAACACACACAAGATTGCAAATATGATTGCATCTGTTGGGAAATTTTTAACAATGTGTCTGTTTCATGGAATTGGAGCAATGATCTTACATGAGTTCACAGTACTGTAATCATATAATTTCACGTGATAAATTATTTGTGGGAGTGAGCAACCTATGGAACATTAGAACTGACTCTGAAGTGTTCTTTGTCATTATACCTTCCCTAAATGAGTGGAAGACACATGGAAAGAGGGCCAAGGACAGGACAAGAGGTATGTGCCATCTGAAGACACTTCAGCTATCACAGATCTACTTACAACAAAGCAACTTGAAACATGTGCAGTGATATGCTGCTGCAGCCTCTTCTGATAAGATTGCAGATTGAGTTGCCAGACTTAGGATAACATTGTAGTTACACCAACGCAAGCCAGTGTGTATGTGTTGGCTATAGCATCTAACCATTCTACAGGATTTGAACATCAATCTCACAGCGCCAGTAGAAGCCAAAATAGCAAAATGATTTTCAGTCACAAAAGCAACCACTGCCACTTATGCCCCACTGGCAAATATAGAACACCCACTGACACATTTTACAGTAAGGATATAAAAGGGCTGCAGAGTATTTTCACCACTATAATCAAGATAAATAGGAAAGACAGATTTGCAGTGGGCTACTGCCTAGAATTACAAAATTTGTCATTAACACATGAATTGACACTATGACTGTGGAAAGGGCACAGCTCCAAAATTAAAAATGGTTATGAATACTCATTTGTTCAGCATTTGTATCTATGAATCCTATCTAAGAAATAAGGAAGCAATTTCAGAAACCATCAGATTGCCACTGGAGAGTATGTGCTCATCCTTCTAAGAAAGATTTAATTAAAGCAAGCTGAACAGGTTTATTTCAGCACCTCTAAATCTGTAACCCAGATCTTGACATCTAGCTCTAGTTCACACAGCAAGAAGACTAGGTGCAAAGTGAGTGGTGAGATATTCAAGAGGATAACTGAAAGTGCCAAATCACATTAACATTTTTTTTCACCATGGAGGCACATCATGAGTACCTTGTGAAGTGGCTTATCAAAGAAAATCTGAATTCTAGGTTGTACAGGGTATTTTAACTAGATGGTATATGATTTTGTAGAACTGTTTACAAACTACAGTTCCACATGATTTGTGCCACCTGGTGGCAGTGGTGGGGAAAGCACCATCTGACAGGAAAGTGTGCAATTTGGAGTCCAATTACCATAATACATCTCAGTTCATCTGTCAAATCAGAAGATGGCCTGAGGCCACTCACTATTGTCTCTGTCTGATCCTAATCTTGCCCTGAAGCAAGTCCAGCTGTATTTAATATGATTCATTCCTTAGGAGGTAGACACGTGATTGCACCCTTAGTACTGTAAAGAGGAATCTTATAGTTATCTAATTCACAGGCTTGTTGTAGGAGACATGCAATAATAGACTGCAAAGTAGTTTACATGTGAAAAGGCACTACACAGTAAATAAATAAATAAATAAAACAAAAGTGTGTCTGCATAAGAGCAGTTTTCTCAAATTAAACACTTCAAGGCAGGGATAGGGAACCAAATGCAGCCCTCCAAGCCTGTGTCCAGCCCTCAGGACTCTCCTCAGACCATGCCCTTCACTGCCCCTCCTCTAGAGCTTTTGCCTGGTTCTGATGTGTCCTTGAATAATACCTCTTGCTTACATGGATAGAGGATGGAGAGAAGTGCAGAAACCTCTGACTGCTGGATAGCCTTCTGTAAAAAAACATAGACCCTGCTCCTTTTAGGTTCTGGCACTGCCTATGCCTCAGGGCTGGCATGTGGCCCCTGGAAGGTTTCCCATGAAGGAGTGTTGCTCACAAGCTGAAAAGGGTTTCCCATCCCTGTTTTAAGGCAAGCATCTCTCTCAAGGTATTTGCCCGAGAAACTAAATGATGAAGTGTTTACCTATCGAAGTCCATCTGAGGTCCATTCCTTGAATACTTGAACTTGAACCGGTAGAATTCTGTCATGTGCTGGAGATTGAAAAGCAAAGAGCAAGACCGATTGTAACTTGCTACTGTAACAAATAGACTTCTGACCATCATGGGATGTTCTAGCCATATAATAATTCCCACATGAGATCTCAGAAAGTGTTTTCCATCTCCTTAGATCAGGGGTCTGCAACCTTTAAGACAAAAAGAGCCACTTGGACCCGTTTCCGAAGAAAAAAAACTGGGAGCCGCAAAACTCGTCATTATAAAAATAACTTTTTTGTCACTTTTTTATTATTTCTTTGTTTGACCCCTCAGAATTACTCCTCCTCATAGAAATAAACGTTAAATTAACAAGTTACCTTTTTGTGTGTGTGTGTTCTTCACTCCCCTTCAAAACAGTGACCAGCGTACATGCCCCCTTTCAATGCAGTGACCAGCGTACATGCCCCTTACAATGTAGCGGGCGGGCGGGTGGGAAGGTGACGTCGGGACAGTGCGTGACTAATGCACGCACCGCCCCCATGCGACGTCACAGCCAGTACAGCGCCCGCCACAGTGGGGAGTGTCGGGGCGCACAATGCGCCTCCTCCCCTTGCTAGTATCCGCCCCGGAGCCGCGGCAAAAGAGCCACATGCGGCTCCGGAGCCGCGGGTTGCCGACCCCTGCCTTAGATTAAAGCACATGAGCTATCTGTTGACATTTTACTCCCTTCTTCAAGTTGATTGCTTTGTCCTTAGATATCATTACTGTGTTGTATTAAGGACAGTCCCACACTTGATGCCATTACACAGAAAACTTTATGTTGGTCCTATAAAATGTTATTTTATCCATACACAGACCATTTATTACATTACTTTGGCTCTAATTAGCTGGAACATTTAGTACTCCGTGTACAATGGTGCCAGCCTAACTCATCTGTCATGCTAAGAAAAAATGTGTATGGAAAAAATAAACAGCTGACGGAGGGCAAAAAAATAATAAAAATGAAATGGTTTGCTTGTTCTGAAATACAGTGGTACCTCGGGTTGCAGACTCTTCAGGTTACAGATGCTTCAGGTTACAGACTCCACTAACCCAGAAATAGTACCTCGGGTTAAGAACTTTGCTTCAGGATGAGAAGAAGAAATCGTGCTCCGGCGGTGCGGTGACAGCTGGAGGCCCCATTAGCTAAAGTGGTACCTCAGGTTAAGAACAGTTTCAGGTTAAGAACGGACCTCCAGAAACGAATTAAGTTCTTAAGTAGAGGTACCACTGTGAGCATAAATGAGTTCACTAACTCAGAGTGGGAGATGCTGTGATTATACTCAAATGAAAAGAAGGTAAAGGGACCCCTGATCATTAGGTTCAGTCGCGGACGATCATTAGGTTCAGTAGCGGACGAGGGAGCCGGCGTACAGCTTCCGGGTCATGTGGCCAGCATGACTAAGCCACTTCTGGCAAACCAGAGCAGCGCACAGAAACGCCGTTTACCTTCCCGCCGGAGCAGTACCTATTTATCTGCTTGCACTGTGTGCTTTCGAACTGCTAGGTTGGCAGGAGCAGGGACCAAGCAACGGGAGCTCACCCCATCGCGGGAATTTGAAACGCCAACCTTCCGATCGGCAAGCCATAGGCTCTGTGGTTTAACCCACAGCGCCACCTGCGTCCCTACTCAAATGTGTATTAATTAAATTCACATCCTGCCTTCTCATTAGGATGATCAAGACAGCTAACAAAATTGCACAAAGCAATTACAATGAACAAAAATGATACCAAAAAAAATCATATAAAAAATCAGGATAAAAACTGCAAGCTGGTTTTGACACCTCCCTCTTCTGCTGACTGTGTATGTTCTAAAGCCAACCATAATGGCAAAAGGAGGGCTTGTTGCCAGACACTTCCTTCAGCTGCTGACAGATCCTATGGGCAATTGGAAACTGAAGTAAGACACATGGCTTCAGCTTAGTCCTGGTGATGATTGTAGATCTTATAAATGATTGTCTAGGAATGCCTTTGCTGGTTTTCTTTTTTAAAATAAAGCTGTGTCCTCTCTCTATTTAGCAAAGGAAAGAGCTTTAGCTCACCAGCTTTGTATGCAAAAGGTCCCAGGTTCAATCTTCAGCATCTCAAAGAAGGTCTGGGTATATCCCTGTCTGGAACCCTAGAGAGCAGCTGCCAGTCATTGTAGATAAAGCTGAGCTGGCTGGACCAATGGCCTGACTCAGTATAACACAGCTTCCTATGTTCCAAGCATGCATGTGTTGGTGGTGGAAGCTGAGATTCTGGGTAACTTGAACATAAAGCATAATTTCTGCCTACTTGATTTTTGACTTTCTCTTACCTCAGGTTCTTTAGGGTTGGTATAGATCTGTTTTAAGAAAGCATTGAATTTTCATAGTAAAAATGAAGCAAGTACAATTCTGTTTGATCACAGGTGGACTATAAATCTCACTGCAGGAATTTTTTTTACTCATCCTTCCTGGATCTGTAACTAGTCATACAAACTGTGAAACTGTGAGATGTGTATATAAATATCTGTCTTGCAAAACTTTCCATAACCCCAGCTCTCATTCAGGGAATTAATAAAGCAGCAGCACCCACATAGATTTCTATAGTCAGTTTACCAAACCACCCAATATTCAAGACTTCTAATTTTAATACACTAGATTTTAATAAAGCCAACAGATTTTAATACACATTTCCCTGCGGAAATGTCAATCATAATATCTCAGTGTAGCAACTACAGAAACATGGGACCTCTCCTGACATAATTTTTAGTGCACATTCATGATTACTTGTTCTCTTGATGCTATTGGGGCAGTCACACATGATCCCACTTTCAATACTGTTTGTGCCTGCAAAATTTTTGGGGCTGACACACTGCTTTACTTCCAATCAGTGCAAAATCCCATAACTTGCTATATTTTTTATACATACAAATGTTCTGGTTTATTTTTGTTCTGCCTTTTGTTGCACTGTCCCTCCAGACAGAAATAATACGGTAGCATTGGGGAAGTATCTCAGAATAAACTAAACCAGAATAAATCCACCACTAATGCACTATTATTGTGTTAAGAACATGATGCAGAATGCACCTGCCATAAAACACTTGTCTGGAGAGGTCCATTAGGGCAATGAGACTGGTTTTACTTCGAGTGTAACAGCCACAATAGTCTACCATGCAAAGTGAAAAACTGCCCTCTCCTGGCCACTACTTAACGGGGACAGGCAAAACTAAATGAACAACAGACTGCAAGAAGAATAAGCTTTTATAACCAATCATTCCAGCTATTTGCAAAGTGTGGTGTGTGGAGCTTGCTGTTCAGGGGGTGGGGGACTATCAGCCCCCTAGACCTTTCTATCCAGCCCACAAGCAATCTCCAGGCCACACTCCTCTCTGCATCTTCTTGGAGTGTTTCTGCATGGCTGGAATGTGTCTTTGAACTCTGATAATGCTCCCTGCTTGTCTGGATGGAGAGATGTGTGGTGTGTGTGTATAAAGCTGACTTTTGCGTGATCAGAATGTAACTTACAGTACAAAAGTAAGAGTCCTATTAATTTCTCTGCCCACATTGCCACTGATCCCCACCCACCACTGCCATGCAGCCCCCAGGAGATTGTCCATGAAGGAATGTGGCCCTTAGGTTGATAAGGGCTTCTTATCCTTTGCAACATAGGGGAGAGTAGAGTAAAAACCAAGGTGGTGAAAAAGACCCTCTTCGACTTCCGGGGTGGCGCCATCGGTAATGGCGGACTCCCTCTGATCCAGAGGGACTGGCTCTACGGAAATCGGGTCTGTTCCGCTACGGCGAAGCGGGGACCCTTTAAAAAACCACAGGCGGGTGAAGCCTGTGACCGTGGGACTCGGCGGGCACCTTTTGCGCCCCCCCAATTTGTAAAGGAACCCAATTACGGGCTCCGGAGCGAAGCGGGGCAAGCGGCGCGGTGCTGAGAGTCAACTGCTTCTTCCGTGGAGCGAAGCCGCACAGCCGTTACCGGAGAGCGCTGACCTTTTTCCTGTGACAATCTGGCTACAAAAACAACGACCCGTGAGTAGGTCAAATTCGGAAATAAAGGAAAACAAAGACTTAATTCAGTACCAAGTGGGGAGGCATAAACAGGAAGTCCGCCTTCCGTTCTTTGTAAATAGAGTAAAGCAAAGAAGTTGTAAGCTAAAACCTGGAAAGTCGATTAAAGGACTATAATCCTAACATCAAAACAAGTGATTTCCCCCCTTGGCTGCAGGAGAGGAGGGGGGAAAGGTGTGAACTATATTTTCCTGCAGAAAGAGAGGAAAGGAAGTTTAACTCCACCGCTTAAAACCTGGGAACGGGCTGCCAATGGACAATAAGAATGCCGTACTGGGAAATGCGCTGTTGGTGAATAGAGTACTTTTTGACAGCTAACTCTGCAAAAGAGATACAAAGTTTCTGGCTGGCTTCTCCTGGATTTAAAGTAACTGGAAACTAACTGAACTAATTGAAACTGAAATTGTTGCCTATTTTGTGAATTGGGGGATTTGTCAAAGATGTATAACTCGCTGTTGAAGTGGAATACTCAGGATGAAACGGTGAAATCTGCTATGATTAAATGGGCACAAGATGTTGGACATAACATAATGATGGCTGACTGGGAACAGTTATGGACCACAATGAAGTTTACGGCATGTAATGCCTTAAGAGAGAATATTATGAAAATGATTTACAGGTGGTACATGACACCAGTCAAGCTTGCAAAAATCTATCACTTGCCCGATAATAAATGTTGGAAATGTAAAGAAACTGAAGGTACATTCTTTCACCTTTGGTGGACGTGCCCAAGGATTAAGGCTTTCTGGGAGATGATTTATAATGAAATGAAAAGGGTATTTAAATATACCTTCTTGAAGAAACCAGAGGCCTTTCTCCTGGGCATGGTCGGCCAAACAGTGCTAAAGAAGGACAGAATTTTCTTTATGTATGCTGCAACAGCAGCAAGAATACTTATTGCAAAGTATTGGAAGACACAAGATTTACCCACTCTGGAAGAATGGCAGATGAAGGTGATGGACTATATGGAACTGGCGGAAATGACTGGCAGAATCCGAGACCAGGGAGAAGAGTTGGTGGAAGAAGATTGGAAGAAATTTAAAAACTATTTACAGAAACACTGTAAAGTTAAAGAATGTTAGAATGATGTTGGATTGAATTAAGTGGTTTTTAGCAGCAATGTTATAAAGGAATATGTAAAAATGGATTGTTAACAGGTGATAATCTAAAGTTATAATATACTAAGATAAAAGATTAAGATAAAATCAAAGAGGGAAAGGAATTGCTGAACTAACTAATTGAACTGGAATACTAAGAAGGGAGGTGTGAGGAGGTCAGGGAAACAAGCAAATGAATGATAAGATATGGAAAGATTGATTTGTTTTTAACTGTTTTTACTTTGTATTTTCATTTTTTTTTCTTTTCTTTTACTCCCCCCCCTCTTATTTTTGTAATATGCTGAAACTTTAATAAATATCTTTAAAAAAAGAAAAGAAAAAGACCCTCTTCATCCCTCCAAACTCCAACAGCAAATCTATTATGTTTATTTATTTAGTTAGTTAGTTAGTTAGTTAGTTAGTTGTTGTTAGCAACAAAATCTACAATAAACTCAGTATCTGTGATTAAACATTAGTCTGCTTTTGTTTACTGTGTCAATAGAAAATAAAGAAATCCTACATTTAACAAACTTATTGTCTGTGATTTATCAGCTGTACCAGGGCTGCTGCCCCTCCTGCATGAGGCAAGGTGAGGTGACCGCCTCAGGTGGCAGGATCCACAGGAGCAGCAGATCCGGCCTCCATGGAATGCATCACCTGCTGCTGTGTTTGGAGGTCAGATCATCTGCTTCCCCAGTGCTGCCTCTGTAGAGGCTGTAGAGCAGGCATAGGCAAACTCGGCCCTCCAGATGTTTTGGGACTACAACTCCCATCATCCCTGACCACTGGTCCTGTGAGCTAGGGATGATGGGAGTTGTAGTCCCAAAACTTCTGGAGGCCGAGTTTGCCTATGCCTGCTGTAGAGGCTTTGACCCATAGGAGGCCCTCCTGATCTCCTCCCGCCCTTGTTCCCAGTGTAAATCTTCACTCAACCCTTCTTCCCTGGCTGAGGGTGGGGGACATACTATTTTGTGGTTCGCCTCAGGTGCCAAAATGTATTGGGCTGGCCCGGAGCTGTACAGTGAACTGTAGTTTAATGAAATAACTTAAAACTTCTAATAAAGAATTTTCAGCACTTTCACCAAACTACAATACGCAGAGGCTTGGGGTGGGTGGAGACTGGTGCAAACTGAACTGGTATTAAACCTTATAAAAAGATGTAGGTGTGTAAAGATGGCACTTGTAAACATATTCAAACAAGTTAGAGATTACGGAGTGTACATCACAGTGGGAAGTAAAACTTGAGCAAAGTGTTCAGATATTGAGGTAAAATACATTGTTGAGATATCTTAATCTTTGCCCAAGGCAGGTGAGGCCAAGTTAGTATTTGTTCTTTCCAAACAGAGGAAGAGGAAATCCTCTGTGAATTGATTTCATGTACTACTTACTGTTAAGACAGCCATATGTAGCTGGAAAACAAACAAAAAAACAAATGAGGGATCAAAAATCAGCATTTCATTTTAAAATGTCCCCATCGTTTCTTCCCTTCAACTGCTACTATTTCCAATAGCTCAGGGCTGAGGGGGCGGGGGAACCAGCTTTTTTTTACTTGGATGTGTTGCGGTATCTTGGCGAGTGAACAATGCAATTTTTCAAGTCTAAATTGTTTACTCAAAGAAATATCTCAAATGCCATTTTACACGTGATTTAGCATTGCAAAAATTGTCTTTACTGTAAATAGCAGTTGCTGGGAAGGACTTATCAGAAATGAGACTACAGCATATGGGGTGGGTGTGTTAAACTTTCCCTCCTGAGCTGTGGTCCTGATGTAAATCTCCATCCCAAAGGATGGGGGAGAGAGACCCCTCACTGGTGCCAATATAGTATTTTTCCCACTTAGAGTAGTAGATGGAACTGCAAGAAACATCACTGACATCTTGTGGCCAATTGGATTAATTACACATAAAAGGGTAGCTTTAGGTTTACCGGTATATTTCTTTTCTTAGTTGCACCCACCTGTATAAATCTTATAAAATCGGTTTCTGTACCACATGCAACTGAAAAAGGCAGTCTTAACCCAGTGTTTGGTATATCTCAACTACTTTCAAATTAGATCTGCCGACTTCTTTTTACCTTTTACCTTTGAAGTGGTTGTGGGGGATTTTATGAATGCAGGTGCGGGGTAATGTGCTAAATCACACACACTTCTTTTCGGCCCCCAGAGGAAGAGGGAAATGGGTACTTGTATTGTGCCTAATCCCCAACCCCTACACACACACAGAGAGAGAGATTAATAGCAGCTTCAGGGGCAGCACGGTGGGAAAGGACGAAAAATGTGCTGCCTCTGTATGTACACCAAATAAGGAGGCAAATGAGGGTGAGTCAGGTCATGATTTCACATTCTCAACATAATTTCATCTACTTATGTGAAAAGGAAAATGTGTTGTAGTTATTTTTAGATTCTCTATTATAGTCAACAGGGATGACTAGGGTTCCAGGTGGAGAAATCGAAATTAGAAACAGAATTGTTAGAACCAAAGACTAAGATACTTTCAAGGATGTATAACTTGCTGTTGGAATGGAATACACAAGATGAAATGGTCAAATCGGCTATGATAAGGTGGGCACAGGATATTGGGCATAATATTATGTTTGAGGACTGGGAAAGGCTGTGGAGTAATGGATTGAAATTTACTGCATGTAATGCTTTGAAAGAAAATGTAATGAAAATGATTTATAGATGGTATATGACCCCAGTCAAACTCGCAAAAATTTACCACCTGTCTGATAACAAGTGCTGGAAATGTAAAGAGTGTGAAGGAACGTTCTTTCACCTCTGGTGGACCTGCCCTAAAGTGAAGGCGTTCTGGGAAATGATTTATAATGAATTGAAAAAGGTATTTAAATATACTTTCACTAAGAAACCAGAGGCTTTCCTTTTGGGTATTGTCAGCCAAGGGGTGGCAAAGAAGGACCAGACATTTTTATGTATGCAACAACAGCAGCAAGGATACTACTCGCAAAACATTGGAAAACTCAAGATCTACCCACACTGGAAGAATGGCAGATGCAACTGATAGACTATATGCAACTGGCTGAAATGACTGGCAGAATCCGTGACCTGGGAGAAGAGAGAATCGAGGAGGATTGGAAGAAATTTAAGAACTATCTACAAAAACATTGTGATTTGACTGAATGCTGAATAAGATGCTAGACTAAATAACTGAGCACCACTTAACTTAGAAGTTTTTAAGAAAGTAAGAAAAACTGTGAAAGTTTAACTCTTTATGAGAACTTTAAGATTATGAAATACCAAAGAGATATAAGAACTTAAATAAGATGATAAATTGCTGACAAAATGTTATAATGATGAAGGTGGGAGCGGGAGGTGTGAGGAAGTCCAAAGAAAATGTGAAATTATGTTAAGACGAATGTTATATTGTTTATTACACTTATTCTTATTGTAAAATCCAATAAATTGCTTTAAAAAAAAACAGGGATGAAACAGATTTTCAGATTTAACATCAGACCTGGACCTGAATAATAAATCAATACAGAATGACACAGAACAGATCCAAAAGAGACTGGGTTGCTTCTAAATGCTACAAATACAAATAGAACCTTGTAATTGCTGTGCACCCCTCTTAAATATTTTCCCTGCACCTCTGCTCTGATCAAAACCAGAACTTATTGTGAATGCTTTAAGCTTAAAAAAAATGTCAGGAGATCCTGCGGAGTGTTTGGCCTGGCCATCGATATATAGCAAAAGAACTAGCATTATAACTTTAAAAAAATAAGCAACCAAAGTAACAAGCACTAAGCAAAGAAAAGTACCTAGGACAGGTATCTTTTTCTTTAAATGATGCTTTGACAACTGTTTTTGCAAATGTGATTTTCCTGTCAGTGAATCTCCATCTTTAGAGAAAAACTTCATCTGTTCAATATCTGCATATCAAGCAGCACTTTTGGACTGGGATATGGTCATCTAATTTTTTTATTATCATAATATATATATTACAAGTCTGGTTCAAACTTACTTATTGAATTACTATCAGGCACAACATGCAGCAGAATAGTCTGCAAATTGATTTGATTCATGGACAGCTCCATATTTACTCCAGTTGCAGACATGGCATAGGCAAACCTTACATCTCTAGAGGAACAGTTTTCTTTGGTCAAGACAATTCATTCAAGGCAAGAGGTGAAGAGCAGACAATTTTGCAGTGAGGTTCCCCTGCCTTCTGTAACCTTGTGGTGAAATCTCATGATACTTAAAACACGGTTTAATATAAATGAAATCAAAACTTACATAGTTCTTTTCCAGCGCATCAAAGCACCCTTGAATCCTGCTGGAGCAGATATATTAATGAATGAACATTCATCCAAATATATATAGTGGTAACATTCTTAGTTGCCAAATGGAGTTTAGAGCTCATAGCAAACAAAATGAAGGAATGCTCTGGAATGTAAAACCTGTGCCCAGTTGATCAATAGTAAGGATTATATAAATCTCTGGTTTTTGTACCATCCTTGGTTGGGGATGTATGTAGAGAGTTTGTGCAGAGCCAGGCATCTGCTACAATCAATATCCACTATGGTATCTTCTTGATCATTTGGGATTTCTGTTTCTTACCACTTGACTATCTGGAGTGAACCCTGGCAGCTTTTATCTTCTCGAAGAATTTTTAGGCACATGTCTGGAGGAAGAAAAACAATGCAGTTAACTGGTGTTTGCCAAGTTGATCTCCAGCTACCAAATATTGGCTGCTTCCGGACAAGTGGCTTCAAGTTCAACCTAACTGCTCTTCCGTTGGAACTCAGAAGTATTGTTATTTTTCTACGTGTACATCTCACTATATTTGCAAACAGAGAGACAGAGACAAAGACAGAGAGAGCAGCATCAAATCCACATTAAGCTTCAATGTAAGGTAAAGAGGTAAAGGACCCCTGGACGGTTAAGTCCAGTCGAAGGCAACTATGGGGTTGTGGCGCTCATCTCGCTTTCAGGCCAAGGGAGCCGGCGTTTGTCCACAGACAGCTTTCCAGGTCATGTGGCCAGCATGACTAAACTGCTTCTGGCACAACGGGACACCGTGATGGAAACCAGAGCACATGGAAACACCGTTTACCTTCCCACCACAGGGGTACCTACGGTATTTATCTACTTGCACCGGTGTGCTTTCAAACTGCTAGGTTGGCAGGAACTGGGACAGAGCAACAGGAGCTCACCCCATCATGCAGATTCCAACTGCCCACCTTCTGATCAGCAAGCCCAAGAGGCTCAGTGGTTTAGACCACAGCACCACCAGCATCCCTAAACTTCAGTGTGGATAAGCCTGACATGTAATAACTGAAGAGCTCAATGAAACAGAAAAGGCAAAGGCAGCAAAAGTTACCATCTAAATAGCAGGTTCCATAAGAGCTTTCTGGGAAGAGCCCTCGGAGGTAAGTTATGCAGGAGATTGAAACTGCTAGCAGCCTTTTCACCAAAACCATAGACTGCTGCTCAGTGGCAACTCTGTTTGGAAACAGAGATGTTTCCTGAAAATGATGAAAACATATTTCCTATTTGCTTTAGAAGACAAATAAATAAATTGGAGGTCTACATTTTCTTCTTAAAATAATACTACAGGTTTGCTTTGTACCTTCAAAGTTTTGGGCTTCTGCCCAATATGCAAGAGTTGAGCAGTAGCCATATTCGTTCAGTTAACTGTTTTCCAAGGAGTATTGGACCTACAGGAAGACAGATATGCCTGTGATAAGAAAGAGTTACAGTACTTCTAGGCAACCAGGGATTTCAGCTGTTCCCTGGCTGCCCCAGTTTTAGACTCCAAATGATTACCATATATATGGCAGGCTAGCAAAAGTTTTTGAAGACCATTAAGCTTTGGAGGCTGATTTTCAAGATTGACCTACGCCAAGGGTCAGCAAACTTTTTCAACAGGGGGCCGGTCCACAGTCCCCCAGACCTTGTGGGAGGCCGGACTATATTTTTTGGGGGAAAGAAAAGAACAAATTCCTATGCCCCACAAATAACCCAGAGATGCATTTTAAATAAAAGCACACATTCTACTCATGTAGAAACACGCTGATTCCAGTACTCGTCCATGGGCCAGATTTATAAGGCAATTGGGCCGGATCCGGCCCCCGGGCCTTAGTTTGCCTACTTATGCACTATTCAACAGCTATGGCTTACCTGAGTGTGTGTAATAGTTTTAGCTGCCTTTTATTCACATGCCACTGATTAGAATAATTGTATTTTAATTTGGTGACAGCAGTCACGAAATTAAAAGACGCCTGCTCCTTGGGAGAAAGGCGATGGCAAACCTAGACAGCATCTTAAAAAGCAGAGACATCACCTTGCCAACAAAGGTCCGTATAGTTAAAGCCATGGTTTTCCCAGTAGTGATGTATGGAAGTGACAGCTGGACCATAAAGAAGGCTGATCGCCGAAGAATTGATGCTTTTGAATTATGGTGCTGGAGGAAACTCTTGAGAGTCCCATGGAATGCAAGAAGATCAAACGCATTCATTCTTAAGGAAATTAGCCCTGAGTGCTCACTGGAAGGACAGATCGTGAAGCTGAGGCTCCAATACTTTGGCCACCTCATGAGAAGAGAAGACTCCCTGGAAAAGACCCTGATGTTGGGAAAGATTGAGTGCACAAGGAGAAGGGGATGACAGAGGACGAGATGGTTGGACAGTGTTCTCGAAGCTACAAACATGAGTCTGACCAAACTGCGGGAGGCAGTGGAAGACAGAAGTGCCTGGCGTGCTCTGGTCCACGGGGTCACGAAGAGTCGGACACGACTAAACAACTAAACAACAACATTTATAATTTAGTCAGCATCTTTCATCCATGTTACTCAAGGCAATGAACAATATTATTTCCCTACCACATTCCCAGGTAAATTTCTTCTCCTACCTCATTCCCAGTTACAAACATACTTGAAATAAAAAGCACTCAGATGGCAGGCTAGAAAAAAGCCTTTGCCTTAAACTAGGACAGAGGAAGGGAGACTAATGGTCTATGTGACTCAGTATATGTACTGTACAAAGTTAATGAGTGTGACACGCAGGGATAAAGCATAAAGCTTCACTTCTTACTGAGAATCACATTTTCTGAGTATTAGAAATTGGTTCAGTTACTGCTTTGAAACATAATAATATTATAAAGAATTGTATAGTCTTCCAGGTTTGAGCCCCAGGTTGAGCAAAAAGATTCCTGCATTGCAGGGGGTTGGACTAGATTACCATTGGGATCCCTTCCAACTCTACAGTTCTACAACTCTATGATTGGGGGACCATACAGCTGCTGGCACCCAGATCATTCAGTTCCTGACAGAAGTTAAATGAATGCTGTTCTTGAAAGATATTACACAAGCAATTTTTTTATGTTCACAGCAAGAACCTCTGGCCACTCGTGATAAAACACTCAGCCATGTCAGAAGTTCAGGTCTCATATTTTTTGCCACAACTCAAAACCTTAGGTACAAATGTGGGTGAGGAGCAGGCTTTTGTTAAGGGATGCAAACTTTTGTTAGTGGGGGATAGAAACTCATTTTTGTATTGATTTGTACTGATTTTTTTGAGGGGGGGAACAGTCCCCCCCCCCGTTATGCCCATGATGCCCTCCCTAGTGAGGTGTGTCTGTCTGCAACCTTTAGGAGTAATTCAAAACTTTCCCGTTTATCCAGTGCATGGGTAGGCAAACTAAGGCTCAGGAGCCGGAGCCGGCCCAATTGCCTTCTAAATCCGGCCTGCGGACGGTCCGGGAAACAGCGTGCTTTTACATGAATAGAATGTGTGCTTTTATTTAAAATGCATCTCTGGGTTATTTGTGGGGCATAGGAATTCGTTCATTTTTCCCCCAAAATATAGTCTGGCCCACCACAAGGCCTGAGGGACAGTGGACTGGCCCCCTGCCGAAAAAGTTTGCTGACCCCTGATCCGGTGCATTTGAAGGCTGACAGATACTGTCCGTGGCAATTCTGGGTTGCACCAATGCTAGTCCTACTCGGAGCAGACCCACAGAGGGTTATTTATTTTTAATAAATGTGTATATACTCATAACAATATCCAAGTGGTTTCCAACAATTATACATACACTGTATGTACCATACAATAAGTTAGTGGGTGTGACTCATTTAAATCAATAAAATCCCACGGGTTTACCCTGAGCAGGACTTAAGTTGGACACAATCCCTGAAATGTTTAGCTGTATTGAGGATTGTGGGGAGTGGGACTGTGGGGAATGGGCGGGTTTGATGAAGGGAGATGGAGACAATTTTGGCTTGGAATCCCCCAGAGGCCTACCCCTCAATGAGAAAGGAAAGAAACTAAGAAAGAGACCAACAAAAGGCAAGGAAAAGGGCAAGTATAAACAACAAGAAGAAGAATTGCAGAAGGGACATGGAAGAGACTTAAGGGCCTCGGACATAAGGCTTCCAGGTTGATGGACTAGATGGAATGGACAGTAAGGACTGACACGATCCGAGACCAGGAAGAAGGGACGTTGGATGAAGATTGGAAGAAAATTTATAAAGAAAATTTTCTATTTAGGGAATTGGCTAAAAATTAATGAATATTAGGGAAAATGTTGGAATGAAACTATATGACTTTAGCAGAAATGATATCAGGAGTAATGTACATTTGATAACTAAGATTCAAGCTTTAAGGTATTTTAGGGTAAGATAAGGTTAAATAAATTAAGGTAATGTGAATAGTAGAATATGGGGAAAGATGGAAAGGATTTGTTGAGCTAATTATTAGGTTAAATTAGGTTAGGATAAATTTTTTAACAAAAATTGAGAAAGATGGAAAGAATTTGCTGAAATAACTAATTAAACTAGAATACAAAAAGGGAGGTGTGAGGAAGTCAATGAAACAAGCAAATGGAAGTTTTAGATATGTAATTTGGGATTTGTGTTGTTTTCTTTTTTCTTTTTGTTGTATTGTTGTATTGGTTTTTGTGTTTTGTTTTGTTTTTCCTTCTTTTTATGTATTATAGTGTTGTTTTTTTAATGTTTTTTTTTCTTTTTATAACTCTGAAACTACTAATAAATATTATTTGGAAAAAAAATGAAATGTTTAGCTGTGAGAGCAGGTGAATTTCTCCACAGAGGTTTTTTAACTGCTTTTGGAAGTTCTTTTTTTGTTTGTTTGTTTAGTCGTTAATTGTATTGTTTTATTACAGAAGTATTTGCCTCCCTGGGCTCATTTGCAATGAAGGGCGGGATTATAAATTTAAGAAATGAATACTAAGCGACCCCTGCAACGCGTGAAGGGCAGCTGAAGTGTCCCTGAGCGCGTTTCCCTTGAGGATCAGATCAGAGGAGGGCTATTTTCAAACTGAGAAGAAACTAAGCTTCTCCAGACCTCTAATTAGGCTGTAGGCTGTCTCGAAATTGGGGCAAGCACTGGGGACATTTGTTTCCCTCTTTCCCTATATATCTGGGGGAGTTTTGCAACGGCGGGAAGGAAAGCCGCAATTTCCCTCAGACGAAGCTTCCCTTCAGGTCGAATAGAAGCCTGCCCGCTTCCCGCCTAAATTCAACGGTCGACTCCGACGCTCTCCTCAGGCGGGCGCTGATTTTAGGCGGGAAACGGGTAGGATTCTATTTGACCTGAGGGGGGAAAAACCTCCGTCTGAGGGAAAACCTCGGGCCGTTTAGTTTCATATTAAGCATTAATCCGGGTTCAGTGCCTCAAAGCATCTATCTCCAAAGGCTGGGCTGGGAGAGACTCGCTGCCTGAAAAACTGGAGAGCGATTGCTGCCAGGGTTTGTGGACAATACTGAGCTCGATGGACCAAGGGGCAGATTCCTATTTTCTTGCAAATGAAGTTGGCTCGGGTCGAGGGAGGGAGTCTGATCCGCCAGCTCCGCTGTTTCCTTTTCCTCCTTTTGCCGAAGTTGGGGAAACCTTCAGATCGGTGCTTTGCAAGGTGTACCTATGAAGTCTCCTTTCGGCGTTGCTCGCCGGCCTCATCCTGCCGGCTACTAGCGCAAGGAAAAGATCCATTTTTCTTTTCTTTTTTTTTTATGCAAACCCCAGCCATGCCTCTGGGGCAATTGACCTCCTGGCCCGCAGAGGAGCTGTCTCTTTCTAAACTTGTTTATGCACGCAGGATCGCCCCCGTTTCGGCTTCCGCCTTTACTGAACTTTTTAATCGTGTTGTTGGAAGGGGGAGGTGGCTCAAGGCGAAACAAACGCGCCCGCTAGGTTCTTTCTTTGGCCGCTTTTGGTTTGCTTTTTGGCTTTCGGTTTGTTTGTTTGTTTCTTTCTTTATTTTGGCAAGTTGGCCATGTGGACGCATTGCAAGCCGAAGCTGTCAAACTGCGAAGTTTGGTTGCAAAGCTTAGGGCAAGCAGGGAATCAAAAGTGCAAAGCTTGGGGCAAGAGGCCAATCGCGTTTTCCAAAGGCTGGAATCAGCAAGCGGAGCCCATGGATCAAAAATGCTCCTCACAACATCCAAGGGAGCTTTTTGCCAGGAAAGAAATCAGGGTCTTTTGTCAAGAACAGCCTAGGATTGGAAATCCATACCTGGAAGATGCTTTTCTTCAGGATTACTTGAAATCACAGCTACCAACTGAGGTCTGTATTTTATATATCATATTCTATACATAGACACACAGATATGTATTTAATGCATGTGCATGCACACACAAAATGTTCTGTGACATCTAGAGACTCCTAGAATTGTAGAATTAGAAGGGACTCCAAGGGTAATCTCATCCAACCCCTTACAATGCAAGAATCTCAGCTCGTTTGCACAAACAATTTACATGGATTTGACAGTTTCCTCTGATTTTTAAAAAAGCAAGACTGAAACTCTTAGGGCAGCACCCCATTCATCCAAATGTAGCAGCCTACACTGAATTCCAAAGCTGTCCTTGAATACCCTCCAATATTTCACAACTGGAAATAGAGACAGGTTAGTAAAATTCCTATTCCTATACCAAGGACCACTGCACAAGCCACCACTATCTTTTGCACTTTGCTAAAGGTTCTGTTCTCTCAGCTGTGTTACTTGACCTTACATAGGAAGGTACCTTCCACTGAATCAAACCAATTGGCCTATCCAGCTCAGTATTGTCTATATTTGACTGGCAACAGCTCTCCAGGGGTTTGGACAGGGAACCTTTCCCAGCCCTACCTGGAGCCACCATTGGGGATTGAACTAGGGACCTTTTGTCTGCAAAGCAGATGCTCTTCCCCTGAGTTACAACAAAGTATTTTGCCCTCCACTGATTTAAAAGTCAGATGGGTGTTTGCTCTTTGCTTAAAAGTTATGCAAGAAGCCAGCAGTTTGCCCTGTTCCCAAGCTGCTGTCCACAGTTAAAAATAAACCTCGCTAGTTGAAGAAGGTGAAAAGTGAACTATGTATGGGTCATTATGTATGTGCAGTTATTAAGTAGTATTTTTTTTAAGTGCAAGACAGTCTCCCAAGCCATGTTTTGGAGGAAAGTCCAAAAGTACAGGCAGTGTGGTTGGTTCTTTATAACATAAGCACATTTCAAATAACAGCAGTACATAATACTCAGTTTAAAAGGATCAGTATAAGAGACAGGTGAGGTCAAACAGGGAGCCCAATACTTTGTTTTATGTTCTGCTTGCTGTGATGTTTTGGTTTGTTTTTATTTTATTTTATTTTTTATTTATACATACATACATACATACCGGTACATACTTGTCCATCTGCCCACATTCTTTTACTTTGCAGGTGTTTGCTGACGTATGTTTGGATCTTGAACAGTTTGGGGCTCGAGTGAAGGATGAAATTGATCTCCTGGGACGCGAGTGTGAGTTAAACCCTCCACAACTTAAGCAGTTTGATGCCTGGGGGCGGCGTGTGGATGAAATTATCACCTGCCCAGCCTGGAAGAGGATGAAGGAGATCTCGGCTGAGGAGGGGCTGATTGCTGAGGCTTATGAGAGGAGATACTCTAACTGGAGGTACAAATTTAGTTGACACCTTCAGACTCAGTTGGCCACACTTCAGGGCAGCGAACATGTCCATATACTTCCAGTGCCATTCAAAATGAAATGTCGCTACAGTGGGGATAGTGACACTTTTCTAGATGAAAGCACTCCCACAGTAGAACTCCCACAGCATGTAATGATTGGCCACCGATTTGGATGGCTTTAAAAGTCAGCAAGGCAAATTCATGTAAGGCTACTATCAATGGCTAGTAGCTATGATGGCTATGTTCTGCCTCCACTGTTGAAGGCAGTAAGCCTCTGAACCCCATTTGCTGGGAATTGGAAGTGGGAAGACTGCTGTTGTACTCATGTTCTGCTTGTGAGCTTCTCATTGAGGCATCTAGTTGTCCACTATGAGAACAGAGTGCCGACCTGATAGGCCTTTAGCCAAGCTCTTGTGTTCTTGTGTAGCTATAATCCAGCTGAGATCTCTCTATAGCAAATATATTTTTCCCTTGGCATTTCTAAATTCAGCAAGGCTTTGTTTCTCCTTCCACAGCCGCGTTCATCAGATTGCCAAACTGTATCTTTTCGCACCTTCTTCTGGTCTTTTTTCATGTCCTCTGGCCATGACTGATGGAGCAGCAAAAGTAATAGAGGTGAGATCACAAGTCAGTGCTCAGCAGGTAGATCACTATATTGCATTGCTCTGAATTAGACTAAGATGGAGGTTCATTTCTGGAATGCTGCTACCAAAGTAAAACGCCCTCCCCATAAGTTCCCCTTACCAAAAAACAAAACCCCTATGCACAACACTATTATTTACAAACCTTGGAAAGCTGCTAGACTAATACTGAGCTAGGCTAATGGTCTGACTCTATATAAGACATATTCCTCAGTTCCCCAAGGCCTTCCCTAATAAGGCCAGATTGGGAGTTAGCAAAACTGGTGCATATGTGGCATCCTGGCTCTGCTTAGATCCAAAATGATGCATATCAGCCAGCTCTGCTGAAAAACCTTTTGGTCATTATCTCAGAGGCAGATCTTTGGCAGCGCAACTGGTTCCACCACACTGGGCTCTGAGCCTACAGGGCACCATAGTGAACAGAGCAGAATGGAAGGCAAGAGGCTGGGGGGTGGGGCTCCAAATTTTGGCCTTGCACAGGGCGCCACTGATATTTAAAAGACCAAAGTCTAACCCTGACTATCTGGAGTTTTTGGTGTAAGACCTCTGTGGGAAAGTTCCCTTGCCTGACTTTGCAGCTCACCAGCCCTAGCCAGACTGTCATGGACTGGTTGGATGCAGAGGAGTGGTGGGAGGCACCAGCAAGGGAACCACCAGGCAAAGAAGGCTCAGAGCCAGGGCATTTGTGGTAGGACAATGATGCAGGGTCAGAGGAAAGTGTTGAAAGCTGAATAAGCAACAGGGTTTAGTGAGCAGGAAGAGGCTGTGGCGGAAGGCAGCCGAGCCTCAGAGGTGTCAGAGCAATGGGGCCAGGAGACAGAAATGAGGCAGGCTGCTGAAGAATTCAGGGAGTCTCCCCCTCCGGCTGAGACCAGCTCTCCTCCCACCTGGTCTCCCAAAGCATGCAGAGGAAAAAAGAGGGAGGAGCAATAAATGACAGGACAAAGGAGCTTTGGGCTGCTGTGGAAGGAACCAGGAGAGGAAATCCTGTTTGTTTTTCTTTCTCCCGTCTGTTTCCTGCAACTCCCAACAGTCCTTGGGTATCCCCAAACCCCTCAAAGAAGTTTTTATCCACTTGACATCACGTGACCCTGCCAAATTCTGGACTTCTGGCCAGTGGATGACTGAACGCAGAGGGGGCTCTGATGTTGGTAAGTGTGCCCCAAAGTGGGAAGTCTGACACAGAGTGCAATACAAAATGCCTTAAGAAATGAGTAGTGGTGCAGTTAGATAATGTTATACCATCAGCCTAATGGTTTGTTGAGGCATGGGGAGAGGTCACTTAGATGGCCTTGTGTATAACGTCTGTTGTGAAATGCACAATTAACATTTCTCCCAACACCTCTTCCATTCCATGCTTTTAACTGCTTCCACATTTCTAATTGAAAAGAAAAACGAACAAATGAAAAACATTTTACCAACCTGGTAATAAGAAAGATAATACGCTTAAGCATGTGCAGTCTCACAGTTTAAAAATTCAATTAACTCACAGCACCACCATGACTATGTGAATAAAATAGGATAGTTTCTAATGCTTTCTCATGTGATTCTGTGAAACTTGAACTTAGATCTATCCGCAGGCTTCTGGGGAAACCCAGCCAGATGGGCAGGGTATAAATAATTATTATTATTATGTCACATAGGCCAGGCCCATAGTAATCACCATGGCAACATTGCTGGTGGGAAGGTAATATATAACCAATCCGATGGATTGCAAACATTGTAGCAGCTTAAGTTTTCCTATTGCTTAAGTTTCACCTTAGGAACATAGGAAGCTGCCTTATACAGAGTCAGTATTATCTACACAGACTGGCAGCTTTTGCCCAGGGTTTGGGGCAGGGGTCTTTGCCAGCGCTACCTAGAAATGCTGGGGTTTGATCCTGGGAACTTCTGCATACGAAGCAGGTGCCATGACCTTTTCCCAAAGTTACTGAGGTGCCAGCTCCTTTTTTCGCTACACTGCTGAATGATAATGTTGCTTTTTCTTCAGCTTGAAGCCAGTGCTGGTTATTTGTGAAGATCAGCAGCAGCTAAGACTGGGTGTTCTTTTCTTGCAGCTAGTGGCACAGAGACAGTAGCCCTGGAACTCCCTGATGGCAGCTACAGTCTCCATGGCTTGAAATGGTTTACTTCGGCCACCGATTCAGATATAACTTTGACACTGGCAAGGAGCATGACTGCTGATGGACAAATACAGCAGGTCAGATTCCTAACTGGGGAAACTGAAGGACCAGCTCACAAGCAGTAATCAGTAATGTGGAAGTGGGGTGAGAAACAGGGTCCTTCACTGGCCATTTTGACAGGCGTTGGGGCCACTTACCTGCCACTCACCTGCCATCACATGATCCATTGGGCCTTGCTGTGTTAATCAGCTGATCAGCGCTTATAGCAAGACCCCCTTTGGGCAGGAATCAGCTGCACTAAGAAGCTCTGAGAACTCTGTAGCACAGCCAATCCCTGCTGAGCTTGTATCATCACCAAACAGCTGATCAGCACTGACAGCAAACCTTGTTTGCCAAGAAACTATCCAGAGTAGTACACTTTAAGGATCCTGATTGTTCCCTTACAGCTATGTGTTTACCTGCCACATCCTCATTTCACATACGATGTCAGGTGAGGATCAGGTGGGCTTGGTTTGCAGAAAACAGCTTCACAGGCCAAAGAGAACCCTTGCCTGGCCTAATTTGGTTCACAGACTGGAGGTTTCCCATTGCTGCACTAATGTATTGCACAATGTATTCATTCTAGCTCCATTCTCCTTGTTACCAGTCAGTGTTTCTCACCTTTGCATTCTCGGCCGCAGGGCTCCAAAGGTCTATCTCTGTTCTACCTGAAGATGCGCAATGAGGAGGGGAAGCTGAATGGGATTGAGATACAACGGCTGAAAGACAAGCTGGGCACAAGGCAACTGCCGACCGCAGAGCTCCTCCTAAATGGAGCCAAGTCACTCAAGGTGAGCAAAAAGAAAAAGGTGTGGAGGAAAACTTCTTCCAAAGCTCAGTTTCTACTTCCCTGGTATGAGACAAATGAAAGCAAGGTGCTCTGGAGCAGGGCAGCTCTCTGTGGATTTTGCCCATGCATGGAGCTGCCATGCAGGTGCAGAAGCAGACATCTAACAGCCAAAGCAGCATGGATGAGAATTTCCGCCTCCTTAGGAAAACCAAGTTACTAGGAAAAAGAAACAGCATCAAACTGTTAAACAATGCCTTCTGGAGTACTATGGTACTCAGAGAAAGACTAAGAGCAGGCCAATGCACTCTGTGGCCTCTACCTTACAATCTCCTCACAGATGGGGAACCTCAGACCTGGAGGCCAAATGCGGTGCTCCAGGTCTCTCTATCTGGGCGTTAAAACTTCTCAGGCCACGCACCCTACTGGCCCTACTTTATACCCCAAGGGCTTTTTTTTCTGGCCAAGGTGGAATGTGTCCTTGAACTCCAATAATAGCCTTTGTCTGGATGGAGAATAAAGAGGTGTGTGTGTTGAAAGTAGATTATTGTCCATGATCACTTTTGCCTTTGGTCCCATCCAGCACTGCCATCCTTGAAAATTCATTCCTTGGCTTCATGCCCTTTCTGCTTCTGTTATGCAGATCCTTACCAAAGAATTGCATCAATCGTTTGTTAGCATGTTTCAGGTTTGTTTTGCTTACTGAGCTGCCCCCTCACCCCATTCCTTGTGTTTATACCCTATGAGCTGCTCTTCCCTTCCTAATGGCTAGATATGTATCTATGCAACTGTGCTGTGTGTACGTATTTCTTGACTGAAGAATTTGTGCAGAGTTCCCACTGCTCTGCTTAGGAGTTACGGGCAGGCGGAAAAGGTATTATAGGCTTTTATGCCCCAGGAGAACATGAGAGAAAGCAAATAGATCCCCTTTTTACTAAATTGCAATCCAGACCATGCAAATTAACCTTATTCTGGCTTTTTCTGCTTCATGCTTCCAGATCTCTGCAGAGGGCCGGGGTGTGGCTTCCATTGTAAACATGATGACCATCACTAGGATCCACAATGTCATTTCTGCAGTTGCGTGCATGAGAAGGTAATTCATGTCCTCTTCCCTAAGACCTACTGGGCCCTTGGGCTTAATTATGGCTCTTTGAATCATGCTGCTGTCTGAATAAGCATTAAAGTAAGATGAAGTTGGCTGTGAAAATGCTGTTAAGAAACTCCCGGTTTCCAAACTGTGGTAGTAAACTACAGTTCCCAGGATTCCTTTGGGAGAATCATGTACTTGCAGTGTATGGTGCAGATGGTAACTTCCATGTTACTATCTCTCAAATAAAACCACTGCTTGTGAGCTACAATTAGCTACCTCAATCAGAAGTCTACACAGAGGAAGAATGAGGAACCTGAGACACTCCAGATGTTGTTAGACTACAGCTCCCATCATTTCTGACCATTGGCCATGCTGGCTGGGGCTGGTGCAAGTTGTAGTCCAGCAACATCTGGAAGGCCACAGGTTAGTCACTCCTCTCAACAGCTGTGGCCTTTGCGACCTTGGGGTATATCTTCTCACATGTGACCTTTGCATTTAATTAGCTAAAAATTGCCTTCCATCTCCAGAGTGATCACCCTGGCAAGGGATTATGCTACCAAGAGGGAAGCCTTTGGGAAACCCCTGAAGGCTCACCCTTTGCACATGCAGACTTTGGCTCGAATGGAGGTGAGCATTCAGAGGTGCTGGTTTTATTTGACCTTGACCCTTGAGGTCTTCCCCTGCCACCTATGAAGCACATGAGACTCCCCTCCACATTCACGTTCCTCTTGGTCGTGAGGTGAAGGTGGTTTTTTCTTTCTCCCTTGAAAAGCCCATAGAGCCGAAGGAGGAAGTTGGAAGAGTGAGGTTCTTTCTCACAGCCTCTTTCAGCTCCATGTGCTTTTCAGACCTCAGATAAATTCTGTTGGATCCAGGGCTCCCTTAGAGAAGCAAAATGCCTGTAGTTTTTCTCTGTCTCAAGGTGGGGTGGGAGCTTACCAGTGGGAGTGCAAAAAGAAGTGACCAGAGGTGGTGGCACTGGCTCTCCAGGATTTCAGGCAGGGAACATGGATATATCAGGCACTGAACCAGGATTTAAGGCAGCCCTACCTGGATATGTCTGGCATCAGACTTGGGTCCTAATGCATGCTAGGCAAATGCTCTACCACTAAGCTAAAATCCTTAAGACATAGGAAGCTGCCTTAAACTGAGTAAGACATCATTTTCCATCTAGTTCATTATTGTCTACATTAACTGGCACTGGCTTTCCAGTGTTTCAGGCAGGGAACACTTCCAGCCCTACCTGGATATTCCAGGGATTGATCCTGGGACTTTCTGTATGCCAACCAGGTGTTCTGCCACTCAGCTACCGCCCTTGCACATTATGAAATCCTTGTTTCTGCAGCCAAGTGATACTTGTTGTAAGAACATTGTGTGCTCCTCCACCCTGCCCCAATGATCCCACGCTGTCTTGCTCCTGCAGGTGCAAGCTCGAGGAGCATTCCTGCTGATGATGGAGATAGGGAAATTGCTTGGACTGGAAGAAACCAAGAAGGACACTGAACAAGACCAGCACATGCTTAGGCTGCTGACGTCTCTTGCCAAACTTTACACTGGGAAACAAGTAGTGTTTCAAGGCCTAGAATTTGGTTTCATGGTTTAGTTACATATTGGGCTCTGAAGCAAAAAGGGAGGATTCACAGGGGAGCCAGGTGCTAATTGTGGGGGAGAAGAGGAAAGGAAAGGAAAGAACAAAACTTGGTAATTGTTTAATGGCCATGTGGTTTTGAAATAGTAACACCCTGCCAAGGTAAGCATATTGAAGAAATTGAACTATTATAAACATATAGGAATTATAGCTACTCAGATGTTTTCCTGGATGGGCTTCTGCCCTAGGGTGGTCCCTTAGCCTTGATCCTCTTTTCAACAAGCCTTTCCCATCCCCAGATTCTAGACAGTGCAAAGTGGGATAGTACAAATGTGCCACATTTCACCTCCCCACACCCCAGTCTGCTGACAGGTCTGTAATGCGCTTTAGGTGTATATGAAGTGGTCAGAGATGGGCGGAGACCAGGGGCAGATCTCTGGGTGTTCAAGGTTAATGGGAATGTGCACATACCACATGTCTTTGTTGCAGGCTGTTGCGGTTACCTCAGAAGGTCTGGAGTGTTTTGGAGGGCAGGGCTACATGGAAGATACAGGCCTGGCAGGAATTTTACGGGATGCCCAGGTATTAAGCCACACACCCACACCCTGCAAAAAAGGCATTTTTCTTAGCTTCTCCTTCTTTCAGCAGCCTATATCCTATAGCAGTGCTGTTGAGGTAGAGCAGGGGACAAAAACTGGCTTCAGAATCCTGGTGGTGGCTCCATTATTTGGAGTCTCCAGGAGCTTAGACATTGCTTGTCACAGTGGTCTAAGCTCACAATAGAATTAGTTATTTTCACTCTTCTTTCAGGTAAAAGTTCTGCAGTTCAAAAATGTACTCTCTGCATCTGTTTCTCCAGGATTAAGAATGCACCAGCTGTTGATACAGAATGTCTTAGAAAGAGCAGCTTCAAACTGTGTCCCTACAGCTTGTAACTGGATTTACGCGCCAAATACCAGGGACTTCAATTTAACGGCAGGTGTTAATCATGACTTAGATACAATCCCTTAGTGCCAATGTTATTTCTTCAAAGATGAATATTTATAGTAAGCCGATAGAAGTCTCCTGAGATGCCCCAACCCTCTGTCTGCTGTAACAAATGAACACAGCTGGCAGATTGTGAAAGATGGACCAATTCTCAGCTACAAAGAGCACTATCAAGGAATAGTTATGCAAACACAAACAGTCTATATTTGGGAGGGGCATTCAAAAATATTAGTTGAAGGGCAGTGCCCACCCTGCCCTAGATCAAGCAACACCCCTAAAATATTTGTTTACAAATTAGATATAGGCCAGGTTAAGATCAGACCACACGATACACTGCAGACACATGAAATGAAGTCCTGACAATCCCTTCTCTATTGCAAAGCACATCCGGGAGACTGCATTTCATCAGAGAAGGGCTGGGGGCACGTGTCACCATTCCACTCTCACTTGTTAACAGCGGTCTTCTGTTCTTTTTTGGTGGCCGGGTGCAAGTGTGCACTGGGAGGGGGCCGGACATGCAGGGCCCAGAAAACCCACCATGCCAGGCTTTCCCTCACCGCCAACACTGCTAAGTGTACGTACATGGGGCATGGAGGGTTCACGGAGCCTGCGTTCTAGTTCATCCCTGCCCACCAGAATAAAGCGGGGCTACGCCCCTGCCCACCCATGCAGGCAGAAGCCTGGCTGACCGACATGGCCCTTGGCTGGCAAATCCCCAACCCACCCTGACGCTGGCCAGGCAGACATTCAGCAAGGGAGCTGGGGACACAGTGGTCAAGCCAGGCCAGGCTCCAGGGCTGAGAGACCCCCAGCAGCAGGCAGGTGGGACAGGAATCTCTGTGTGGCTCACACCCCCTAAAAATAACGCGCCTGCTGCTCTCCCCCCCAGCCCATGCTATTCCCCTGCTTGTTAATATAGTCTGGATAGGAACATCACAGATGGTAGAAAGCAGCTGTCGGGAAAGAGCTCAGCATCCTCTGCTACCCATTTTCGAACTCAAAACCGTGCTGACCGTGCTGTATTTTGTGACCAGAAAGGGCAATTTGTTTTTCAGCTTTCTACGTTTATTTTCTTCAGTCTTTGCCGTCTTGGTGCCCTCCAGTTGTTTTGGACTACAATTCTTAGCAGTCCCAGCCAGCACAGCCATAGAATGCTAGAGCTGGTGGCGACGCCGCGGCCACGGGAAGGAGCGCGAGGCTGCCCTCCGGGGGGGTCTCGAACAACACGGTGTTCTAGAGGGGTCACGAAGGCTCCGTGAACCCCAAAACCTCAGGAGGATTATTCTGGGGGACAGAGTACCCTGCGACGCTGCTTGTGCTCGCCTGTGTTGTTGGCGTTTTACAGGGCTGGAGCTGCAGCATGAAGGGGAAGCAACAGACTCCGTGTTGTGAAGCCTCAGGCTCCGCGTGAAAAGCGGTGAACCTCCGACAACAGCAAAAAAGCTGGGAAATAGCCAAAGTAAATAAGCTGATAACAGACAGAAAGCTTAATTAAAGAACCCAGCGGAAAAAGAATTGTGTGGGGTGAAGGAGAAGGAATCCACTCCTGGCGGTAAGAGTAAAAGGGAGTATGGCGGAAGACTGCGAGAGAGAGAAAGCATGAAAAGCTGCCGCTAAGTGGGCGTAGAGGAGAGACCTCAGATACAAAGTATAAAATACAAGGAATCTGAGGCAAAGTAACATTGAAAATACTTTAATGGACTAGAGATTAGAGAGAAGTGAAAGGAATTTGTCTGTTTTATCTGGTCGGAGAGTGTTGTGCCAGCGACCGGCTTGAGATATATCGGTGGGTTTTTTACACCCAATTCTATGCCTGGTGTATTTGAGCGGAAATTGATTTAAGTATTACTTAAACAACGATTTCTACTCCTCTCATCCTCCACGTTTGAACAAAGGGGAGAGTCTGGTACATATTTAGCCCAGTTAAACGATTGAAAATCAGACTGATAATAGGAGGAGGGGAGACGTGGAAAGGCAGTGTTCTTCCGACGAGGTTTGGGAGAAAAAGTGAATGGCTTGGAGAAAGTAAACTAAAGCAAAGTAAAAACTTACTGGGTTTTCGCACCGCCATTTTCCTCCCAGTCTCCACCCGTTTTAAAGAGACATACTCCAATATTTAAGTAGGAGAAGGCTGGACTATTAATGCAGCAGAAAAAGATTGAGGACTCTTTGGCAAGAAAAGAAATTCAATAAGACAATTTGCCAGGACCCTCTGCCATTTACGGAATCCTTTTCATCGCGGAGTGTCTCTCCATTCGGCCCCGCCTTGCGCTCCTGGGTCCGCTCTCGGATCGAGACTCACCTCACAATTCTTCCAGAGTTCCAGAGAGCCACTACGTGATTACGTGACTTCACCTACCCGCCCGTGTATCTTTGGCGGTTACTTTTTCCTCACCTCCCCACCCACCCTTTATTTTCCTTTAACCCTCTCTATTGTACGTCCCTAGGGTATCTTTTGAGACGCTGGCTTTCCCTATTTGTAATTGCTTTGTTTTCTTTTTTTGTTTTTCTTTTTTGTACTTTTCTCTTTGGTTCTCCTTTTTATTGGTTTTCTTTCTTCGGCTTTTTTAGTTGCTTTCTTTTTATTCTTTTTTGTTGTTTTTGCTTTGGTTGGTATTTAGCGTATCTTTGTATATTTGGTTCCCCCTAATTGTGTGATTGCTAATACTGCATTAGATTAGCTGCTTGGCTTTGTGCAGAAGGAGACATTCGGTTGATGAACTCTACTGAAGAGAAGAGAACTAAGACTTGGAAGGTCAACAAGGCGCCATCGTGTGGGATCAAAGGAAACTGCATTGGAAGAAATTAATGAGAGGAACAGGCCAGCAGCTTTCTTCAGTGACTTACGGGGGGGAAAGTCTGTAATAATTAGTTAATTTAAGTTGACATACAAAATGAAAAAGGCGGGGGGAACGCCAGCAGAAAGGAGGCCATCTAGACAAGAAGATGGGAAGGAGGGAAAAGAGATCAAGGACTACGATAGTTTGATGGCTGAAATAAGGAAAGAATTTAAACATAATGAGCAATATATAGAGAAAAAGCTATTGGAAGTGCAGGATACATTAGATAAGAGATTAGAGGGGGTGGTGGGAGAACTGATAGGAAAAGTCAAAGACCTATCGGTAAGAGCCAAAGTACTTGAGGATTCTATGAAAAGGGTGCAAAAGGAGACAAAAGACAGTAAGAAGGATTTGGACAGAATTAAAATAGAGGTTAAGGAGATAGGTAAGGTACAGGAAGAATTGCTGGACAGTATGGCTATGACTCAGATGAGACAGAACCAATTAAATTTAAAATTTAGAGGGATCCCAGAGGACTCAAACGAGAATATAAGATCTAAAATGGTGAAAGAGTTGGCAATTTGGTTAGATAGGAAGGAGGAAGAGATAAGCTTCTCCCTAGCAAATATATTTCGGATAAAAACAAAATCGGCTAAAGCTAGGGGGGGGGGGGAATTGCCAGGAGATGTAATAGACATGTTTAACTCGTTGGATATGAGGAACGAAGTACTGAAACAGAATTATAGTAAAAGGTTATATATTGAAGGAAACCCAATTATTGTATTTAAAGAGATCCCTTCGAGATTTCTTCGAAGGAGGGATGTGTATAAAAAATTAACTAACCAACTGAAGAAAAATGGGATCCTATATAGATGGGAGTTTCCGGAAGGAATTTCATTCTACTTTAAGGATAAAAGATTCAAACTGTCCAGCCCTTCAGAACTTGAAAAATTTGCAAGAAGATACGAGAAGGAACTTGGAAGGGTTGCGGGGTGGGGGGAGGGAGGGGAGCGGCCGGGGGAGGGGGGCGGGGGCGGGGGGAGTGAAGAGGAAGAGAGAGAGATAAACCTAACAGAAGCGAGGGAAGAGGAAGAGAAAGAAGACAAAGAACAGCAGCTTTAAGCCGGATTTGATAATTTACTAATTGTACATAATAGATGGCTTTAAAAATACTGTCTTGGAACGTGAACGGACTTAACAATAAAAATAAAAGGAACCAGATTACACATATTTTATTAAAAAAGAACCTTGACATAATCTTTCTACAAGAGACTCATGTAATAAGAAAACATAAGAGAATTCTGAATAATAAGAAACTAGGGTTGGATTTTGTGGCATCGGATAAGGTTAAGAAAAGAGGTGTGGTACTATATATAAAGGAAAAATTCGACCCAAAAATACTGTATAAAGACGAGCAAGAGAGAATGATAGTAGTACAGATTGTATTCCAAGGAATAAAAATAATTGTCGCCGGAATATACGCACCTAACGATAAAAAATCAGCTTTCTTCTCAGAATTAGGTAATAAGTTATTAGAATGGATCGATCAAAAAAATGATATTGATGGGCGATTTTAACGGAGTGGTGTCACCAAATTTGGATAGGTCAACAAAAAAGCAAGAGACAAAGGAAGGCAAGCTACCTCGAACGTTTTTTGATTTGGTTGATAATATGGGACTAATTGACGCCTGGAGATTTAAAACCCCCACTATAAAACAATATACCTTTTTCTCAAACCCAAATCAGAGTTGGGGGAGAATAGATAATATTTGGATCTCAAAGGAGTTGACACAGAACTTAGCTAAATCTGAAATACTCCCACAAACTATATCTGACCATAATCCGGTATTTATGGAGATAAAGATACTAGAGTATTTAGATGGAGAATGAATGAAGGTATATTTAATAATCAAAAGATAGTAAGTGAGGCGAAAGAAACAATCGAAGAATACTTCAAGTGGAATTTACACAAAGAAACAGCTACAGAAACGGTCTGGGATGCAGGAAAAGCCGTTATGAGGGGCTTCCTAATTCAGAAAAACAGCCATTTAAGAAAAGAAAAAGAGAGAAAAAAAGAAGAGATTCTAACACAGCTTATGGAGAATGAAAGACAACTAGCTATTAAACCAGGTGATGAGACAATAAAGCAAAACTTAAAAATATTACAAGCCCAATTTTCTATGATAGTTAACCCGGAAATTGAGTGGAAAATTAAAATGATGAAACAAAAGAACTTTGAATCAGCTAATAAAATAGGAAAATTCTTGGCGCGGCAAATAAGAGAAAGGAAAAAACAAAATACGATCTGCAAGATAAGGGATGGAGAAAGGATAGTGGAAGAGCCAAAAGAAATAAAAAGGATATTTCAGACGTATTATAAGGAATTGTATAAAAGAGGAAAGGAAATAGATTATGAAATAGACCGATACCTGGAAGATCACCATTTACAACAGATTGCCATAGAAGAGAAAGAGTTATTAGACCAGAGGATTACAGAAGATGAGATAAGGAAGGCAATAAAAAAGATGAAAATTGGGAAAGCGCCGGGGCCGGATGGCCTACCAGCCAAGTACTATAGAACATTAAGTGAGCAATTATGCCCAATTCTATGTGAAGTGATGAATAATATTTTAAAAGAGGGAAGGATTCCGAATACCTGGAAGGAAGCATATATTACTTTAATACCTAAAAAAGATGTGGATGCCTTAGAGGTGAAGAACTATAGGCCGATTTCGTTATTAAATAACGATTATAAACTGTTTGCGGATATAATGGCAGAAAGACTAAAAAGGGTATTAAAAAATAGAATTCATAAAGATCAAACAGGCTTCCTACCAGGAAGACAACTAAAGGATAACGTAAGAAATGTGATAGATATTATTGAATACCTGGAAACTAGAATAGATAAACAGGCGGCCTTGATATTTATCGATGCGGAGAAGGCATTCGATAATGTCTCTTGGCGCTTTCTGATGGAAAATTTGAAAAGGATGGGGATGGGAAAGATTCAGAAAAGGTATAGAGGCTATCTATCATGAGCAAAAGGCAAAACTTATAATAAATAATACTACATCAGAATTCTTTGATATTTCTAAAGGGACGAGGCAAGGCTGCCCTCTGTCCCCCCTATTATTTATCTTAGTATTGGAAGTACTTACTAAGAGGCTGAGGGATACAGCAGAGGTTAAAGGAGTCAGGGTAGGAACTAAGGAACACAAAATTAAAGCTTTTGCGGATGACATTGCTCTAACATTAGAAGATCCAAAGCACAGTGTAAAAGAAGCCCTACAAAAAATTGAAGAGTTTGGTGCTGTGGCAGGCTTTAAGGTCAATAAGAATAAGACTAAAATACTGACTAAAAATGTATCTAAAGAAGATATAGTAGATCTAGAACAAAAAACCGGAATTATGACAGCAAAGAAGGTGAAGTACCTTGGAGTCTGGATTACGGCTAAGAACATTAATCTATATAAGGATAACTATGAGGTCACCTGGAAGAACATTAAGAAAGACTTAGAAATCTGGGAGAGAATGAGACTATCTTTTTGGGGGAGGATAGCGGTTATTAAAATGAACGTTTTGCCTAGAATGTTATTTTTATTTCAAAACATCCCGGTACTTAAAGGTTTAAAGCAATGTAAAGAATGGCAAAGAGCCTTGGCGAGATATATCTGGCAGGGAAGGAGACCGCGAATAAAAATGAAAATACTGGTAGATAAAAAAGAAAGAGGGGGCTTCTCCCTTCCGGACTTATGTTTATACTATGAGGCGGCATGTTTATCGTGGTTGAAAGACTGGATAACGCTAGAAAACAGAGACATCTTGGATCTTGAAGGCTTCGATAACAGGTACGGGTGGCACTCGTACCTGTGGTACGAAAAGGTGAAAGTACATAGAGGCTTTTTAAACCATATTTTTAGAGGGCCAATATTCCAAGTATGGGAAAGAAATACAAACCGATTGGAAAGGAAGACACCCTGGTGGATCTCACCAACAGAGGTGTTAACGGTCAAAAAAGTTAATATGGAAGGGAAGAATCCTACCTATGAAGAACTGACTAGGAAAACGAATCAAGGTATAAAACTTAGACCCTATGAAGAGATTAAAAACTCATTTACTGGGTGTGGCTGCAATACCACCAGGTAAATGACCTGTTAAAAGAAGATAAAAGGAAATAGGATTCGAAGATAAAAAATCTAAATTCAATGTGGAAGTTGTTGAAGGAAAGAACAAAATACTGTCTAGAATATACGATATTTTATTGGAGTGGTATACAAAAGACGAGGAGGTGAAGGAGGTTATGACTAAGTGGGCAATAGACATCGGCTATAACATTGATTTTGAGAGATGGCTAGAATTATGGAATATTAACATGAAGTTTACGGCATGTATGGCATTAAGGGAAAATATGTGGAAAATGATATTTAGGTGGTACCTCACACCAGTGAAACTGGCTAAGATCTATAGGTTAAAGAACAAAAGATGTTGGAAATGTGGAGAAGTAGATGGTGACTTCTACCATATGTGGTGGTTATGCAGCAAAGTGAAAGGCTTTTGGGAATCGATTTATAACGAGCTTAAAAATTTTTTTAAATACACGTTTCCCAAAAAACCTGAAGCCTTTCTGCTAGGAATGACAGGTAAAGAAATTAAAAAAGAAGATAAGGTACTATTTTTATATGCCACAACAGCTGCAAGAATCATGTTAGCACAAAATTGGAAAACGGACGCCATACCTAATATAAATGATTGGCAGATCCAATTAACAAACTATGCCGAGCTTGCTAGAATAACAGGAAGAATAAGAGATCAAGATGAACAGAAATTTCATGACAATTGGATTAAATATTGGCTATATATTGGGATCAAACTTTAAATGACACTGGCGGGATTGGAATAACTCTAACAGTAAAAGGTTATTATGCAAAAGAGATAAAATACGTGAATATAAAGTCTATTTGATACTTACCAAAGGAGTGGAAGGAAGTTCAAGGCTTGGCAGAGCCTAAAATTAATGTATTTATGATTTATGGAATGAATATATTATGTGTAATTTAAGTATTGGACTTTGTATAAGTTCATATGTATATATGTATAATACCAATAAAAAATTATCAGAAAAAAAAAAGAATGCTAGAGCTGGTGGGAGTTGTAGTCCAAAACAACTGGAGGGTGACAGATTGGCAGAGATTGATATATTGCAGAGATTTCAGGAGCGATATTTCATCTGGAGTGACATGCACTTGCTCTTACTCTTCCATCCATTACTAGTCTAACATCTCAACTTTCCCTCAACATCTTAGATTTTGGCTTCCCTTGTAATTTTGTTTGCTGTCCCACTTTTCTCTGACTCCCTGACAGGTGCTAACTATCTGGGAAGGAACAACCAATATCCTCTCTCTGGATGTTCTGCGCTCCCTAGTCAAGAGCCAAGGAAAAGTGCTGGATGCCTTTTTCTCTACTGCCCAGGTGAGCATTCCTCAACAAGGACACATTACTGTTAATGTCACTGCTACAAATGTAATCCTAAACTATGCCTACCTTCCAACCTGGTGCCTTCCTAATGGTTTTGACTGCAATTCCCAACAGCCATGGCCAACAGAGTTGTGCTGGCAGGGGCTGATGGTGTGTGTGTGTGGTTTTGTTAAATTTAAATTCTATCCTTCCACCCAAAGGAGCCCAGGGCAGCAAGCAAGCAATAAAACAATCAAACATTTTATTCTATGACAGGGGGGGGGGCATGACCCTCCAGATGTGATTGGGAAGCTGCAACATGGGATTTGGAGTCTCCATCAGCTAGCTGACATGAGCACTATTAAGGAATGATAGGTATAGTCTGGCAATAGCTGGAGGACCCTCCCAATTGCACTATGTGATAACACTTACACATGTGATAAAGTGGACTCAAGTTCTTAAAACATTATGTCATACTAACAACTGTAAATCCTTTAAGGTACCCTAAGGCTCTTTCTTGTTCAGATCAACATAGTTGTCTGGGGGAAAATGTAAACTTTTGTTCAGATTTGCTAACAGCTGAAAAGATGGTTTAGATTGGACAGCAGAACTAGCTGTTTCGAGAAACACTGATTACCATGTTTGATTTCCTTGCAGACCAAATTGAAGGTGGCGCTTAGCGTTACTGAACTGGAACTTTCTGTGCAAATAGTTCAAAATTCTCTCCACAAACTCAAACAGTTCACTCAGAAAATAAGCTTAAAGGGGGAAGCCGGGATGCAGCTGTCTGCAAGAGACTTTGCCTATGCTCTGGCACGGATCTATGGAGGTAATGAAAATGCTGTTAAATAATCACTTTGCCAGCTTACTACAGAATGATGTAGAATTCAGTGCAGTAGACTGAAGCTTATGATCACCGGGCATTTCTGGGTGATCTTCCAACCCAACTCTGCACTGCGAGTCTATGACCAATGATTAAAAAGTGGCATTTTTTTGACTGGATGCACAGCCACGTAGCGAGTGACTCATCTCAGGCAGGTGTAAAATGTCTTAATGTAAAAGATGCAATAAATTTACTTTGGGATAGGGAGAAAAAATCCATAATTGAAAAACAGCTGTTTCTAATACCTTGACAATCAAAAGAGGATTTTTGACAGGCACAAAATGTGTTCTAGTTCCCGATACAAAGGAGAGTCTGGCTCCCTAAGAACATGTCTCGGAATTCTTCAGAAGATGCTGGATGCACAATCTCCTGTCCATGTGAACTGCTGTAGTTTTAAGCAAGCAGGCTGCCAGTGATCAGTGTAATTTCAGAGAAGCCAATGGCCAGGTCACCTTTCCTTGTTGCTCCCAATCACTGCCATTATCTGTTCCACCACCTGTGACTACCTGATCTATTGACTACTGTGCTTCCTCAGGCATACACCCATCTGGAAACGTTATATTCACTACCTTCTAGTTTAAATCCCATTTTTCAGTTTTTGCCTCTGGAATTAAATTTGGCAAAGACAAAACACCCGGCAGGGGTGGGAAAGAGATGGCACTAGATATTTGGACTGCTGTTACTTTAGTGGCATTAGGTGTATACGGGGGTGGGGGGATATTCACAGACTAGTCTGTATGCCACAAAGGCCCACCATGGGCTAGAATGACTCACATATGACTGGCAGGTCTCTAGCACAGGCACGGGGAACTTTTTTCAGTTAGAGGGTTGCATACCATTCAGGGAAACATTTCAGGGACCACAGACCTGTGATGAGTAATGCCCAAACCCAAAGTGGTGGAGAAATAAATGTAAATTTTACCTTTTACAATAGAGTAGCTTCTATGCACCCGTCCTCCAGCAAGCAGCATTATTAGAGCTCAAGGGAATACTCCAGCCAGCCTAAACATGCAAATAGGATATGACAGAAGGGTGGTGAGGGGTTGGTGTAGGGAGAGTCTTAAGGGCCAGGTTAAGTGGTGCTTGAGGGCCATATTTGACCCCTGAACCTGAGGTTTACCCTCCCTGCTGTAGCAGAATGTTACTTGGACGATAGCTCAGTAATGTTAACCACCTATATATTTGCTTTACATAGGAGTTCTCCTGCTGGAATATGCTGCCAGGTCGAATGCATCAGCCACAGACATCTATACTGCTCAGAGGTATTAAATAAGCTTAGTCCATCCTCCAAAGCAATTTCTGAGATGGCACAGACATATTCATATTTTTAACTGCTTAAGAAAGGGGGGCAGTCCTGGAATGCTGAAAGTCAGTGCAGCTGTCAAGGCTGAAGAGAAGCAGTTTAGATCAGACAACCTCTCATACGGCTCTAGAGAGCCAGGCTGTATGCATGTAGGGAAGCGAGAGAGGGACATAGTGAGAGGACAGAGCTGTGTGATATTGGTGGGAGGCGGTCAACTCTCACATAAGCATTTCAGAGTGGTCAGTCAAATCTATCCAGTAGGCTGCCCTGTACTATTTGGTTTTCTAAAGGGACCACACGTGCCTTGGGATAATTAGGCTCCAGAACATAGGTGGCACAGGGGATGGTCTCAAATCTCTTCACTAAATATAAATATTAAATGTTGATGCTTATGCCGAAGAGATAATATTTAGTTTCCCACATACATCAGGGCAGTTTCCTGCAAACCTTTAGCCAGTTGGAAAATCTATGGCCCGCCATAAATTGTTGAACTAGGACTCCCATCAGCCATGCTGACTGAGGCTGATGGGAGATGTAGCTCAGCAACACCTGGAGGGCCAAGGGTTCACCACCTCTGCTTAATGCAGTAGGAGAATAATTGTTGGGTTTAAAGTTTAAAACCAGATTTCCAGTTTAAATCAGTTGTACACAAAGGGCTTGCTGCAACTCTTACAGATGGTGTCACCAAGACATGTGCCCTGTGGACAGTGAAGACAAAGCTGGGTCTTATACCACTGGAGCAGCTTCTCTGGATACTTCCTTGGTTTATGACAAACACCCAGTTCTGAAAGGAAGACTGTAAGAAGGAAGGCAGAAGAGATGTCATGCAGTATCCTGGAATAAAGAAGTTAGTGGGGACAGAGACAGTTCTGATAGAATTAAAAATGGTATTGCTTACCCTGAAGTAAGCTGGCAAAGACTGCAGTAAATAAAAGTAGAAAGTTGAGAAACAAACAGCCTTTGTCACAAAACACTGCATTCAAGTGTGTGCATTCAACTCTTTTCAGTTCTTAATTTTTAACAGCCATGAGGATATGGAAAGGAGTGTATGAGCCCAAGTCTGGATGCAATCCATGGCTGCAAGTCACAGGTGAACAGATCCCCAAGTTACTCTGTGTGCCTCTACCTTAATGACATACAGGTATGTTATGACCACTCAGCATAATCAACTTCTAGCTCGTTATGGAATACAAACCAAACCTGACCTGTAAGGACAGTGGCATTGTGTCAAAAGGTTTGGAATGTGGCTCCTCCATTGGACACTTGCTTAGCTCCCAGTTACATTTCATGTACACTTGTCAACAAACACAGAGATATTAACAGGGCTAAATGATATAGGTTACAAAGCAGTGTGTGTGTGTGTGTGTGTGTGTGTGTGTGTGTGTGCGCACCCCAACTAATAAGTTCTGAAGGCTGTGTCTTTGCCCATATAACTGCTGCAAACCAGAGACCCCATTTAAACCCTAGGAACCTTTCCAATTTGCAAGCACTTAGGCTGCAACCCGAAAAGCTGTAGGTGGTTTCAGAAGAAAATCCATGGAATTAATTCGATGGGAAGCCACTTTATCCAGCCATATGGGTGTAGCTGCTCCTAATGAACCACGAATCGAGGGAGTGGCAGCTCAAAGTAGCCTCACCACACAGACCAAAGACTACAGGCCAAAAGTTCATATCAAGTCTCACCCACTTGCAAAATGGTTTGCACAGGCACGTCTTTCCAGAGAGTGTGATGGAGCTCTCAGAGGGGATGACAGAGAAGGCTATAAACATGGAGATTCTTGCCAAAACAGATCAGCTAAAAGAAAAGTGCTAGGAAGAGCTCTAGTTTTATTGTGGGATACTTAGCTGGGTTGCTTAAAGGGAGTAAGGAGAAAGAAATTTGTAGTAGATTTATATGGTAAACTGGGATATTTATATGGTAAGCTGGGAGCGCAGGAAAAGTCATTTAATGCTGTAGATCAGCGGTTCTCAACCTGTGGGTCCCCAGATGTTGGACTACAACTCCCATCATCCCTGAGCTCTAGCCTTGCTAGCTAGGGGTGATGGGAGTTGTAGTTCAACAACATCTGGGGACCCACAGGTTGAGAAAGGCTGCTGTAGATCTTACCTACTGCCTGCCACTGAGATAGTGAACACACCTCAAGCAGAATACCCAATTGGTGATGCAGTGTTCTCTTCTTGTGTGAGTAATGAGGGATGTAGCTGTGTAGTACACCAGTGTCTCTCATAGCTCGTTCATTTGGTACAACACAGTGTGCGCGTATATATACGTGAGAAGGTTTTGAAAGGTTTTTTGGTTGCTCTTGCCTAGGAACAGGAAGAAGCATAAGTAACAGGAGGAGGGGCATCTCATACTAGTAAAACCCTCAAGAGGTCAACTTGCTTCCAAAGGCAAACAAGGCTCTGTGCCGCTGCTGTTGTTGCCACCACCACCCTGCCCAAACCAGTGATAAGGAAAAAAGGGAAGACGTAGCAGAACATTTCTCCAGCTTACGGAAGGGTGGGGCAGTTAAAAAAGTAGGAAGTGGGTCAGCAAGTGCTCCCGTGCAAAACTCTAAACTTTATTCACTTTTATTTATATATTTAACAATTCTAAAGTATTTATGTCTTGCTCTTGACAAAAGAAAATTGAAAAATATAAAGGAGCAACTTTGCGCTCCTCTTCAGGAGAGAAGAGTTTTATATATACACAGCTATCTGGTGCGAGTGTCCTGCTTTACATACAAAGAATAAAATATTAATAAAAAAGTGCTTCATTGATCAAAAAGACTAAGAGCTGCAAGCGTTTATTCACACTGTACATCACAGACACGCCCCCCCAAAAAACCCGTATCGGAACCTCTTGGCACCTGTCATTATGAACTGCAGAATATTAGACCTTGTTTTCACCATCTATTTGTACCATTAAAACCACACTGCCACAGTGCGCAACACAATTATGCTTTTCCTTCAAAAATCATCTCTCTATTCACCCACTTTAATGGATAAGTACAGATAAACTCCATTTACTCCATTGCAACTCCCACCTCTATTAAAAAAAGAATGCTATGCATGTTTGCTGCATACTCCCATAACATTTAATTTTATATTAAAAATCCAAAAGCCAAATTAGAGCCAGACTTTGTATTGCCCGTTCTCCCAGCTGGAAGAAAGGAGGAGTACAAAGAAGTTACGTACATCCCCAAGCTGCCTTAAAAGGTGCAAAGTCTCTTCCTATGTCTCTTGGAAAGACTTGATTTTCATTCTCAAATGCTTCCCATGTATGACTGTGTTGTAATCAACACACACACCTTTTCACAGAGAACATGGAAAGAAACAAAAGTTTGCTGACTGCTTTCTTCCATCAGGTATTCCAATACACTCGAAAACTTCACTTTAGAAGGCATTGCCCTATCTTGGCAATAGGTTACTTCTAACTTTGCAATCTCTTTTCGGAAGATTGGTTTGCTTATTACACCACTGCTGCTGGAGTCTCTCTTCTTCCTCCATGCTGCTATTAATACACAGTCCCCCTTGGTATGGTTGGAGGGCTTTACTGGCAGTGCCACACATTCCCCACAGTTGCTGGCTTGGGTACAGTTGCCCACAGGGAGATCAGTGCTGCCTACGAACTTGTGCCATGAGGAAGACATCTCAAGCTGAGGCAGTTTCAAGTGGTGGCAGCCGTGTGATAAAGGAAACATGTTCAGTAGTCAAATTCTGCAGGCTGGGGCAGAGGAATATAGAGGCACGTCACTACTTGGTGGAATATTTAGGCAGAAGCTGCTTCAGCTTCCCCTAGCAAATGAATTGCAGAAAAAAATGTACTTTCACACCCACCAACCAAAACCTGTAAGTGTTTTTTGTTGGCAGGGTTGGGTTGGGAAGACGATATTAAAATAAAAATAGGAGGACTCAAGACTATTCATAGCACAGCAGTAGAAAAGTGATTTTAATGTAAGGGGCACATTTTCGTTTTAGATGAGTTGTATCTTTACATACAAATTTTTGGGGGGGCAGTTGTTAAAATGCCCTAGTTTGGGGGCCTTGGCAAACCAGTTTCCACTGACTCTCCTGTGCAGAAAAACCCCGAACAAATCAAAGCCACCCCCCATTTGCTTTGGGGTTCTCCTTGTGAGAGGGGGAGCCTGGCCAACAGTATTATTTGACTTTGCATGCAGCCTTCCCAGTGCAGCGAAGCAGCTCTGCCTTCTGTGTAAACTATCTTTTTTTAAGAAGAAAAAAGTGGGAGCAAGGATAGCATTTTAACAGCTAGCAATAAGCCCAAACACCAGTTCCTTCAAAACAAATTGCATGTACAAGAGTCTTACAGTGAGGTGCCAGTTTAAAAATACAACCCTGAACAGGAATGGTCTGTCCAATCCCCCTTCCCTCTCACTTCCCTCAAACAAGCGTACACTTTCTTTAGCCAAAGTGGTCCAGGCATTGCCTACCTTGAGCCACAAGTCTGCCAACATCGGCAAAGGACTGCCCAATGTGGAGATCTGCAACCTATTCCGCCCCCCCCCGCGCCTGCCCTTTCGTGCAGCAAGGATAACTAAGCCCACTCTAAGAACAGAGAGGGAGAGAGGTTTTTTCGAGAAGGCAGCTCCCATTTCTTCTAGCAGCAACACCTTCCCAAACAGCAGGTTGCTGTTGGGAAGTAACAGGAGTGACTGGGGAAAAAGAAAGCATAAGCACTGACGCTACAAGGTATTCACAAGGTCTCTGGACCGATTACCCTTCCTCTCACAGCAAGGTAGAATCATCCGTCTGCAGCACAGTTCTGACAGCAGGGCAAAAGAAATGCCAGCGGGGAAGATTCCAGAACCTCTTTTCGTCGTCTTCCAGCAAAATCCACACAAAATTTACATGAGGTGGATGAAAATGACACTGGGAGGAACAGCTGGAAAGGAGGGGTTTCTTCTCCACCAGTACAGGCATCCTGTCCCTCTGAGCATGTCATCTCTCCTCCCGACTCCAGAGTGCAAGGCTTCTCTCCAGTCCTACCAGCTTCAGTCAGCAGAGAAATGTGCGTATCTGCTTAGCAGGGAGAGGTGGTGCTGTCTCTTCCCAGCTTTCCTTCCACGCTGGAGCCTCAGTTTGAGGTGGCAGCAATAGGTTTGTCCAGTTCGAGGTCAAGGCTGGGGCTACTGGGATGTAAGCTGCTGTAGCAGGATTTGCAGACCCGGCTGGGTTCGAAGAGCTGCTGGCTGGGGACCGGCACCTTCTGGTTACAGCAGCTGGAGCAAAAGACATTCCCACAATTCCTTCAGTCAGAAAGAGAAGAAATTACAGTAAATTTACAACTTAGGAATGCAGTTTCCACAACAGTACATGTCTTAAGTTGGTGCTTGCAGAAAAAGGTTGGGGGGGGACAGCCTTTGGGCTAGTTGCCAAAGAGCAGCTTGGGTGGAAGAGGGTTAAGTTCTTTCCCCCCTGCAAACTGCAGTGGGTCAGAGTGCCACGGGATGGTGATGTCTGCTATGATGCCAGCCCAGAAATGGTGATCTGGAGGGATGAAAAGAGCCTGTAACCGAGCCACAAATTTCTTTTGTGCCTATCTTCAGTGCAATGGAACACTTCAGCTATGTCTCCGTCTGCTCCTGGCTGTTGCTTCCCAAAAAGAAGTTAACTAGAATCGAGCCTTGGAGACTGGCAAGCCAGTTAACTCCTCCCCAAAAAAGAAAAAAGCCTACATAAGCCAGAAGTGAGCCGGCTGCAGCTCAAGGGAACTACAGCGACACTGTCTTTCAGCACAAAGAAAATGTGAGTCCATGGGGACCATGCAAAGCCACGCAGTGAGCAGCCAGAAAAGATGCAGCCCACATACTGAGTGAATGAGGGATGCAGCAGCTGACACATCTGTCAGTTGTCAGTCACAGCAGGGCCATAACAGCACATGCATCTTGGGGCAGGGATGGGGTCCTGCGTGCAACTAGAACCCCACAACCCCCCACTTCTGCTCTCAAACCTGCTTTCCCCCAAATGCAGCTCTGAGCAGCATAAGCGGACAAGGTCCCTGGTTCATAATCTTTGACTTGCAGATATAGGCAAGCATTAGGTAAGAATTGTTTTGCACCTCACTACAGGTGCCTTGAGGTTGGCATAAACAAACATAGCAGGTTTAATTTGCTCTTCTCCAGTAGCTTAATAGTGGGAGATGGGAGGCAACTGGCTTTATATAAAGAGTTCGTGCCAGGTGTGGTTTTTCTTTATGTTAACTGTCGATGTAACAAGCAAAGGGAAACCCCCATTTTTCATCTCACAAACTTTCATATTTCTAGCATGGCAAAGCAACCTCTAGATATCACTCACTCAGGGCTAGACTTGGGCTGGTGATTTGGAAGTCTTCTTATGGACTCCAATAGACCCTGCTATCAGAGAGAACAGCAGGAGTGAAAACAACAAGGCAGTGAAGACAGACCACTCTATGAAAAAGCCATTCGAATGCCCTCACAGTGAAGATTCTGAAAGGGTGAGGGTTCACAGCCCGACCTAGCTCCCAAAAGAAGACTAAATATTTCCTTTCAAGAGAAATTCCTGGACATTGTGTAAAAGAGAGACTATCTGTGGAATTTTCTGCCTGGGTATATCTGTTCAAATCTCACGCAAAGGGATCACTTAGTCCCTAAGCAGGTTCTTATATGCATTTCAGGATTTTTGCCAGACTCTTGGCCCTCAGTGTCAAAGTCATGTTCTTTCTCAGGGACTCTACTCCACCTGGCTAGCAGAGGAGACCCTAATGCTCACGCTGCCTTGCCCCTCACTCAGTGCCCATTAGCCCACGATTAAGGCTTTTTTCACTCTTGTGCTATTTCAGAAGTGATTGGTAAGGTTCTCTCCGTGTACTGCTCAAGAACTCCCCAACAGCTGCCAGCTCTCTGTAATACCAAATTCAACGGAAAAAGGCCAAAATAATGTGTTGGTTTCTATATACCAGTGGTGGCAGGTGTGGAGGATTAGAGCTGTCCTCCTGACACTGGTGTCACTGCAGCTTACCTGGATGGGGCCAGGGCAGGGTGGACACATTGCCTTTGCTGCAGCTCTAGCAGGTAAGCTGCAGCGATACAGGGGGTCTCCACTCCACCAAACCGGATGCTACCACTCAATACACAGAAATTGCCTGCTCTTATAATTGAAATACTCATTGCAGATAAGCCACTTGCATGTTAGCCAAAGTTGCAGTATGCAGTATGAAACAAAAAGGCTTATTAGTATAATGTGAAAAGAGGCCCACAGACTTCGATATCCAACTGGGCTGCTACCATTCGTCTTTGGTGTAACGATTTATGGGCAAGAGGAGTGCAGGGGAGGGAGTCAAAGGTTAGTTTGAAGAGGTTATCAGAGAAATGCAAGCAGACAACAGAGGCTGTTCCAAATGCTCACCAAGTCTGATCAACACGGTCAGGGTCCCTGCAAGGAGGGGAGAAAAAGCTCAGAGGGGAGACTAAATCAGAGGATTTGTGGTTTTTCCCCCAGAAATGGCAAGGTGAGACCACTGTCTTTTCCTGCTAGTCTGAAAGAAGGTAATATACAGCTATGTTTTAAACAAAAAATGTTAGTGTGCTGTGAGAAATGAAGTTAAATGGCCCCTGCGAGCCCAACAATAGCCCAGCAATGGAAGAGGCTGTCCCTGCTGCATCTCTGCATGGTATCTTTCTTCGGACCCACCTTCCTCCAATCAGTAGGCATGGCAAGAACAGTGACACGTGCAGAAACACAGTCCATGACCTCCACTGAGAAACATCATTTCTTATTGCAGAAAATAAACTGGTTTGGGTATTTTGTTGGTGGTGGTGATGGTGGTTGGGGGGTTTTCTTGGTGGTGGTGGGGAGATGTGAGGCACATGCCTCTGATTTTAATATAAAATAAAGAGTGCCACAGAAATCAGACTGGGAAACACAATTTAACTATTGAGGAAATGGACATGGCACACACTGTCTCAAGATGGATCAAATCTCAAAATCGGCTCCTACTTGTTCTTTGGAAGCCTTCTCAGCTAAGAAGTCTTGACACAGCTAGAAGATGAAGAAATTGAATGGGACATTTCCAACATTGTCCAAAGCTCCTGTTCTAACAGACTTCAGCACAAAGCAGAGGACCTCTGTCTATGAGGTGATTTAAACATTTGCTCAAAGCAGAAAATGCAGTGTAAAAGGCTGAGCACAGGCCAGGTGCTAAACTGGCAGAGTAAGCCCAGGAATATTTTTCTAAAAGATCGTGGGGGGGCATGGAGCCTATTGGTGCTGCTGCTTGACTGGAAACAAAAGTTAGTGAGAAAGTTTGAGACAAGCAAACCCACTAAAAAAGGCTGGGGTGCTTCATTGGTAAGGGAGGCCTTGTTGGCAGAGCTATACCCGACTGCCACCTGGCAGGTGCTGACCCATGACAGGGCCTTCTCAGTGGTGGTTCCCCAGTTGCAGAATTGCCCTCTTGGGCGAGATGCGCCTCCTGGTTACCCAAGGCATTTGATGGATAAAAGATGCTGGCCATGGCAATCTTGAAATTGGGCTTTAGTGACAGCTTTTAAATGTTTTGCATTTAATTATTTTATATGTGTTTTTTAAAAATTTATTTTAAATTGCATTGCTTTAATGTTTTGATGTTTGCAACTTTGGGCATTTTTGGGAGGAAGGGCAGGATACAAGACTGCAGGTGTAAAGCAAAAGGGTTCTGTCCCTCTTCTCAAATCACCATCTGGGGACCAAGTTTCCACAGGATTCTATGAACTGTGTATTGGTGGGAAGTTTAGGATTCATACTTAAGCCCCAGTGCAAAGCCACCGGGAAATCTGACCTCCTAACAACTCTCTGCCCCCTTAAGAAATTACAGTTCCTATGATTATTTGGGAGAAGCCAGGAGTCTTTAAAGTGGTATACTAGTACTTTAACTGTAAGGTGTGGATGTGGGCTGTGTGACAAATTTTATAACACTCTTACAGCTTGTCAAAAGCTAAGCCCTTCTGACGCAGGCCATGGTGGACTCAGCAAGAAGAATGCTATGCAGTGGGTGTCTACCCTTGCTATAACACTGCTGTGTGTGACTCTATGGTCTGACATGGGAGAGTGATCTTATCAAGGAAAAATAAAAGGCAAAGTGCCCAGAGGCTAAAAGAAAGAGAAGCCCCTCCAGGAAATGGCAGCAGAATAGCATACCTGCACCCCACACTATCCATCCTACATGCATTACCTGCAGTGGTGCTTCCTGCTGACAAGCCAGAATGCACTGTCGCAGCCGTAACAGTGTGCAGCCAGGTGATCGGGAAGCCATCGTGTCACCTGGGAACAGAGATGTAAAGAGAGAGAGAACTTTAAATACAAGCAACACGGTTTAGAAAGTAAGAAGGAAGGCAGGAAGGCAGGAAGGCAGGAAGGAAGGAAGGAAGGAAGGAAGGAAGGAAGGAAGGAATTGTTTCTTCATCTTTGGCCAAATAACAGAAGAATCTTCTAACTGAGCATCTCAAATACCAAGTTTTCACAACCAGTGCTAAGGCCCCCAACTTTCTCTCACACTTACTTAGCTAAATAAGCCAAGCACACTGACACACCATGTGTTAGACAAGGAAAATGCTTTCATCATTTCCCAGTGCAGGTCCAAAGGCAGAAAACTGACAGCTATGGGGCTTCTTTGGCACAGGTACAGATTTTTAAGTATTAGAGACAACAGGGACAAGAGGGAAGAGGTTTCATGAGACCAATGTCAGAACCAAAGGGATACAGAGTAGAGCCAGGTGATTAGTAGCAGGTGCCGATATAAGGAAAAGGGAGAGGAAGGCCACGGAGATGGATTTTGCCTGTACCTCTGTGTCCTGTTTATCCACCTGCTCCCAGCTGGCTTCAGAGAAAATCTCTGTACTGCAGCGAGACAAACAGTTCTGATCCAGATTGCTTTCCGAGTCAGGAATTGAAGTCTGTTGGCAAACAAACACAGCTGAACAGAACCTACTACCAACCCCTCAGAACATGGATTAGGCAGCTGAGAAGAGGGAATCCTTCTGAACCTCCTGCTCAGAGATCAGATTATGGGATAGGGTGGAGAGGTGGCTGCAAAACAGAAAACCCAAACTCACTGCTAAAATTCAAATGTTGCCATGAGCATATCTGATAGCAATATACTTTCATGGCTCATATATTTTGGCAATGACTGGGGTGCTGATGTTATCTCTATATGGTAGATACTTGAAGAGGTGTGTGATGTGGAGCAGAAGACAGAGCTCTGTGGCATAAATACGGTGCTGCAAAAGCTCCAACAGTAAACAATGGAATCCCTGAACAGACTCAGTTGCTTTCCAATTCATCTGAAAAACTGTACGCCATGCAGAGCACCATATAATACAACCATGAAGAAAAGACTATTTAAGCCCTACAGCAGTGGTTGTGGGGCACAGGGAATGGAGTGGGGCTTCACTAGAGCAACTGTGGGTGTACAAGCAATTTGGGAGAGGCAACAGTGGAGTGATGGAGTGGCAGCAGTGGCCAGAAGACATCCCCTTTGGGTAAAAATGGGAAGAAAATGAGAGGAGATCACGGGTACTTAGTTTCTCTTTCAGGCTTTGTCAGCTGGGGGGAAAGAAGCTAGAATAAACTCTTCAGACACCCCACTTGTGCCAGCACCGCAGATGCTGCTGCTCCATGGCAGCATCCTCCTGTCAGCCAAATCCCTTGGTCAGTTTCAGACAGTTTTAAGGCTGTGCAAACAAAACACTGGTTATTTTTAAAATACCAGTTTTCCAGCTACTGTGCAGTTCTACTCAACACACAGCAGAAGTCTATGGGACAAGCCTTTCTCCTTAGGACACGGAAGGGGAAGCTTTTCGAGCCCAAGGACCACATTTCCTTCCAGGGGCCAGGGGCCAGTGATGAGCAGGACTAGAAGCAAAAGTGGCCAATGGATGTGAATTTTACTTCTGCACAGTAGGATAAGCTTTATAAACACTCTCACACTCTTCTATTCTCCATCCATTCCAGTCAGATAAATACACTCAAGGGGGGTGCAAAATAGGGCAGGTGTAGCCTGGATAAAGTTCAGAGGGCAAACAGATGGGGCCTGGAGGGCTGCATTTGGCCCCTAGGGCTGAGGCTCCCCAATCCTACCTTAGGATTGTTCTATATATTGGGGTAGAAATGAAGTCTCAACTGAGGTCTTAATGTCTTCCCATCGCATCCAAAACCTTTAAGACGACTACATCACTTGGGAGGACCAATCCAGAGCCAAGCACAAGCCCAACAGCCTACCTTCCAAATATCCACCCACTCTCTCTATTCACCCCCCCCCCCCGATTCATTTGGTTAAAGGTAAAGGTAAAGGGACTCCTGACCATTAGGTCCAGTCAGACGACTCTGGGGTTGCGGCACTCATCTCGCTTTACTGGACAAGGGAGCCGGCATACAGATTCCAGGTCATGTGGCCAGCATGACTAAGGCGCTTCTAGTGAAGCCAGAGTGGTGCACGGAAATGCGGTTTACCTTCCCGCCGGACTGGTACCTATTTATCTACTTGCACTGGGTGCTTTCGAACTGCTAGGTGGGCAGGAGCAGGGACCTATCAACGGGAGCTCACCCCGTCGTGGGGATTCGAACCGCCGACCTTCTGATCAGCAAGCCCTAGGCTCCATAGTTTAACGCACAGCGCCACCCGCTTCCTGTCGACTCACTAGGTTACTTACTGGCAATTTTGCTCTCTCTCATCCAGGCTGCACATGAAAGAACGGGACACATGTGGCTGGCTGGCTACTAACCACCTTTTCACAGTTGCTCATTCCCCTTTGAATAGACCTCACAATGACAGATCTCACGTTGGTGAGCAGAACACAAGCAGGGATTTGGCTCAAGGACTGCCAGCTGGTGATCCATCCCACTGCATGCCACATCATGATCGACCCTGTTTTCATGCTTTATGTTATGCATGCATTTTTTAAAATTCTGGAGCAGCCCCAAGCATCCATAAACACCTGCACTCATAAACACATGACACAAAGAACTTCCCCTTAAAACCACCAACAGGTTAAAAAATGATGCAACAGGGGTGCCTCTTTTGAGGGAGGACTCTTGGCCACTCAAAAGAAAATGCAGAAACTAGTGGACTGGACTGTCAAGACCTTTCAACAGGCCTAAATGGTGCATAGGCATTTCAATGAACTTGGACAGGACATGGAATAAATTAGTCTCTGCTGCAGCAGTGCTTTGGCGTCTTCTGCTAATAACTATAAAGAAGTCCTGATACAACATCAACAAGTCTTTATACAATGTTTATACAAGGCAGTGTCCCTCCTCAACCAAATAAAGCATGTATGGCTTTGCCATTTTTACTGGCACTAAAACACACACACACACACACACACACACACACACACACACACTTTCCAAAGCATGAGCAGCTTAGCAAATTAGCCATTCATCCAGCTGCCTGTAATGAATCAGAATCACCTCCAGGGGGACTAAGTGAGAAAGAATTTGTGAATCAGGAAAGGCTGGTTCCCTACACCCCCAGCCTCTGGCTATCAATGTGCCATATATATCTGTGGGGAAGAGGGCATATGTATCCAGGTAGCCTTTTTTTTGTGCAGTCACTTCCAAGGATCCATTTTCCTTGCACAGGACCACGGGCACAATCATGGCAAAGGTCGCTTAACTTACCACTTCATCCCCATAATCCCCGTTGAAACGTAGTGAGCTGTTCAGGTACTGGCTCTCTAGACGGCTCCTCAGCTCCTGCACCTGCTTTTTTAAAGTCTCCACTTCCTGCTGGTGCCCAGTTTCAATCTGGCGGAGGCGCTGCTGAATGACATCGGCATAGATTGGCATCCCATCGTCATCCAGGTGACTCCGGGCAGGCTGGTCCGGGCTGTTTGCTGTCTGCTGCCGGCCTGGAATAGCATGAACCCACTTGTGGTGCAAATTCCTCAGATGCAGCGGGGCAGAACTACAGCTAGCTGCAGAGACCTGTCGGCTGAGGGAAGCCTTTACCCTGCCTTCCTCCCCGTTCACACAGTGTCCGTTTGGTGCAGGGTATTTCTGGGTAACACTGAACCCTGCTGGGCTCTCTGCCACCTTGTTCTCAGGCTCCAGCTCTCCATTGCACACAATCTCTTTATAGTCAGCTAAAGGCAAGGCACAAGGTGAAGGCATTGGGTCATGTAAGCTGCTGCTCTTAGTAGTCCTGTTTAGGTTCGCTGCCAGTTTGTGTAGCTCTACTGAGTCCTCGTTCTCAGGCCGACTTTCGACAGTGCGGGAAAGTTCGCCAGCACTGTTGTCCATGGGATGGAGCCAATGGCAAGAGACATTCTGGATCAGCTCCGTCTTTGCCCCATTCTCTGTTAAAGTTTCCGTAGAGCTCTCCATGTTTGATGTTCCCATCTCATGCAGGACAGGAAATGGTAGGCTGGGCTGGGGAGTGCCCTGAGGGATTTTGACCTCTACAGGTAGCCTACTAACACTGTCCTCCTCTGCTCTTTGAATGTTACTATTTACAGCATTGCCCAAAAAGCCAGGCCGTAGTTCCTTCACCTGAGATGGTTTCTGGACATCGTAATGGAGCTCATCTTGCCCCTGAAGCTCAAAAGCACCCTGTAAATCCATCTGTGGGCTGGAAACTGGATTGTCTAATAAAGTTGCTGTATCCAGTTCGGTCTTCCCACCCATGTTATCAGTAGAGCTGTCCAGGTTCTCAGTCCTGCTTTCCTTATCAAGAGCGGTGTCCTCTCCCCCTTCTTTACTTGCCATTTCTGGAACACCCCTCACACACTCCTCCAAGCTCACTTCCTCCTTGGTAGCCTCTTGCAAAATGTTCTCCATCTGCCCCTCTGCTACAGCCACTGAAAGCTCTGCTCCAACCAGAGTCCTGCCTTGTTTGCCCACACATTCTCCGTCAAAGGGGTCGTCCTCCGGGTTCCCAAGGCTGCTCAGCTCCAGGGACCGGCGGTGCTCCTGCCACTTCTCGTTGAGGCTGGGGTCGCTACTACGCCGGTTGGTTGTCGGTACGCTGCTGTCACCAGCCATTGTCAGATTGTCAAATGACCTTGTCTTTGGCAGCCTTGAGAGGAAAGAAAGAAAAATGCTGAGAATTGTTTCTAATTACAGGTTAGAAATCAGCTGTTAACGGCCAATCACGCCTGCAGATAATCATCTTTCGCATGATGCTATACTCTCTCAACAACTCCTGAAAACTGCCATTTGTTAATCACGTGGACAGCAATAGAGGAAACTCCCTCACCTGTCAAACATCTACTTACATTACATCATCTGAACTCTGAGCTCACCTGCCCAGAGGCTGATCTTCAGGGCTGGAACCTGGGACTGGGTAAGGGGCACAGGTGTCATCCGCAGGGGTCGAAGGGGAAGAACATGGCAAGTAAACGGCACTCCACAGCATGAGGTTTCGCACGTGGCACACAGGATACAGCACCTGAGAGAGAGAGAGGACGAACAGACTACTAAGAAGGCTGTAATCCTTTTATTAAGGTTTGAGATTGACTGACCTTGCATTTTAATTTGCAGTCGCAGGTTAATCTTGAATATATTCAAGAGCAGCCATTTGAATCTTGCCCCTTCTGGACACACTGGAATGGCCTCTGTTTGCCCACCCCATCAATTGATACAGCCCCTCCCGCCAGCTCATTGCTCATACTCTCAACCACCACAGTGCCACTAATTTAGAAAGTGGACAAACTATTTCAAAAGAGGGTGAATCATCGCAATGACTGGGAAAGCAAGCAAAAGCCCAAAACCAAGAATGTTATATTAAAATGGCAACTTATTTTAAAACAACCAGATGAGCAGTGTAGTGCATCCACAAATTGTATTATTATATATACTGCACTTATGCCGTTCTGTGTCTCAGAAGAGCTCAGAGTGATTTACATGCATTTTCCCAGGTGATTTAACTATCTTATTTTCAGCCATACTTTTAAAATACTGTAATAATAACGTGCCCTTCAGCACACATTCTCTCTCAAGCAATGTACCCCCAATAACACAAAACCTACCCCGTTCCGTACAGTTGGGTGACATTTGCTGTGGCTGCATATAATGCCAGACCTTTACCAGCGTTACAAGGATGTGTGGGAGTGTGCACATAAAGCCTTAAGAGTTTTTTGACATTATTAACAGCTGCAAAATTGGTTAACTGAAGATCACTGAATGTTTGTAGTCAAAAGAGTGGGTTTCAAGAAGCACATTTGGGGTCTATAGGGAAATTATGGTACATTATATGCCTAACAGTCCTTTTGCTCTGAATCTAAAATAGCTGAATAGTAGTACAGTATGTCCATATGTTGGCTAATTGCTGCTTTCAAGTCACACTTCCCAGGTGTTTCCCATGAAGACAGAATATGGGGACAGACACTCAAACTGCAACATGGACCTACAGACCAACTGTCTCAGAGCACTACTGTGCTCTTGGCCAGCTCCTACTCATCTCAAGGGTGTTTGCAGAAAGGAACATCCTGCTGGACTGTGTCCTACATCTTTTGACTATTCTCAGAGTGCTGTAGCTCTGAGAGTCTTTTTGGCTTCATGAAACTTTGTTCAGTGCAAGAACATATTGCCCAAGTTGGGTCACCTAATGCAGTGTTTTGCATTGTCTTGGAAGACCAGGTTCCTTACCCTCTTTTAGATACAAACTCTTGCTTCAATAAGGTAGGCTGAAGTGCCTCGCCTTGAAGTAGAATTTGCCTGCCTCCACTAAGTTGCAATCATATATATAGCTGCATCATACTTCGCCTCATCTTGATTTACCTGACAGGAATGTTGTGGGAATGGGAAAGGGAAAAAGAACTATGTGCACCAGACTGGTTACATTTTTATAGGAGCGCAAACAATAAAAAGTACATACAGATTCTGATTGGGAGGAGTAAAGCAGATTTTTGAAGGCTTTGTTTCCTGCTCGCAGCAGAGACCAAACTGAACAGGTCCTCTCTTGGGTGTGCTTTTCACCTCTCTCCTTCGCATTGTTGCACAGGAATGTACCAAAGAGGCAGGAGTATGTGTGCTGCACCAACTTGACCTATATAGAAAGGATGCAGCTATATTACTGTTGGCACACAAGCCTGAAAAGTAGGATCTCTTGATTTCTCTTTCACACACACAACCAAAACACAGATACGCAGGTCTGAAATATGTGAGTTTAATGTGAACTCCAAATTTGATTTTCTAATTCAGAGTTTAAATAATGCTATGGAACATACCTAACTATCCTCTGAGTGAGCATTTCTGCAGACTCCAACGAGAGATTTTTACTTTTTTTGGCTTGGTAGCTTCCTTTTCATATCTGAATACTGAACTACGAAAAGGTTCAAAATATTAGAAGCAGTGTGTAAAAGTATTCAACTCACAAGGAATGCTTCATTAAACTCGAAAGAGCAGGGGAACTGCCTCTGGAGCTGATGGACACAGTCGAGCCACTGCAGGAACACTGGGCATCGTTCATTCAGGTCATCCGAATTCTCACCATGACCACAGCGATCGGCAAACTTATGGCCAAAATCCAGCCACTCCATCTCCACAAGCACCTGGAAACCCTGAGGGAAGCATCACTGAATTAAATTCGCACAAGGCTCAAGTCCACAAAGCCAAACTAAGATATGCTGGCATGAGGTGGAAAACCCAAAATGCTTTCCCTCCTAGCAATTAACCAGCAAGGGGTCAAATTCACTATGAAAGTCTCATGGGCAAGTCCCACTGAAATGAAGAAAAGCTGCTCTCATTTGCATCAATGAGGCTTGCGGAAAAGAGCTTACACACAAGTGGCACCCCAAGGGCCAGATCCATGTTTCTATCTCTGCCATCCTTAATAACACTTCAAAATGATCCTTACTTCAGACTACCTATTTCATTCTCGGACACAAACTCACATTTCTCTTACGCACCCCGCCCCCAAAAAACCCTCCCAGCATTAAATCCATTTTATTTCATGCCAAGTCTATTGTTCAGCAGTTTGGAGGAAAGCACATGGATCAGGCATGGGGGACCACTGGCTCTCCAGATGTTGCTCAATTACAATTCACATTAGCCCTAGCAAGCACAGCCACTGGCCAGGAACAATGGGGATAGCAGCTGAGCAACATCTGGAGGGCCACAGATGCTCTTCTTTAGAAGAGCCACCACCATAAACCTTTCTAAACACGATTTAGAGGTCCCCCAACCGTGCTATTTCCCATGCCACGAACCTCGATGGTCCTGTAATATGGATCCAGCAGCAGCTTAGCCAGAGCCACTATCTGCGGGGTTCTGTCCCAGCCATCTGAGCAGTGCACCAAGACGGGCCGCTGATCTCTGTCCACTGCATGAACTACCAGAAGTGCCGATTTCAGAAGGACAGACAAATGTTGCAGCCATTTGGTGCTTTCCAGAGCTGACAGCCAGCTGCAGATCAACAAGGGAGAATAGTTTTGACTTCTCTGTTCTGTTAAAGTGAAGTTTGTAGGTTGAGCAAATTTCAGTAACAAGTGGAGGGTATACTTTTTTTCTTCTGCATCAAAAAGTACAAATCGCTTAAGTTAGTGGGTATCCAAGCCTCTATTTCCAGAAAACTTGGGGTGTCTCAGAAGCATATCCAAGGTTCCCAAAGAGAACAGTAGTAACAGGTAGGTTCCCCCTAAAGGTAAGCTTGCACACATGCCAACAATGCAGGAGTGTGTGTTGGCAGTATTTCGGGGAACTCTCCTATTTTGTGTGGGAAAACAGCCAAGGTCAATAGGTCTGGAGGTAGGTGGATTAAAAAAAACTAGGTTTTTTAAATTAAAAAAGCCAATATTAAATATATGCGTGCGTGCGTGTGTGTGTATATATATACACACACACACAAACATATACAAATAATTACAAATGTTAATTTTCTCTTATCTAATAACTAATCCAGCATTCACTAACCTGGTGCCTTCTAAATGGCCATTATGGCTGGGAATAATGGGGGCTGCAATCCAAAAATATCTGGAGGGCACAAGGTTGGTGGAAGGCATGCAAATGACTGCCTTTATTTACAATGACAAAAAGAAGACTGAGGATTAGATTGTTTAAAAAGCAATACCAATAAACCTATTAGTACAGTGTGCGTGCTGGGAAGGGGAGATGTGCAAGGGGACAACAGTGGGGGGGGGGGGGCAGAGAGAAGGCGCACATGTCACTCACTTTCCTGGGTCCGGCATTTGTGTGCAGAGCAAACGCAGCGACTGAAAGCTCTTCCGAATAGAATGGATGTTTGCCATTCCCATAAACACTACTTCACAGTTTGGATAATACTCTGTTAAAAGCAGAAGATAAGGCACTTCAAACAAGGCAGAAGCAAAATGAATGAAGGAGCTTTACTGTAAAAATGAGCCAGCAGCAGCTGGGGCCTGTGCTAAGCGCTATTATCCCATCAGCCTCCTCTAGCCTTTGAGGTTCTCTCAGGCACACCAAACATCATGACAAAGGACGACTGTTATGACAGAATAGAGGGAGTTATTCTAACACAGTCTAAAGAAAACACATGAACTTACTGATCTACTGGACTGCTTGCTGGGAACAATGGTCTTTATCTATAGAAGTGGTTTGAAACTGATTGTTATCACCAGTGAACAGAAGTCAGACAGCCCCCTTAGTTAGCAACACGGACATGGCAGTGGAGTTGATGAAAAATAAGAGTTGTGTAGTGTCAGCATGCTCAGGACCTGTCTGGATATTATCTCTCACCCTCTGCCCTCTCTGGTGGCAATTTAGCATGACAACAGTGGCACATTCTTCAGCCACTATACTCCTGAACCACTGCCAGGAAGCAACACCTGTAACTGTAGACATACAAGTTCAATTGTTTCCATGGGCTACTTTGTATGTAGGAATTTCAAGTATACGGATCCCAATACAGTGGTACCTCGGGTTAAGAACTTAATTTGTTCTGGAGGTACATTCTTAACCTGAAACCGTTCTTAACCTGAGGTACCATTATAGCTAATGTGGCCTCCCGCTGCTGCTGCCGCCGCGCTGCCACCATTTCTGTTCTCATCCTGAAGCAAAGTTCTTAACCCAAGGTATTATTTCTGGGTTAGCGGAGTCTGTAACCTGAAGCGTCTGTAACCTGAAGCGTCTGTAACCCGAGGTACCACTGTACTTGTTTGGGATGGGTGACGTAGTTGCACAGAACTTTAAAAGTTTTTTGGTACGATTAGAATGCAGCCTGGAGGGTGGAAGTATGGGTTCATGCTGGACTTCTGTAGCATCTTGCAATTTTTAAACAAATTACAATCATTAGGTCTTCATAAATAAGGTGCACCTGGCTGGTGCACCATGCAGTTTTTCACCATGTATTGGTTTGGGTGGATCAGGCAACTTATAAATGATGTCAAGCGCATGCCGTAATATTATAAACTTTTAAGCTGACATCTATTGCAGATTTTGAATCATACAGAGAATCAGGGTGTCACTTGGAACATAAGTGTTTGGCCTTGTTATCAGACCCCTGGATCGAGAGATCTCATTACTGTCTGCACCACACCGGCAGTGGCTCTCCAGAAATTTAATCAATGTCTCTCTCAATTTTTCCCTTCCTTCCTCCTTTAACACATCAGGAGAAGGAATTTAAAAACTTCTTGTTTGCAATCTGCAACAACCTGGAGTTTCACCAATTTGGGTGAAACTAAAAACTGCTCTTTGTTACAAATTACAAACAGGGAAAGGGGTAGACACATGAGCCCAAAGCTACCTGCAACTTCTGCATTCTGTGGCGAAATTCAGATGCAACACTAAACACCACGGTTTAGTGAATTTGGCCATGCAGTGCAATTCCTTCACTTCCTTAAAACAAAACAAGGTGGGTTTTTTAAAAAAACAAAACCCAAAAACCATACTTTTGATTAAAATCTGGTAAGGACTCCATGATCAAATACTGTAGTTTAGCTTTAGAGACTGGATCTAAATTGCAGGACAAAAGGTGGCATCTTTCTCTTCTTAAGGAACAACCCCTTTGGATTTGAACATTTTTAGCACACACACACCCATTTCCAACCTCCTTGAATTAATGGTAGCTACTCTGGTAACCAAAATTTGATCTGGTTTAGACAAGGTCTCCACTCCCACTCCTTCTCTGCATGTGTAAACACCTTTGCACAATGCTCAGAGCACAGCACAGCTACTCACCTGGGCATTCACAGCCTCCCCCTTTGGCCCTGTTTGCCACTGCAGCTGCATATGAGCGTGCATCCAAGATCAAAAGTTTCTGAGGCTGAATGGCTAGACTTTCTGCTCCTGAAGCGTTGGAGATGGAGGAATCTGAAGAAGAAAAGGAGAGAACAGCTTATTCAGCAGCAGTTATCGAAAAAGTGCACACTTGACACATGGATTACATGGCATCTTACATATAGAAGAGATCAAGAAAGAGAGAGAGAAGCAGAGGAGCTGCTTTTGACAGTGGAACATACTCCTCATGTCTAATTCTGGCACCAGCAGTAGCTGATTCAACCTGGTTACAGAAGAGGGAGAAGTGAGGCCACAAGGCCTACCCCACCGGGCTGCCTAGAACCAACTGCCATTTTGCTCCTCCTTCAAATTGTCTCCTGCAGTTATCATTCCACCCTGTCATTATGTACACAGGAGGCCACTTTTTGCTGAATCTATGTAGCTCAGTATTATCTGCACTAACAGCAGCTCTTCAGGGTTTCAGGCAGAGAACTTTCCCAACCCTACCTGAAGATGCTGGAGATACAACCTGGGACCTGTCTCGCCAGAGTGGTGCATGCTCTAGTTATCTCTCACTTGGACTACTGCAATGAGCTCTATGTGGGGCTACCTTGGAAGGTGACCCGGAAACTACAACTAATCCAGAATGCGGCAGCTAGACTGGTGACTGGGAGCAGCTGCCGAGACCACATAACACTGGTCTTGAAAGACCTACATTGGCCCCCAGTACGTTTCCGAGCACAATTCAAAGTGTTGGTGCTGACCTTTAAAGCCCTAAACGGCTTCGGTCCAGTATACCTGAAGGAGCGTCTCCACCCCCATCATTCTGCCCAGACACTGAGGTCCAGTGCCGAGGGTCTTGTGGCAGTTCCCTGGCTGCGAGAAGCCTAGTTACAGGGAACCAGGCAGAGGGCCTTCTTGGTAGTGGCACCTGCCATGTGGAACACCCTCCCACCAGATGTCAAAGAGAAAAACAACTACCAGACTTTTAGAAGACATCTGAAGGCAGCCCTGTTTAGGGAAGCTTTTAATGTTTAATAGACTATTGTATTTTAATACTCTGTTGGAAGCCGCCCAGAGTGGCTAGGGAAACCCAGCCAGATGGGCAGGGTATAAATAATAAATTATTATTATTATTATTCTGAAAATCAGATGCTCTACCCCTAAGTTATGACCCATCAATGACATGAGTGGCACCCTGGCTATCCTTCCCCCCCACCCCCACCCCCTCCAATGCAGAGCAGGCATCCAGGTGTCCTACACACAAGAGTTGCAGGCAAAAGGCTGAAATCCCTATCAGGGGGGAAACTGCCATTTGAACTCTATGGAGACTCCGAAATGCAATATTTGAGAAACAAAGAGATAATCAAACTTACCAAATTCTACATCAGAGAGGTCTCCTCCATTGGAGAAATCTCTTGAACAGTTTCCATTCACTAGTTTACTGCTATTAGACTTGGAATCTGAGGCACAAGCTTTGGCCACTGACTGGACAAGATGTTCGTCGTCAGCATTTCTCCAGCCCCACCAGCTGACCTCTGGCTGCCCACAACGGGAAATGACCGCCCCATTGCCCTGATGCCTGTAGGAAACAGAAATGAAACAGCTAACAGTAGCCATCACAATAGGGCCCTAAGTGCAGGTAATGCTAGAGCAAATGCACAGTGACATAGGAATTGCCACCTTACTGTAGAATTCCAAAAGTAGTTTTGACTTTCTAAAGCAGAAATGCTTTCTATGAAATACTGTTTCATAGGGCATTCTAATGTATGCCCTCTGAAAACAGTATTTCATACTGAATTTCATTTGAATCAACATTTGTAATCAAAACACAGTAAAAAAAATGAAGTTAGGATTTAAAGAGATTTGTGTCAGAATGCTCAAGAAACAAGTTTCAAAGTAACTGAACCAATAGATCTATCACCACTTATACCAGGGTCAGAATTTCAACCAGTTTTTTGTTGACGCATATAAAATGTCTATAATGCAGAGATGTCTAGAACTGGGAGGCTGCCTGTTTAATCCTAAAGAGAGATCAGTGACAAACCGCCAAAGTTAATGATGATCAGCAGCTTCAGTACTTTAGATGTGCCTTTTGTTCAGAAACAGGCAGTCCGTGATGCCCATCTATAGTTTTACATAACCTGTGCCGTGTTCCAAAACAACCCATGTAGCCAACTATTATTATTACATTTCTAGACTGCTCGTCAAACAAAGTCCCCTAGGCAGTTTACAAATAAATCAAATAAAATCCAGTCAATAAAGCATTTCTCAAAACAAATGACATAAAAACTCGGAATTCAGTGCAAAATCAGGACCAAAAAAACACAACTGAAAACAGACCAGCAAGATAATTATTATAAAAACCGGCCTCAAAATCATTAAAAGGAAAGCAACGTGCCCAGGTTTAAATACACCAAAACATAAGAGTAAAATTAAAAGGTAGAGTATTTTGCACCTGATGTCAAAAAGGTCATAATCAGAGAAACAGATGGGCTTCCCTGGGGAGACCATTTCACAACTGTTGGACTACAGAGACAACCACCATTTATCCAATCATCCCTACACATCTTGAAGGGCTTGTGGGCTTTGCAGCAGGGCCAGCTGGAGTGACTCAAGGAACAAGTCCCAGCCAGCTTAGCTTACAGCTGAGCATCTGGGGTCAATGCTCCACAGCCCAAAGAAAGGCAAGTGATGTTGATTTAAGCAGAGCCTCGTGCCCAGCGGAAGGATGAGGAAAATGTGCTGCATACTCTATATTGCTTTTATTTACAGTTCAAAGCTGGTATATTACAGAAAGACATCTTGCCTCTGCCGGAGCAGAAAATGCATCCTCTCTCCTCGACAGCTCGGAGAGAATCACACAGTGAAAAACAGGAAACCAGTGTACGTCACATCCAGTCTCCCTTTCCCGTGAGAAACTCCAACAGTACAGACTGTGGAATGTAAACACCTGTCTCGTGACAAGCAGAGCTGCACAGTGAAGGAAAGCAGAAACCAACATCCTCCCCTTTCTGTGAACATCACTGGGCAGCGTGTTTGCACAATATCAGTACAAACCCAACTTCTGCACATAGGTACAGTGTTGATCCCTTGATACAATCTTGGACAATACATCAGCAGGAATTTCATTACCTGGCATATAGGACACCGTTACGAGTCCCTTCTGAATACATTCCCTAGCATGCTGCAACTTTAATTGCAAGTGCTTTGTGCTTTGCTTACAACCTTCAGACTTCAGCAAAGCCAAACATGCTTTGTTGTCCTGGTAAACCTGGATTGGACATTTGACAGGAATTTTTATATCTTTGCACAATTGTACTAACCATTCACAATCCTTAAGTGAATAAGACAGTGCATTCAGTTCGGCTTCACAAGTACTTAAGCTAACTGTTGTTTGCTTCTTGCATGACCAATCAAACAGACTTTGATTGTACATGTAGCAAACTCCAGACGTACCTTTCCTGTCTGTAGCGTCACTTCCAAAACTTGCATCTGCAAATATCTCAAGACCACCAGACTTCTGATTGTTAAATCTCAGTCTGTAATGCATAGTGCCTTTCAAATACCGCGCTATGCGTTTCAGAGCTTTCAATCCTTGACACTAGGATTGTTGACTTGTCTGCTAAGCAAATTACAGCTAACAGCAATGTCTGGTCTTGAACATCTGGCAATGAAGTTTAGCTTGCCTAGCACACTCCTGTACAGTGTAGTGTCAGAAAATGCTTCTTCAGTGTCATCTACCTGATAACCTGTTGTCATCGGTGTGTTTACAGGGTTAGCATCCATCAGATTTAGTTTGCTTAACACATCAGCAATTTTCCGTGACTGGTGTACTAGAATGTTACCATCTTGATCTCTCTCTATTTCCAGAGATAGGTAGTTGTTTACCTCACCAAGATCTTTCATGTCAAAGTGCTCTTTCAGTTGAGCTAGGGCGCTATTGTACATTGCAACATCTTTCCAAAAGAATAATAAATCATCAACATAAAACAAACAGTACAGTTTCTTTTGCCCCTCCTCTTTGACAAATACACATGGATCAGCTTTCCCTTGCTGAAAACCTAGAGAAAACAATACTTCAGTGAGTTTTGTGTGCCAACACCGTGCACTTTGTTTGAGACCATAAAGGGATTTCTTCAGAGCACAAACAAATCCCTGTTTTACCTGTACGCCATCAGGTGGAAGCATATAAAGTGATTCATCTAGAGATCCGTACAGAAAAGCTGTATTAATATCATGGTGACTAATGTGTAGATTTTCCTCTGCAGCTAGCTTAAGCATAAGCCTAATGCTTTCATATCTCACTGTGGGTGAATAGGTCTCGTGATAGTCTTCACCTGGTACCTGTGCAAAACCTCTGGCTACCAATCTGGCTTTGTGTCTGACTATCTTGCCATTTTGATCTGTCTTCGCTTTGAAGACCCATTTGCTTCCAAGCAGTTTCATTCCTGGAACTACTGGAACTAGCTCCCATGTTTTGTTCCTTTCTAAGGAATCAAGCTCAGCCTTCATGGCATTTAACCATGGCTCAGCTTCCTTTGAATCCAAACCCTGGATTTCTTGGAAACTTGAAGGTTCAAATACCTTCTTGGAGCTTTTAACAGCTGTTACTGCTATCTTAGCAAACTCATCAGCAAATCTCTTTGGAGGTTTGCCTTTTGTGGCTCTCTGTGACCTACGAATTAGCCTTAAGTCTTCAACACTCTCCTCTTCCTTCTTAGGAGAAAAACGACCTATTGTGAACAATGGTTCTTCCAATTCTTGATCAGAGCTTTCAGAGGGTCGCATAGAGGCTTTCGCACTCTTGAAATCCTCTGAATCACCCGATTCAGTTTCAGATTCAGACTCAGAACCTTCATCAGTGGGTGTGGGCTGTTGTGGTTGCTTTTGACTATCCTCAGTCTCTTCACCGTCATCAGGATAACATTGGAAAATTCCCACATTCTCCCCCCCACTTTGCATTGTACTCGACACTTCTCGTGAGCTTAATTGTCTTAGAGTCAGTCATCATTATTCTGTAAGACCCTTTCTGATAACCTAGAAAGATACCATGCAATCCACGTTTGTCTAACTTGGAGTTTTGTGGTGAGCGAACCCACATGTCGGAACCAAAAATCTTCATGTGTTTGATGTATGGCTTCTTGCCAAACATCTTCTCATAGGGGGTACAACCAATCGCTGAAGATAACCTGCGATTGTAACTGTAAACAAAACACGAGAGAGATTCGGCCCAATAACTCTCTGGAAGATTGGCATCATGCAGCAAGGTCTTTAACCCTTGAAGCAATGTCTGATTTGCCCGTTCCGCAAGTCCATTCTGCCATGGCGAGCGAGGACTAGACAAATCGTGTTGAATTCCTTTCTCAGTCAGAAAAGCTTCAAACTGCTGAGAAGTGAATTCCCCGCGATCACTGAAAAGAGTCTTTATCTTCTTACCATGCACATTTTCCAACCAAGCACAGAATTCCTTGAACCTAGGAAAAGCCTCCGATTTCTGCTTGAGATTGTACACAAAAATATATCTAGAAAATGCATCAATGAGAACCATGAAGTATCTATTTCCACCCAAAGAGGGCGCTAGTGGTCCAACCAAATCAGCATGAACAACCTGGTATGGTTCTGTAGCTTTCCTACTAGACACCTTACCTTTCGCAGCCATTTTCACCTTGTTTGCTGCGCATGCTTTGCACTTCATGTGGTACCTGCAGGGTTTAATAGTCATACCTTCAACCAAGGCAGGCATTTTAGATACTGCCTCAAAATGCAAATGACCAAATTTTCTATGAAAATCGTGAATACATTCTGCATGCAAACTTTTGTTAGAACCTGCAATGCAACAAGTGTCATCCTGCACCACATCATCATAATACAAAACAAACAAACGATCAACATATTCTGCATGCAATACATAATCATTTTTCTTTGTGATGATGCACTTCTTGTTCTTGAAGGAAACGTCAATGTTCCGCTCATTCAGCTGTCCAACGCTGAGCAGATTATGTTTGGCGTCTGGCACGTAAAGCACATTCTGTATCGATAAGTCCAAACTGTGAAGAACAACAGTTCCATAGCCTTTACTGGGAATAGTGTGGTCATCCGCCTGGTGAATCGCACCTTCCTGCGGTGTAAAAGACACAAACAGTCTCTTATCGTTGCACATGTGGTGGGTGGCCGCTGAATCAACAACGAAGAAAGATCTAGACGTCTTCTGGACCTCTGCAACCTTTGGAGTGAAGCGTGAAACCATAGCCTTGTGCTGCGTTGTCCTAGACACCGGACCTTTGCCTTTGCCTCGGCCTTTTCCGCGCGATGAGCTTTCGCTGCGCTGCTCTGTCTTGGCCCTGGGATGTCTGCATTCCCTCTTCATATGGCCTAGACGTCCACACGAGTAGCATCTCACTGCCTTCAAAGCTTTGGCGCCATCTGGTGGTTCCACTGCACTATGGGATGACGTCTGTGAAGACTCCCCCTTGCCCATGCAGCTAGCACCCCGGCGATCTGCTTCATTTAAAATCACGGCAGTAACAAAGCTGGCTGAGGTCTTATCACGCAATAGACAGAGCTCTTCTGGGGATACTATCAATGTAAGAGTTCCCCTTGCTTTGGAATCCTTAGCTTCCCATGCATCTGTAACTGGAACTGGGGGGGTTTCTGTAATCACCTCAAACAAACCCTCTTTCCGCAGAATTGCCTCTGCATACAGAACCCAGTCGCTGTAATTTTTCTTGTTGAGCTTAGGAATCCCACAAGCATCCTGAAGGGCCATCATGACTCTGGCATTAGCCTTCAGCGTCATATATATGCTGCTTTAAATCTTGCTGCGTCACTGCTGCAGCTGCCTTATTACAAAGGCACACTTAAAAGTTACTTCGATTTCCCCAGCATAGTGACTTGTGCCTGGGAGCCTTTTGCCTATTCCCGGCAAAACCGGCTTTAAAAGTTCAAAGTCCAGCCATAAAGCCATTAACTTGAAGCTGGCAGGCTGCCCGGAGCAGTAGCACATACCTCATCAATCACTTCTACGCGCAGAGCAGATTCCGTTCCGATCTGTCCCTCTGCATTCCGATCCTTTGCCGGCACTCCGATTCGACTTCTGGAGCCCATAACCACGTGTTGATTTAAGCAGAGCCTCGTGCCCAGCGGAAGGATGAGGAAAATGTGCTGCATACTCTATATTGCTTTTATTTACAGTTCAAAGCTGGTATATTACAGAAAGACATCTTGCCTCTGCCGGAGCAGAAAATGCATCCTCTCTCCTCGACAGCTCGGAGAGAATCACACAGTGAAAAACAGGAAACCAGTGTACGTCACATCCAGTCTCCCTTTCCCGTGAGAAACTCCAACAGTACAGACTGTGGAATGTAAACACCTGTCTCGTGACAAGCAGAGCTGCACAGTGAAGGAAAGCAGAAACCAACAAGTGAAAGATCAATGGTGCCAGTTTTGTAGTTCAGCATAGTTGCCAAGCTGCTGATTAAGCATCTGGCAAGGTGATAAAAAGCACACACCACTTTACATTCAATTTAGTAGGTGCTTCAGTGCAGGCCTCACCTATAAACCACAGCAGGGATGCGTTTCCAAGATCGGAATCCTGCCACACTTTCCAGCTCTTTGTCTGTGATCCAAACAGGAACTATGAGTTCTTGAGGGTAGCTGCTACAGAGCCTGTGTGGAAAAAGGAGGACATTTTTTTAAAGCCATGCATGTATAGTCACAGCATTGGTTTCCTTCCGTGACAAGCTGTTAGCACCCTTCCAACATAGAAGCTCAAGGTGCAAAGTATTCTTTCCTTGTCTTCCCTTATTCCACAGTCCTTTGTGAGCACTACTTTCTCAAGAACAGAGCAATCTTATAATTTAGCACTCGCCTAGGGAGAGCAACTATGGTTTCCAAGTTGCCAGACACAGCCTTATATTACATGACCCAACCTTGCTGCTTGTTTATTCTCGGATGCTCCTGGGTCTTTTAAGGCCAGGAAGCAACTGGACAGGAGACCCAAAGTGTTTAGGTAGCTTGCACTATTCGTTTTAGCAGACCTCTGAGGCTAGATGACAGATAGCAGTGTCTGCATACACCACTGCAGGCCTGTTTCATGGATGTTGAGAAACAGAACTACAAAATGGCAGCTACATGGGGTGCTCTATCACTTTGCTTTTCAGAGCTTTAAGGCTACTAAGAAACCCCACCCGCTCAGTTCCAAACCATCAGCAGTACCAGGATCTACAAGTGCATCCAACCACAGCAAGGGCTATGATATGCTCTGCTCCAAAATGCCTACTTCAATAAAAGTTAGACTGCTGCCAGCTGTCTGCAAACATCCACAGAACTTACTTGTACTTCTCGTTGATGTTGGAGATCCTCCAGGCATTGTTCATATCAAAACCCATCCGTTCAACCTCATTTTTAAATCTCGAACTTACATGTTCTCCTACAACAAAAGAAGACAATAGTAGAATGAAAAGAACTTAATATGAGATGGCCCCAGTGATTTTGTCAAGAAATTAGGTAAAGGTAAAGGGATCCCTAACCATTAGGTCCAGTTGTGGCCGACTCTGGGGTTGCTGCACTCATCTGGCTTTATTGGCCGAGGGAGCCGGCATACAGCTTCCGGGTCATGTGGTCAGCATGACTAAGCCGCTTCTGGCGAACCAGAGCAGCGCACGGAAACGCCGTTTACCTTCCCGCTGTAGCGGTACCTACCATATTTTTCGCACCATTGGACACACTTTTTTACTCTTAAAAAGTAAGGGGAAATGTCTGTGCGTCCTATGGAGCGAATGTGTGGTCCCTGGAGCCAAATTGCCGGAGTGCGGCACACTCTTGGACTGGTCTTTGGTAGTGGTGGTGGAGCCGCGCTCCCCTGCCGGCAGCCTCGGCTTCCCCATGCAGCCCTGGGAAGCTTTGGAGCAAGGGGAGGGCTGTGCCCCCATGCCCCGCACTCCTGGGCTGCTGAATGGGGGCGGGGGGTGCTGCTCTGCCAGCAGCCTGCCCTTCCCCTCAAGGTTTGGAGCAGCGGGCAGGCTGTTCACTGAGAGAGGGGAGGAAGAGGATGGAGAGAAGGGGGACCAAGAAGCTGGGTGAAGGGAGATGAGGTACCATAGGTTGCCGTGAGTGGAGAGTCATGGTAGAGGGCAAAGGAGAGGGAGCAGTGAAGGGGAGAAATTGTAGACGTCACCTGAGGAGTTTGGGTGAAAGGGATGGAGAGGAGGAGGCTGGAAAAGGGGACTGTTCTGCTTGGGGGGGGGAGAGAAAAAAGTGGGGAAAAGGAAAGCCTCCCAAGCCTGCCGCTGAGAAGCTCTGCTTGGCTGTTTCTTGACTGTAATTCAAGTAAAGGGAATGTTTGCGAGCAGCTGGCAGGCTGTTCGCTGAGAGAGGGGAGGAAGAGGATTGAGAGGAAAAAATGTGGCATTAGCAATGCTTTGGATGGATACGAAGATGGTATTTTACATGAAGATAGCGAAGAAAGTGATGTCAGTGACTGTGAGCAACTGAGCTTCATAAATTCTGACTTTAGCAGTGATGAGTTCTTGGGGTTCACAGAAGACTAGAAGAGTACTCAAACCTTAAAGTCTCTCTTCATTTGTTAATGACAGTGATGATGGTGCTTAATGCCATTGTTGACTGCTGTTCACTTTACATGGCTGTAATGTGATTCTGATATACCGGTTGTTTATTAAATACAGTAGTTTATACAACATTTGATTCAGAATATTTTTTCCTTGTTTTCCTCCTCTAAAAACTAGATGCGCCCTATGGTCGGGTGCGTCCAATGGAGCGAAAAATACGGTATTTATCTACTTGTACTTTGATGTGCTTTCGAACTGCTAGGTTGGCAGGAGCAGGGACCGAGCAATGGGAGCTCACCCCGTTGTGGGGATTCGAACCGCCGACCTTCTGATCGGCAAGTCCTAGGCTCTGTGGTTTAACCCACAGCGCCACCCGCGTCAAGAAATTATAACAGTAGGAAATCTGCTTTGCTTATGCCAACCATGAAAATCTAAATTTAGTAACCATCTTTAGCGGTATCATGTTATTTTAATTGGCTCTGCACACAGTGATAGGTTAATAATCAGTTGTTTCCTGATTATTAGCTGAAGACCAGTTAAGCTAAGGCCCCTTAAAGACTGGTTGGTATTTGCCTGCCCCATTCTAGTTTCAATGCACTTCTTCCCTTTGTAAAAAAAGCGCTCAGACAAATTTTATTATCACGTTGTACAATTAGGCTGGTCTGTTTGAGGAACACATGATGCTACTCCACAAGCAAAAGACAATTTGTAAACATTCGCTGGGGGGAAAGCTGGTTCTTTAATAGCTGCAAATATCCTGCACTAGCTCAGTTGGAAGAGCATGAGACTCTTAATCTCAGGGTCATGAGATGACACACATACTAACTTTCCCCTGACCAACAGATGGGGCCAAGAGTGTGCTTCAATTCTATGGTCTAAGGATGACTTGCAGTTAGAGCTAAGTCCCCTTTCTGGGTGGGAGGGGTTAAGTAAGCTTCCATGAATATGGTAAAACCCCTCTGACTGTGGATCAGATCCAAAGTTTTTACTGATCGTTGTGCAGGAGCAAAGCTCTCTTGATCTATGCCAGAAAATTGCAATACTGACAGCTCTTCTCAGCAGCACCTTCATACCACTGTATAATTCTGGTCAACTCTCAACTGAGTAAGAGTTTGAATTCAAGAATTCTGCTCTGCAGAGAACTGCATATATCAATGTGAATTTGGAAGAGAAAGAATAAGTGAAACATCATTTGCATCGTAACTGGCTGTTTCTATTATGAAGATGGCATTAGCAGAAAGAACTGTTGGCTCTCACCTGAAAGGCAGTTCTCCATTACTATAAGAAGGTGGAGCCATAACCCAACCTGATGACCTTCTATAGTAATGGCATAAAGTGTAATAATAAATTTTTGTTTCTGCACACACATACGTTATAGGACTATGTCAAAAGAGAGGAGGAAGCACTTTATTACCACAAAAAGCCTTCTCTCCATTTCAGCTTGTTGGTCCAGAGGGTCTGCAAAATGAGGCCAGAATATTCACCCATTATGAAAGAAGGCCAAAGTCATTGTCCTTGCTTTGATTTGGCTTTGTGGCATCCCATTGTGGCATCCCATAGTCAAGACTGATTGACATGGCATCCTAATGCTGCTTATGTAATATGCAGTTGGCTTGAACTGCCTATGAAGAAGCCTATAGATAATATTAAAAATAGCAGGAAAGCTGTATGTTGGAGAAAGCAGCCACAAACAATGAACCAAAAAAAAAAAAAAGGCAACTGAATAGTGGCAGCTTTAAAACCTATCCATTAAACCCTTCACTCCCTTAACCTTGAGACTTTTCAGAGGCAAAAATCCACCAGCACCTCAATCAACTGGAACAAGCTCATTTATCTCTACAACTACACAAAGAATGTCTGCATCATACCTGGTCGACACAAATCACCATGCTGTTCTTTTTCACTAGCATACACCTCCATACACCAGGCGTGGTAAGCAAATGAAAAGAGATCCTCTATCTTTGAAGGAGGGCGGATGGCATTGTTCAGCCGTTTAAGCCACTCTTGACACTGCTCAAAAGTAGAGAACTGACATCTGTAAAAAAAAATTAAAAAAAATATTAAGCCAGATAAAAATCTATTAATTCTCACCCAGAGAGATCCAAGCCACAGAATCCAATGAAAGTTTAGCTTCAAAGCAGACAAGAAGAGAGAACACACTGGCATTTGGCTTCAAAAGCTGCACTGCATATATTTTACAAGTGAACTCTAGTACGCAAAAATGCAAAGTTAATATAATTACCTCAAGATCATCCATTTTTAATCTAGGGTTCTTTGCATAAACCTTCAGACCATAGCCAAAGCTATCTAAATACTTTTTTTTAATTTGAAGAAAGGCCATCACCACCTCTGGCAGCAAGAAGCAAAATCATGCAAATGATAAATGAGAACAGGCCTTTTCTACAGTGGCTTCCCGTCTGTGGCCTGCTCCCCTCCAGGGAGGCTCGCCTGGTGCCTTCATTAAGTGCCAGGCAAAATCATTTCTCTATAACTAAGCCTTTGCCTGATTAAACATCCAATGACCTTTTTAAAGTTCATGATGGTGGGGTTATTGGTTTTTGTTTTTTATTACGTATTTTCTTATTTTGTGTTTTTATGTTGTGAATCGCCCTGCGATCTTCGGACGAGGTGTGGTACACAAATGTAATAAATAACAACAACAACAATTAGTGAAAATGAACACACAATGAAATAAGCGGTTTCAGCTAATCTGAGGCACCCACGATTGATGGAGATGGATAATTTGTTATACTCCTGCAACTGCATGCCTTCAACTGAAAAGTTAAACTGCTGCAGTGGATTGTCAATGTTCTATTGATACAATACAAGACAAGGGGGAAAACGTTGCCCAGTCATGAGACCAAGTAATAATTATTAAACAGGGCACTGATACCAATCTTTAGCAGGCCATACTTCCTTGTAATAGTGTAACGTGTACAACCATCAGGATAATTTATATGTATATATACACACATACCTGATAACTTTGCAGTCCTTACAAGTCAAGTGAAGCTGAAATATATCCCGGCATTCAACACTCTCTATAAGCTGCAATGGAACCTGTGATTAAAAAGATTAAATGACCTTGCTTAAAAAAGGCTGACACAGTTTCACAGCATTTAATATAAGGATTTATTAGACTATTGTCCCTCCTTTTCTTCCCATATGAACAGGTACAGTTGAGTCATGGAAAAGGAACATGTGTAATTATGACACAGCATAAACAGACTCCTATTTTGTGGCATCTTAAAGGTGAACACATTTATTATAGCATTTAAGTTTTCATGGACTAGGTTGCACTTCACCAGATGCAAGAAATGTTACACAAATGTAAGAGATATACACTTTCCTTCCTTAAAATGTGCTTTATGTTTATGGTACTTATAAAGCACATTTTAAGGCAATCACTCAAGTTCCATGTTTAAAGCAGCAACAATTCTATAGGAAAAGAGAACTACATTTCTCTCACACATTAGAGACAGTTCTCCAGCTTATATAGTTTGGTCATGAAATACTTCTTGTGCAGTGCACCTTTCTCATCTCCAAACCTAAGAAACAACCACACTCCTGTTTTAACTTCTTCCACTCCTGTTTTACCTTCATTCACTCCTTGGGGCGGGAGGGAGGGCGAATTCTCTATAGAGCAAATGTTGGGATAAGGGGAAAATCTGCCTTCACAATTCTGATACTGGATTCTCCCGTGCCTCCACTTCAACAGTATCCCCAAATTCAGTACTGCTTCCTTTTAGAGTAAACACCAGCCTTTAACTTACAACTGATAAATAAAACACCACACCTATCTTAGTATGTAGAAATGGGTCAATCTGTCTTGATATGGCTTCTGCTGACAGAAACCCGACAGAAACTATTGTCTAGTCTCAACTATACTCCTCTAGCAATCACTATAATATATGGACCAACTCACCATAATTATTTCCATTATATGAGCTGTTAGGCAAGTTTATCACTTCTGTCTCTTGGCAGCCGTGAACTTCTGATTGGGCAGAAGGTGCACACCCATCGAACAGGAGAGGGCCCATGTGCAATGGGGGCAGCCAGTGAGACCACACAACAAGCATTGCCTTTAGATAAGAGGAGGCTGGTCCATTAAGCCAAACAGGGCACTGGACCACCAATCTCACTCTACTTCAGCCAGCCCCCACCTGCTTTGCCTTCCTACTGGGGCTGGTTCCAGCTGAAAAGTGGGGACTATTGGAATATAACTTTCCTTCATCTCATTTTGCCAAGCATTCTGCCTCACCTTGCCCTGTGAATTCCATTTGCCCTTCTACCAGGCAAGTTCAGGAAGGAGAATGCCGACAGCTAGGAACTACCTCCAGGGCTACGAGGCCGCATGCAGTGAATACCAACTGCTGGAAACAATAGCGGGGAAAGGGGCTACAGCGCTCATGTCTTGTTTGTGTGGCCATGTGGTTGGCCACTGCAGAAAACAGGATGCTGGACTAGGTGGACTTTTGATCTGATCCAGCAGCCAGATTCTTCTTGTGTTCAATAGTCATGCTTTAGAACACCACAAATCCGTGCAGTTAGTTCAGCCTCCAAAACACAAATGCTTGGTCAGGCAGCAGTGCAGTAATGAGGCAGTATCAGTAAAACGATGAACAAACCATTCTGCCTGTTTTCAGTGAGCATGCAAAGCTATCCAAACCCACCAGTGTCATTTTACAGTGGGAAATCTCTAAGCCTGTTTATTACCTTTAATTAAAAAAAATGATTTCCAACAAATGTTAATATTCCTGCTATGTGTCTGAATTTGTTATGGACTGCAGATGAAGAGAGCTACATTTGGTGAAACTAAATTATTGCCCACGAGTAGAGGGGCAAAAATCCTAAATATTAACTGAACCGAACAGGAAATAAGTTTCACTGTGTCATTAAGCTTCCCTTGTTTGACCCTTAAAATTTTAGTGCACTGCACCTACTACAAACTTACAAGAAGTCCCAATTCAAATCTATGACATTTGAACCAAATTATATTTTTTTTTTTTTTGCTGCTGCTGTTCCCATAGCTTTACCAAATGCCACGATTTAAACACTTTCCTTAGATGGAGCCAACCAAGAAATAAACCTGGGCATTCAGTTTTGATGTACAAAGTGTGTAACACTGCTGAATTTGCAAACAATCCCATGGATGAATAAGTCAACACTTTTGAAAGCCACCATTCCATCAGCTTATTGCTTCGTTTACTGAGCATTTTGTTTGCTTTTTCAAAAGGGGACATCAAGTTCCTATTGCTATGCGATCCATGAATTTATCCAGTCAAGTCAAAATGCATCATGCATTACAGCCCCTGCCTGTGTTGCAAGGTGAGCACTGGCCACACAAGTTTATTCCTTTCCAAGCAAAGGTGCAGCAGTAAAATGTTACACAGCAACACCGTTTTACTTACTGAGAGCTCACAAGCGGCAAGTTTACAGACTCTCTATTGAATTGTAAACAAAGGACAAAATTAGAATGAAACCAAAAGGCAGGCTTTGGATATTCTCAGCTGAGTTTCCCTTTCTATTAGAGCCAGCTAACTTGCATACCAAACATGAATGCCGGGGGCCCAGGTTACTACTGCCAATGTGCAATATCAAGTGACTTCAGGAGCACTAATTTTTGCCTGGCCAAGAGGCACAGAAACAAAAATTCAGAATGTCATATGGGGATAATCTCACCTAGCAGTACAACATTAAGTGCCAGCCGTTTTGTCAGGACTCAACATTCCAGTGTATTAAACTGCAGTGTAAATTTTAACTAGAATAGTTAAATTAATAAACATTTCCCTAGGATCAGATAAACACAGTAAAAGTATGGAAATTAATAGCATCTCAGAATACTGAGAATCACAGCAGTATTACTTGTTCGGTGACACTGAAGCAGATACTTCTAAACTACCATGTTATGCTCTAGGAATCAGTCGCTTCTCGATGCAACGTATCAATTTTGTTTCCACTCATCTATTAGGATTAGCATACACACCCAGATTTCATTACAGAAGAGCAATATGTGTTTTAATTCTACTTCATCTCACCAACATGACTCGCATAATTCCACATGATTCGCAGCTGGTGATAAGCTACGAAGCAGAATGAACATTACTTGGGTTGTCAGGTGAGGACCACAGCTGCAACCAAGAAACCGTTTTAACACACACACAACACAACACAAAAATTACACACAAGAACTTCTAGTCCTAATCATTTATTTATTTTAAAAATGCAAAAACAAATTCAGACTGCCTATCCACTTTAGCACACAGCAAGGGGGCACCAAGGAACTCTGTCCCATGGAATCTATTTTAAGCAGTAGAACAATAAATTCTCACTTGAATGAGGCTCTTTGTGTGCAGCACCAGAAGTCACTGCTGGTTTTTGTTTTTTGTTCTTAATTAGGGAACTGAGTGCCTAACAAGTTTTGAGCTAGGTGCTCTTCAACAGGGTCAGAAATTATATAGATTTCCCTGTCACCCCTAAGAAAGCCAGATTTTTCTAACAGGTCACTGAGTGACATGGAGAAAGTAATTTCAACAACAGCGTGATTCATTGCATGTAACAGCTACTATACAAAGAGCACTGTTATGCTCCATGACAGCCTCTTCCAATTTCCAAACAACCTCGTGCATTTTACTTTACCAGGTCTCTGAGCTGAAGCACATGGACCACAACCCAAGGAATGCTGGGCGCAGACAATGAGCCATGCTCTCTACAAGTGGGCCTATATGCTCCCATCAGTGGAAAACTGAATACTACTATTCTACTACCTGTTGACATGTGGTCTCAGGGGCTGAGAAAACATTCGCATGGCACCACCAGTCTCAAAGGATCCTTGGCAGCAGCCATATTATGCAAGCTCACAGCTCGGTTCCCCAAAACCAGAGCAGGAATCTCAATACACTGCTACCAAATGGATTGGAAAGTTTGCAAGGGCCAAAGACCTACTGCTGTTCAGCTGAGCTACAGCTGCCAAGAAGCAAATCCAAAGAGGTGTTCAATCAAGGATACTAATAAGGCAACCAAGAAGAATTAACGCAGCTGGGCTAGGACATGTGTGGAGAACCTTTGACCGTCCAGATGTTGTTGAGCTACAACTCCCAATATCCTAGGCAGTCAGCAGCATCTGGAGGGCCAAAGGTTCCCCACCCTGAACCAGGATGAGGAAAGAAGAACTGCAGGTTAGTTATCTAGAACAGCAGCAGGGAGATGGACCTAATTCTTCATTCTGGATCCTTGTTGTTTCCTAACTTACATCTATGAGTTACATGATAAGAGCCCCAATATATAAGGAATGGGTGGCTGTGCATTTCCCAACCACATAACCAGCAAGATCTCTAGCCGTGAACAGCCAGGGCAGACGTGAAGACTTACATTCACAATTGATTCCTTAAATTTGATGTGAAGTCTATAGTTGGAAAGTGCAATGATGGCATCTTCTGCTCGACCTACGTATTCAGTGCTCTCCCCATGAAGTTCGGGGAACGGGACCTGTTGAAAGGGGGAGGGGGAGGGAAATAAGTTTTACGTAAACTAGTTGATGGTGGATTCTCAAGGAGTTCACTCACTCACACCTCAAATGCAAAGCATACGGATCTTGATGGAATATGACAAGGACGTGCATGTAGTTGTTAAAAGCCACAGAAAGCTTTGGGTAAACACCTGACAGAACAAGGGCTTTAAGCTGTGTCACAAAACATTAAGAGGGGCATATTTTGATGGAAGCGGTTGCAGCTGAATGTTCCCACAGTAAGTTGATTCTTGCTGAAACAATAATAATATGGCAGGCAGCCACAACCAAAGACCCCTTTGGCAGTGGCTGCCTTCCACTTTCATGTTGTTTCAGTAAGATGCTCATTGTGAAAGTGTACAGAAGTCATCTCCACCTTCCACACTGTACAGGGAGTCAAAGACGATCTAAAACACCAAAAGGAGATTTGCCCCAAATAATCGTAGCTTCGGCAGTAGAAGAAGGGACTGTTACAGAGCTGAAACATCACCTCTGTTCAATATCAAATTGGATAGAAATACAGTCGTACCTTGGTTTTCTAACAGCTTAGTTCATTAACAACTTGGAATTCAAATGTCGCAAACCCAGAAGTAGGTGTTCAGTTTGTGAACTTTGCCTCAGAAGCCGAACGTCTGGTGCAACTTCCGCAGCTTCCAATTGGCTGCAGGATGCTCCTGCAGCCCATCGGAAGCTGTGCCTTGGTTTCCGAATGTTTTGGAATTCAAACAGACTTCCGGAATGCATTCTGTTTGAAAACCAAGGTACGACTGTATAAACAATGGACAGAAATAAAACCTGTGGAACTACTTCAGAAAGCAGGAAGTTTTTCTGTATTATAAACAATTGTAGAATTGACACAGAGGAAAGGAAAGTGTGACACAAAGAAGTCCAAGGTTTTCATATATACTGTATAGCTGAGGAATTAATTCTAACAAGGTGAAGGGAAGGAAGAGAAGGTCCCTTGAAAGTAAGTGATTAAGCCTAGTGAAGACATAAGAGTCCTGACAGATCAGACCAAAAGCCTATTGAATCTAGCAGACTGCTTCTCACAATGGTCAGCTAGATCCCTGTGGGAAGCCCACAAGCAGGACACGAGCACAGGAGCCCTCCCTGGCTACTGTTCATCAGCAAATGCCATTCAGAGACATGCTGCAGACAGCATAGATGGGTTTGCAGGAAAAGTTCCAACTAAGAAACGCACAGTTAAATAACTTTTGCAATCAAGCTCACAAGTGCAGCAACAGGGTTTGAATTAATAGTCCCATGAGTTAAGATAAATCAAGTGTCTGATCTTGGCTAGAAATAGCATCATCAGATCTGCCCATGTGTCACTGCTGTGAGGGCAAAGGAGAGTCGGGTGACTACCTGGAGATTCTCATCCTCACGGATCAGCTGCTTCCTGGGGAAGATCTGATTAGCTTGGATGCATTCAAGGCTGTGTTGAGTCTCTTCATCCTGAAAAAAACCCAGATCATGCAGTTTATTTCAACCGTTATACACCCATACATACTAAATCTTTTCACTGACTGAGTTTTTTGGGGGGTGGGGTGGGTCGCGGGGAATCACTGCAATGCACCAATGAAATGCTTTGCTATTACAAGCCTCTAATTTTAAATTTGTCACCATCCTTTTATGCTTACACTATCGACCACCTTTTTGACAGGAGCATACAAGACTTTAGCTTGCTGCCTGTTGGTGCCCACACAAATGTGAAGATCGGGGCAAAGGGATGTTCAAAGTGCTGGCCTACCCTCCAGTTCCCCTTTCTCAACTGACTCAAAAGACAGGAACTGAGAAGCACCTCCCTCTACCTGCTGCCTGCACAGGTATCACTCAGGTCTGGAATGCCTTGAAATTTTAAATAAACAATAAATGCAACAATAAACAAAAAAAATTAATAAAATTTATGCACCACTTGGTTGTAGAAAAAAACCTGAAAGCTACTTACAAAAAAGATAAAACAATAACATTATCACAAGGAAAGTTTACAACAATGTTTTAAAACAATAAGTTAAAACAACCATAAAAACTCAAAAGAAACTTCCCTCCCCTGCCTAATGGTACTGACTCACTGAGAAATCTCAGCACTACTGCAGAAAACTTGTGGTTCTTTAAAAAAAAATTTTAATAACTGACAACTGTAACTAATTGTAAACTCACTTGGAACAGTATCAAAACATATATTTTACACATCTTTTTTACTTCATGATAAACATATGAAAGAATGCAACTCTTTTTATTTTTTCCTTTATTTTAGATGCCATTTTGAGAAAGCAGATCAGCCTTGTATTTGACACCTGGACTGGTCAGATGCCCAGAAATGTAATCTAAGTGCATGGAACTCCAGATTAGTTTCAAAGTGATGACAAATTGAATTTATGCCCCATGAATATTAAATACAGAGTTAAATTATGGTGCACAAGGTGCCAAAAATTGTGTTTTAACTCTGCTGAAGGATGTAATTTAGACACCTAAAACCCTGCAAGGGTGGGACATCAAAGCCACTTTCCTTCTCCAGGAACAGAAAGAAAAAGTTAGTAAGTACTGTAAATAATTTGAATCCCTTACTCTGGTGCTTTGTTGGAACCTGGCAGCTATTTATTATGTACTCAACAGGGCAGAAACAAGCTGTACCAATCCTTGCTCATTTCAAACAGCTCTGTCCTTTGAATGAAATATAATCCCCAAGTGTAGTACAGCCTACTGTATACATCCAAGGGTCACACCCCACTTTCTCATGCTTCAACCTGCCTTGTGCTGATTAAGCTTAACAGAATTTGTACGCTTACCATGACAGAGTCAGGTTAATAGGCAGAGCCTTGTCCCTGCTTTCAATTGTCTGTAGTGTATATCATGTATATCATGTAACAATCTGAAAGACAAAATTAGAAAGTGAGTAAACAGGACAACACATTTACTATTAGTAAATAAGTCACCGATATTCACTTGGATTCTAAATAACTCAAGTACAGATGTAAGAAAACAGAGTTCAAACGACAAAATATAGGCAAAGGCATTTAATTAACTCCATTTGATTTTTTCAAAGCGTAACTGACTCCCTCAAATTTGTTCTGAATTTTTGGTTGCTGGGTTTCTTTAACAGACTGATTTGAACTTGCATTATAACAGATGTCCATGCTGCAAAGCAAACCATTTCTGAAGCTCTGAAGAGTCTGAAAAAATGGTATTGGAATCTGCCATTCAAAGAATAAAAGTAAAAACAAGTCCCGCAGGGTGCACTTAACTCCTGAGGCACATCAAAAGTAGCTCTTTGGATTCTGGCTGTTCTATTTATTAACCAAGCTCACCTGCCATGGTGATGAATTCACTTTTAACGTCACTGTTAACAGTGAACCTCAAGAAAAGTACAAAGTCAAGCAATTCTGTGGGCTGCCATTTAGCCTATTAACATAGAGATCTGCAATATGTTTAACTACCTGGAATATCACTACGAAATACAGCCTTCCGAGAAGCCCTATAGCCCTCTAAAAGTTCTAATTTTATTTATTTAGAAGGCTGATATCCTAACTAAGCCCTCAAATGAATCAGGGCTGCTTACAATACTCTCCCTATTATGCCTAACTAAAAAGTTAGAAAGCCATTATAATTCTGAGTTAGAAGAAATGTCCTGGAAAGAAGTCTAATAATGAGTTTATTGTCTATTACAGGAAAACTTTATGCCAGCTTTCTGTGCAACAAATTCAGAGCCTGGGTTAATGGCCATGATATGTTGGGGGAGAGAAATACCTTGGCTACTAAGAGGCTGAGATTTCGTATTTTTCATATTTCATTTTTTATAGTTTCTTTGTTTGTTGACTTTAATAAACATTTGATTGATTGGTCTAACTAAACTGTATTAGGAAGAGAATTTAACTAAAAACACTGCTGTTTAACTTTTTAGCTATTCAGGGATCAGAGCTGCCTAATAACTGGAGCTTGCAAATATTTGTATTTTTTTTTATACAACGCAGCTTACAAGCAAGCAAGTTCACAGTTTCACAATAAAAACTACAACACCAAGACAAAACACAAATACCACAGAATACAATACAAGAGCAAAAGGCAGAACCGATAAAGCAAACTGCTTCATCAAGGCAAAGCCTGCCCTTAAAAATAAAAAAGTATTCAACAACTTTAACTTTAACAAGTAGTGTGTGTGTGTGTGTGTGTGTGTGTGTGTGTGTGTGTGACCCTGACTTCTTGGGGCAATGTGTTGAACAGTTTGAGTGGACTGAGAAGGCCCTCACTCTCATCCCAGTCAAACAATCCTTCCCCAAAAATGGGACATAGAGAAGGGCCTCCTCTATATCCAATGCAGTGGGCAAGGTGATATGGGAAAGGCAGTCTGATTAAATTCAATAATAACTCATTTATGAAGCCTTTTGGCATCTTTCTACTAGCATCTATTTGGCAACATGGCTGTCCTAAAGCCACTCTGATTCTTACTGAGTAGCAAAGAACCTCTGAGCCTGTAAGTGCAAGGAAACAGGACTGCAGAGACTGGCATGGCTCAGATGTGCAGCTTGGTTGCCTCTCCAACATAGCATGCAGTCCATGCACTGCTGAAGCTGTCTGTTGTGTGGAAGGTGGGGCTAACCCTGCCCACACCTGTGAAATTCCATTCACACTGAATGGTGCATCACACACAAACGTGCTCATGGCAGTTATGCTTGCAACTGAAATATTACCACAGGCAATGCTGTCATGTTCACCTTATGCCTATCCATACTTCATGACACAATCCAAGACAATACAGAACAAAGTAAGATTAGAGGGGGCAGAATCATAACAGTTTCACGTACAAAGCCTATGTCAGCCTTTCCTAATTGGAGACTGAATGGAGTAGAGGCTACAGGACGAAGCAGGTAAGAGTGGAAAGCTTTTTGGTCCACATAGCTGGCTCAACTGAAAAGCGAAATGAATGGCTCCATAACAAAGTTACCACCAGATGAATCAGAACAAACTGCTACTCCCTATTTCTGCCTTCGTAATCATATGGAATACCTCCAATTGTGCACAGAAATATGCCACAAATGGGGGCACACCCTTCTATCTTTTGCTAATCAACTGGCAGTAGTTCACCAGGGTTTAAGGCTGGGTTCTTTCCCAGTTATACCTGGAGATGCCAGGGACTGAACTGCAGGCCTTGTACACGCAAAGCACATGCTCTAACACTGAGGTGTGGCCCTTCCCCATACATTCACATTCTGCAGAAGTGGACTACCAGAAGGTTCAACACAGTAAGCTGAGATGCTTAAGCTTCATTTTTTGCTAACCATCTATTAACTTACCAGCTAGTACCAGAATATTCCTTCCAAAAATTCCAGGCGTTGGTTCAATGTTCTGTTACTTCAAACTGAAAGCAGAAAGAACGAAAGGCCATGCTGTAATCAAACTGAATTCATGGTTATTTGGTGTATGCCACCTCAGAAGCCTGCTTAACTAGCCACAGCAAAATATAAATACTAGAAATGAACAGCCTTCATCCCAAAATAGCATTTAAGCAGTAAAGGTAAACTGTTATTTCTAACTCTCCAGTTCATCCATTCTTCTAATTTTAGCACTGCTTTCAAGATGTCCATGCCCTAAAATGTATTTTTCAGTAGCTTGTACCCGTCTGGAGCTCACTTTATCTCTAGGAAGCAAGAACAATTGCATAAAGGGATAATTAATAATTTTGGAAGTTGGGGGTAGCCGTGATCTCAGCTGAGCTTCAAATACAGAACGAAAGGTAGATTTCAAGTGCTTACTCAAAATCCAGTGATATCATTCAAATTTTTATTTTTTTTACTGATTGTACTTATATGACCCCTTTCAGGGCAAAGTCCTCTCAGACCAGTTTGATAATTTGCTTCATTCATACACACACACCCCAGAATATTTTGGCATCATATTTACAGCAGAAACATTGTCCAGTACAATCCCATCCCAATCCCAACAACTTTCCTTTTATGTTTCCACCTGTGAGCCATCCTGCCACTAAAACGTTCCACTAAAACCTACTGTCTTAGCTCGTCTGAAACCTTTGTTCTAATGATGGAAAGATTACAAACTTTGTACAGCACTCCCTTTCAGGTAAGGTTAGATTGTCTTGACTGCTATTTTAAACCCTCTGAATCTGCACAACAGGCAGTAATTCAGCAGGTCACAGAGCTGTAACTAGGCACAATGGAGCAATGCCTGAGTGCACCTCCTTCTCCTTTCCAATATATCCATTTCATAAGGGTTGATACAAAATCCTGAAAACATATTTTGCTAAAAACAAGGAAGGGAGAGACTAGACATGGTCTGGGTGGAGATAGTTGTGGTCATGGAGCAAGACTTACATTTAAAAGGACTGACCAAGACATTCCCCAGAGCTGTTGCTTCTGCAGTCATTTCTCCACCCACACACTTGTTTGTAAGTTTCAACTTTTCTTCCCCACAAGAGGAGAAAACAAGAACAGAACTGGCAAAAAACTCCACCAGGTGGGGAAAGAAGAAAAAAAGGAAACTGTCTGAATAGGCCATTAGGCTCACTTCCTGAGCACTGAAATGCACATGATGATGCCTGACACAATAAATATTACACAACACTTTGTATACAAAGGTATATAAAATGAACAAATGCACTAACAATTATTTGAAATCAGTTTCGCAGGATGTATATTTAGCATCATGTACCCTGTAGATACTGGCAACCAGACCCAGCTCAGTTTCCCCAATCCAGTTAATTTCTCAAAACACCTGCCTTTTAATTCTCACGCGAGAAACTAGTTTAAGCGCCACTTGCTTACAAATATGACAAACTGTTCAAGCTACTCTTCAAAAGCTGCAACACTGTGCATGCTTCCTTGAGAGGAACCCTTGCAAGGCTAGATTCTCAGAAAATATACACAGCATTGCGCTCTATGTTTGTCACAAGCTCTTAAATGGTATCTCAAGCAAACAGGGATGCATGTGATGATGACATGCTGAAAAACAGAACATTCTTAAGACAGCTTCCACTGATAACACAAGTCCTCCTAGTTTAGCCTTAAGTCGCCTTGCATCCCTGTGAGGGGAAAAGGCAGGATATAAATAAATATAATGATAATGATAATGATGATAATAATAATAATAATAATAATAATAATAATAATAATAATAATACATAATCTCCCATGCCCCCTCAGTTGTCCTGATGGGCTTTTAAAATAGCCATGAACGTCTCAGTTTTGATTCATGTACTAGGCCTTAGCTTAGTGGTAGAGCACATGCTTAGAATGTAGGTAAGGGATGGGAAGCCTGTGTCCGCCCGCCCCCAGAAGTTGCTGGGCTACAACTCCCATCAACTCTGATTCCTGGCTAGGCAGGGATGATGGGAGTTAGAGCACAACAACATCTGGGGGGACCACCCTGATGTAGAAGGTCCCAGATTTAACAAGTAAAGATTTCCAATAAAATAAAATTATTATACATACATACATACCCCGCCCATCTGGCTGGGTTTCCCCAGCCACTATTGATGGCTTCCAACAAAATATTAGACAATACTGGGTTACATGGACCAATAATCAGACTTAGTATTAAGAAATCTGCATGTATTCATATTTTCAAATGCAAATATTCCAGCTTTCAAACTTTCATCATCCCTTCTTTGCACAGTATTCACTGCCTTCCTTTGTTTGAACTTCTACAAAGCATTTCTATTCCTCCTTACCCATGGAGGATAAAATGCCATTGTGGCAGATTTGTCCTTTCCATCACTGCAGCCTGTGTGGCTTTTACTAAATACTTCTAGTGGGGTAGCAGTTTTTTTGAAGCATGAGTA